AAATGGCTGGTCTATTGATGCTACCGGATGATGTCAAGACTATGAGGGATGAACTTAGGGACATCAAAGCCAGCTGTGAATTTAATGGTAGTAGACTGGATGAATTTTCTCAGAAGCTTGCTGAAATTGAGTCCAGGGTCGTAGCGGTGGAGCATCTTCAGGAGTCTATTCGGGTCCTTCAGTTAGATGTAGACGTTGTTAAAGAGGAGATGTCAACTAATGACCAAAGAACGAGACTCAACAACGTCGAAATCAAGGGCATTCCTCTGAAGAGGGATGATAATCTTTTTTCCATCCTGAATAAAGTCAGTCAGAAGATTGGCTTCCCGCTCCCAAATGCTCAGGTCAATTACATAACCAGGATACCAATGTTCAACTCCAAAGAAAAATCAATCATAGTCAGTTTTCTCAACAGATATATAAAGGAAGACTTTGTGGCAGCAGCACGGTCACTTAAGACATTAACTGCCCAAGACCTAGGGTTTCAAGGTCATCTTAACCGAGTATACGTGAATGATCATCTCAACCCTGTTACCAAAAAACTTTTGAATAGGACGAGATCTTTGGCGAAAGAAAGAGATTTTAAGCATGTCTGGGTCAAACATGGAAAGATTCATGTACGGAAGCAGGATGGGTCACCAGTCTTCGTCATCTCTAAAGAAAGGGATTTAAACAAACTCTCGTGGTGTGTTGTGATTGTGAAGTCTCTTTTTATCATACTATCCGTAATGCATTGTGTTATAGTGTTTATTCTTTTAACCCTAGGTATATTTTTTGCACACGCAATAATCACATAATATTTAATTTCAATTATAATTTTATTTGCTGTGAAAGGTTGAGCATCGCTGGCGCACCTGTGGTCATAATGTTTGTACCCTGCATTTGCGAAGGTAGGTGCGTGTCCGTCTCGCTTGCACATATAGGAAAAAATAATTGCTACTATACTCTTCAGTTATCTGTTTGCGATTTAATATCGAATTACCCTATCTTTCTCATTTTTACACAATTTTTAGTTTTCCCTCGGGAATATCAAATTTTTCCGGGATAAAAAGTACCCTATTATTTTATCTAGACTTCTAACTTAACGTCTGCAAAAATTCAAAGCAATCGGTTTAGTAGTTACGGCGTGAAATCGGAACAAACAAACAAACTCACTTTCCGATTTATAATATTATACTAGCTTTTACCCGCGGCTTCGCTCGCGTCACAAAAGGATAAAAAGTAGCCTATGTGACTATCCATCCGTTCAACTACTTTCACTTAAAAAATCACATTAATTAGTACCTCCGTTCTGCCGTTTAAGACAGGCAAACCAACAAATAGCTTTCCGCTCGCGTGGAATTCGGTTATATCGCGCTATTTACATTTTTCCAATAAGTAGGTAATTCGTGTAATAAAACTGGTTTTAAATAATATACAACGCCATCTATACCACTACATACAGCGCCATCTATACCAAAATTTTGTTTTTTCCTAGGAAATATCATTTTTTCTGGGATAAAAAGTACCCTATTATTTAATCCAGACTTCTAACTTTACGTCTACAAAATTTCAAAGCAATCGGTCTAGTAGTTACGTCGTGAAGGTGGAACAAACATACAAACTCACTTTCCCATTTATAATATAAGTAAGGATAAAAGTAAGGATATAAGTAAGGAAGTAAGGATAGTGACGATAGACAGTTTTTTATGATTCTTAAGACCTAGGTACACATAGCTCCGAATAGCATTGAAAACCTGGTAATCTACTACCAAAACGTGCGTGGACTACGTACTAAAACGGATATGTTTTATCGTGAGCTATGTTTAGTTGATTACGATATTATAGTCTTGACTGAGACATGGTTGGTTGACGGTATCTCTGACTCGGAATTGTTTGACGAACGGTACATAGTGTGGCGTCGGGACCGTGATTACAGTCGGACTGGTCAAACTCGAGGTGGTGGAGTATTGATAGCGGTTTGTAAATGTATATCTGCAATACCGCAACCATTTTTTCACTCCTCCGGTGAAGATCTATAGATAACTTTGACCTTGCGGCAACCCATCACTAAAATCGCTTTTAAATTGAACTTGTGTGTTATCTATCTGTGTAAGCAGAACCTGGGCCACTCATTCTCCGATAAGTTACAGAGTTTTCTGCGTTCTTAATTTGAGCGGTATTTCATGGCAGTCTCAAAACGGTATTTATTTACCTAGTGATGTTACTAGCCGTGATGAGTGTATACTGACGGATGAATTGCAAATGTTAGCCCTCCAGCAATATAACGGGGTGTTAAATGACTTTGGGGGTATTCTGGATTTGGTCATGTGTAATGAGAATATCTCAGTTAGTAAATCCTTAACTCACTTGGTACCTATTGATAGATATCACCCTGCTTTATTAGTGACTATGCTGTTTGCCGAGTCTTCGCAGCTAACTCCTGCTCCCTATACTCAGTACTATTATGAAAAAGGCGATTTTACTTCGATTAACCAAGATATATTGGCTATTGATTGGGAGAGGGTGTTCCTTAATATGACACTTGATGAGGCGATAAAATATTTTTATTCTGTTGTCGATGAATTGAAGGTCAAATATGTGCCATCGGGGAAGATTTCTCACAGTTCGTATTCGGTTTGGTACTCTCCGGAGCTCAAACACTTGATTAGGGAAACATCTAAATACCTCCGTAAATTTAACTCGTCGAGTACCGGTTTTATAGACACAATTAAAGAACAATAGGTCGCGGTCACCGGTGACCGCTTGGTGTTTGACAGTTTAAAGTATATGGTCGACTGTCTGATAACGCCACGTTTAGGCTATTACGGGATAGGGTTAAAGGGCTAGAGGAGGCATGGTACAGAAACTATTTGATGACTACGGAATCAGGTATTGAGTTAAATCCTAAACGTTTTTGGAGTTTTGTAAAACATCGTTACAAAGTTAATGCTATGCCAAATAATTTTAAATATGGTGACTGGACTGTTTCCTCGCCCGAATCCATTTGTAATGCTTTTTCTGCTCATTTTCTCTCTACCTTTCTTGCCCCAGATGGGAACATGACCACCACGGATCTTGGCCAGTATCCGGCGGACGGCCATTCAAATGTGCTGACGGACATACACACGATTGAAGTTAATCTGGATTCCATTACCAAATTGATCAGTACACTTGACCCTTTTAAGTCGGCTGGCCCTGATCATTTATCACCTAAATTCCTTATTGGATGTGCAAAGACAATTGCTAAACCAGTTTCCCTACTATTTAAAAAATCACTCTCCGCTTGTGTTGTGCCTCATATTTGGAAATCAGCGTTTATTACTCCGGTACATAAAAAGGGTCATAAGAATGAAATTATAAACTATAGACAAATTTCTAAACTATGCATATTGGCTAAAGTATTTGAGAGAGTGGTCTATGATCAAGTGTATGCAGCACTGAAATTGTCGTTCAGTTCATCCCAGCATGGGTTTCTTAGGGGAAGGTCTACGGTTTCGAATCTATTAGTTTTAAATGACTATTTGACGGAGAGAATGGACAATGGTGAGCAGGTCGATGTGATTTACACGGACTATAGCAAATGTTTTGATAGAATCGATCATTACATTCTAAAAATGAAACTACACTTGAATGGTATTAGAGGGGACCTTCATCGTTGGTTCTGCTCTTATTTGGAGAATAGGTCGCAGGCCGTAGTTGTCAGTAATTATGTTTCAAGCTGGGTTTCAATTCCCAGTACCCCACTGGAATCCTTAATGGGGCCATTACTGTTTATAATATTCGTCAATGACATAGGCTCTTGTTTTCATAATTCTAAACTTCTTTGTTTTGCCGATGATATGAAGATATTTACCTCCATATCATCAACTAATGATATGCTGTCACTGTCTGACTTGGACCGTCTGACCGATTACTGTCAGTTCAACAGGTTAGATTTAAACCCCGCTAAATGCTCTGTCGTTACGTTTAGCAGGAAGCGTGTTCTATTTCAGACTACCTATAGCTTAAAGGGCCAAATATTATCTAGTAGTCTTGGAGTGCGGGATCTGGGCGTTTACCAGGACTCAAAACTTTTATTTAATAGTCACATTGAGCAAATGGTGGCAAAAGCCCCTAAAGCACTGGGTTTTGTACAAAAGCTCGGGGGCTGTTTCAGAAAGGCCAAAACACTTAAGATCCTGTACTGCACATTTGTCAGAAGCCATCTCGAATATGCTTCCCAAATCTGGAACCCCTGCTATGACAAGTACATAGACCGCATTGAGAGCATCCAAAAAAGATTTATTCGCTTTCTTTGTTTTCGTCTGAAGATACCGTATCGATCGGAGAATTATATGGAACTATGCAAAAAATTTCATCTCCACCCACTTATAAATCGCCGTCGAATAGCGGATTGCACTTATTTTGCCAAGATACTGAATAGCGAAATCGATTGCTCAGACCTTTTGCATAAGCTGTCATTTAATGTTCCGAAAAAGTCGGTTCGATTTAACCCACCAATTGCTGTCCCAACTTCTTCCTCAAATTATAGACAAAATTCCTATATTGTGCGAGTGAGTAGGGATTATAATAGATTGTGCAAGGATTTAGGACTTGATCCATTTGCCACAAACAGTTCCAGGGTGCGTAGGCGACTAAACCTAAAATTTTTTGAATGACTATCCATGTTTTATATCTACTTTTATGTGCATTGCATTCGCAAAACCTCTGTAAAGATATACTATAGCTACGCGTGGAAACCTATAATTGACTTTGTATAAGCATATTCTGAAATTTTATTATTTGTTATATAGCTGTTGGTTACCCGAATTAAAATAAATAAATAAATTAATTAATTAATACATCGGTTTAGCCAATTACAAGATAACTAATCCAGAACAAACATACATCGCAGGAAGGTCACTGAACCTACTTTTTAAGGTCGAGTAAATATCTCCGGAGTAGTAGGTTTGTATTTGTCGCGAATGGTTGCCATAACCGAAAATATATGGAAGACCATACCAAAGTAACCAAACTAATTATAAAGTAGTGAAATTCTTTACCTTGCCCAGATTTACCCTTTCTCCTTCAGGCGATAACATGGCAATAATATCTGTTGTAAGATCCTCTGGCCTAGCAGTCTTAGCTAGTTTGGCTTGGAGCATATCTCTTGACTGGAACGATAACTCCCTCTCCACGAGACCACCTTCCTCAGTCACGACCAGCTCGCTTTCTGGTAACTTCACGCCAAACTCCAGTTTAGCGATAGCGTCGAAGCATTTACGCAAATGTGGCTGTACAGCGTGCGGGTTACGTGTCTATATGAAAAGATAAGCTGCTTTATAATATGGACCGTGAACGTGTCTTATGTCGAATTCAAACATTTCCATTCAGTTGAATTATGCAGAAGAAATGGATAAATGTACATCAATAAAATTAAATAAGGCAGCTTCACGGTGGACACTGTCACACATTTGTAAAGAGCTTAGTCTTATTTATCGTAAATATTTTTTTTGTATTTTCTGTTACGTTTGTAATTAAATAAATTTTCACCAACTGCTCGGCTCCTAGTGATCGCAGGGTGAGGTTTATAGCCTATAATAGTCTTTGAAATGTGCTAAAGTAAAACTAATAATTCAATTAGACCCGGTAGTTCCAGGGATTACCGCGTTCAAACAAACAAACATTTTAGCTTCACATATTAGTAGGTACCTATAGATATAGATTTACCTGGGCCAAAATCTCCAAAAGTTCATCGTTAGACAAAAAGAAGAATCTTGGAAAAGCGACTCGTTTAGTTTCTAAATAGGCTTCGAGACATTTCATGATTTGATCAAGCATTTCATTATTTCTCACAAATTCTTCGTAAAGCTTAGGCTGAGTCGCCGCTGGCATCGCCAAAGGTACCTGTATAAAACGGAACTTATTAACTGTACGTAGTACCTACCCACAGAAGAACGATATTTCAAAGCGTAGTTGAGGATCGTAAAAATATGGAAGCCTCTTAAAAACTACTAATAGATAATTTAGCAATGGTTGACCTATTTTATTATTAAAATGAGCACTCCACTCAATAATAATTATGCAACCACAAATTACAGTGTTTAGCTATATTGCACACAATGAAAACGAATTTGGCATACCTTGGCTAATTTACGCATGATATCCTTCCAGGACTTGTCGACAATAGTGAACAGTCTTGTTTCATTAGGCAACTGCCTCTGGATGTCGGGTGCACTAAATATCACTTCCAAATACATCCAAGTTTGTTGGCAGGTGAACCATTCTTCCTGCGAGTAGTATTTCGTTATTACAAAAAAAATATAGGACATTCGAAATTAACTGTAGTGTGACTTCTAACTAGTAGTTTTTCTCAAATGACTAAGCCGTATTTATCTTATAAGTACTAGCTGGTCTTTTGCGGTTTCACTTGGTCTGCTCGGCTCCTATTCGTCATAGCATTATGTTGTATAGCCTTCCTCGATAAATGGACTATCCAACACAATTAATAGAATTATTGAAACCGGACCAGTAGTTCCAGAGATTAAGCCCGTTCATATAAACAAACAAACAAACTATTTAACTTTAAATAAAACAAAAAAATCGTAGTACAAGGTATAAGATAAGACTAGCATTTGCTCCCGACATCGTCTGCTTGTAATAATTAGTTCCGACACAATCAGTACTTAATTTTTTTTTGTAAGAGCATAAAAAAACTGATACAGCTACTTCTCGGGTCTTAAACTATCGTGGTACCGAATTTCACTCAAATAGGTACAGTAGTTTAGATTGGGACTCCCGGGATTACAATAAATCGTTGCCGTTCGTGTGCGATTTCCGGGAAAAACACTATCCTAACTACTTTCCCAGATCTCAAAGTAATTTATTTAAATAGGTTCAGTAGTAGGAGTAGAGTTAAAGATTCTGTAATTTCGTACCTACTAATATTATGTAACTTAATAATAAAGTGATGGATTTTAAACAACATGAAGGTTACCAGAGTTTTAGAAAATAGTTCCAAGTTTTTATCCCATTCTTCAACCCTACTTTTGATTGGTCCACAGTTGCGAGAACTGAGTATAGTGCTGATATGAATGTTACTTTCATCGACACATGTCTGGATTTCCTCAAGACCACCCAGCACATATACATCTTTCGCATCTTTGTGCAATACCACTGGGAACTCCAGAGATGCCCACATTTCTTCCACCTAATTATAAAAACAGTATATTGTAATTTAGTATTATTTTGCAAAATAATTTAAGGACAGCATCCATTTCCATTTATGCACAAAAACATGGATTATTAAAATTAAACTGAATGTTGTTGCTTAAATCATAGAACTAAAACTATAAACAAATTACGGCATACTTCATGATTATTGGTTCAAGTTTACACAATAGCAAAACTTGAGATAAAATGTACTTTTACTTTACCTTCTTAAGCAATGCTTCCAGTCCAGCTTCAGAACTCGCTTGTCCAGCCACTTCCATCAGCTCTTCAGCATGTTGGAAGGCATGTAAATCTTCAAATACTTGCAATGTCAGCTCCGTGTCTGGTGTGAATCGCGTGTGAAGAATCTCTTCAATTTTCACCCAGTGTCGTGGTTTCAACGCTGGGTTTCGGAGATATGACATTACAGGTAGCTAAAATTTGAAAAAGATGTTTAGAAAATGACACCGTCATTCTTTTTAAGCCGCAAGTGGTGGAAAAAGTGCGAGTCTTGTGATGTTACTCTCTTTCATTAGTTATTGTCACAAGTGTGTTAAAAGGTAGCTTAAAAATGAGATGAGTATCTCCAATAAGTCCATGCACTATAAGTTTATCAAGAAATTATGAATATGAACTAACACAGTTCAGTTCCACATACCTTTTCTTTAATTATGTCTATAGTTGCCTTGCATTTTGGTACGATTTTGTTTGGAGGAACGCCTTTATCCAGTTGGTTAAATATCTTGGCAAAGTTGATGGTAGTTGTTTGAATCTCATCAACGTCTAATGTATTGAATGGAGCCTCACACCTGATAATAAATATATTTACTTATATAATTGCATACTTATTAATAACGTAATCTTATTATTTTTGTCTTTGAAATTATTCCAATTATGTAAGGATGTCATCCACGTAATATATTATGTCAAACACCATACAAATTCAACACCAGGCAAAATCCTAAACTCCGTGTTTAGAGAAAATTGAAAACGAGTAAGAAGTTTCTCTTAACGCAGAAATTGGACTCAAAACATCTTGACAGAATGCGCTTGTGATCACTCGTCGAAGCTCCTTAGTATTCGAGGCAATGCTCAATAAACACCTTTAACGATAACTTTTGATACATGAATGGGCATAGGTAAATAAACAAGGTACTTAAGATTATCTTACCAACTCTTATACATGTCGTTCCATTCTTTAGACGACTTCCATAGTAACTGTCGAAGCTTAACATCGTTTATAGCTTCATCTAATTGTTCCAGTCGAGCTGGCGGTATCTACAAATTGAATTTATTCATATGTTTTGCATGAATGACTAGCTTAATTAATTAATCTAGTTTCATTAAGTACTAAATTTCCGTCTGCGATTTCAATCGGAGAAGGAAAAGGAATATTTCCACATACTTACACAACAAACATACTTTTATTGTGTTGTTTTTAATATTGTTTTCAGTGGAATCATAATTCTGGGTTTAATTACCATAAAATTATTACATATTTCACTGAAAAATAGTTTTATACGTAATAGTTTAAGACGTCACGATAACAAGTCATGTTGATTTAATCCTAAGAAGTACATATGTATGTATATAGAATGTACATTCAGTTTATGATTTAAAAATGGGTTGTTCATAAAGTGTCCTAATAACTTGCAACCATCTGTTGCTGAAATGTGGTGACATTTTGGTGTATTTCAACTTAATGTCAATGTTTCTACGTTAGCGAATAGAAGGATCAAAGCTACTATCACGCAGCTATGAGCCACGGTATTTAGAAATACTTAGTTTACTAGCTCGCAGGGGTCGATTCTTATAATAAGTTGTGTAACGGTTTGGGTATTTCAAGCTAATTTTAGAATAAAAATATTGAACTATAGTTATGGAAGATTATTTTTAGATCTCTTTGAATTGATTTATATCCTGATAGCAATAATATCTGTGAATAAATACCTAAATACGAAAGCTTTAGAGCTAAGTCAAACCTTTTCTAAACCACAGAAACGTTTGTTACGTTTTACGTTTACCTTGAATATTTTCTGCCATTCTCGTATTTGTTTTTCTCGTGCGGAGCATGCATTGAGCTTCTCTTGCAACTCTTGCAAGGTTTCCAATACTTTTTCTATATCTGATTTTTCATCGTACAACCATGGTTGCTAAACAAAAAAGGAAATTACGCCATAATACTAATCCAGGTAGTAAGCACATATGAAAGGAAAAGTGAAAACGTCAGTTTCTTACCGCAACTTCCTCCCTCAGTTTGTTAACATCCAACATCAGCTCCATGATATCCTTGCCAATTCGACTTGCGAATAGTCCTGCTAACTTACTTCGAGTCTCAAGACGTGCATCAACATTAGTCCGAAGAGTCCCCAATGCCACACTTAAACCTAAGTACTTATGTATTATCAATTAAGAAGGTTTAATTTGTCTAAGCGAAACAATATTTTAAATACAATGAAATTTTAACGCAAGCACAATAAGGAATTAAAATTCTGTAAAAATACACACCTAAGTATTCAGTCATGTCATCTGGCGATATCGGAATGTTAAATTCTCCCATGAGATCATAAAGTTCTCGAAGATACTCTAGTCTCTCCTCCAAGAAAGCTACGCGAGCTTCCAGACCATCCATCAAAAAGTTAAATGCAACCAGTTCTGCTGCAGTTTCAGGTTCTTTAATGATATCGTCATTAATATTTTCAATACCTTGTATTATTTCTTCGATGCAGGCGTGACCGATCCTACATAACACCAAAAGTCGTTAAGTAAAGGTGCGATTTGCATTTGTTATAAATAAAAAATTTTTTTTTTATTTCAGACATATTGGGTCCATACATTTACAGTTTTATATTATTAAATAAATATTAATTAATTAATTTAATTTAAAAACAAAATATATAACTTGCTTCTCCGAATTTTTTTTTTTTTATACATTTCAAATGCCGAATGTTATATAGTGATAGACTTGAGCATTGTTAGTGTACTGAATGTTCAGGACCTTAAGTGAAAAATATCAGACTTGGCCCCCCATAATAAATAAACAATTACTTACTCAGGCGTGACATTAGCTACGACGTCGAAAAGTTTTCTCGGTTGCGGCCTAAATAGTTCTTGGAAGGGACTCAGACACAAAAACAGCAAACCCAATGGCTGGTAGCACAAGACATTTTCTACAGACTCCATTTGTTGAACAAATCTATCACACATTGTTTTAAACTTGAATACATCTCTTTCCTCCCTGATGAGATCAAGGTCCATTGCGCAAGATTCACGATAATCATCTCTGTATGCCTGGTAACGTGTCAGGAAGGTCCATACGACCTCATATGCATATGTTATAGAATGAGGTATATATGCTATATCATCCAACATAGGTTTGTCTTGGTTCATCAAAAAGTATAGATTCGGCGACACTCCAGCAGACCAGTCGACTGGCTTTCCCATTATTGTCGGCTGAACAAATATTTGCAGTGTTTCATCGTTTAAAAAGTTATGGAATGTGCGCACGTACTCTTCCCAGTAGCCCGTAATCTTTTCGATGTAAGTTGATATTACTTTCTCGCTGGGATTCAATTCCATTTCACCAGATGGTAAAATATAAGCATCTACTTGGAATAAAGCCCACTGTGAAATCAAACGTAAAGTGTCACTACATATTTAACTTCTCATGAAAAACCTCGATGTTATAAGTACACGTACTTTGCAAGTTTCTGTAACACGTGGTATTACTTCGAGCACCTCTTCCACATTAACTCCCTCTAAAAGTGCTTTAGGCGGAGTAAATTCGACATGCGTACGAAGCATATTGGACATCATATTGTTTGATCGCTTTGTTAGACGGTACAGCATATAATTTGTCATATAATCCGCTAGCTTTATGAAACTGAGAGCATAATAAATATTAATAATGTTACTAAAGTAAATGCTAAAAAAAGATTCTTTCCGGCAACCGTAAATGCGGGGTCTGCGAACGGGGAGCAAGGGTGGCTTGCCGCTCGACCAGAACCAAACGGCGCGTCGCGTTCCGCGCGCGCCTCAAAGATCCATCAGACTATGTACAACAGATGGGGCCCAGTAGGGCTGATGATCGATACGTAGACGCGGAAGGCCTAATGGGTTGCCGGGGCTCTGGCTCGAAGAGCTGGAGTAGGAACAGGATAGTTTTTAGTCAGTAATGTCGGAATACTGAAACGCTACTCAATTTTAAGTCGTGCTTAAGTGTAGTTCTGTCACCACTAATTCTTTGTAAAATGACAGAGATGGCTCGATATTTGAGCACGACTTAAAATTGAGTAACGTTTCAGTATTCCGAGTATTCAGTATTCCAAGTTACTGGATGAGTTTCCCCCTGAGGGGGGACAATCATTCAATGACTTCTTGGCTTGGTCCAAACGGAATGTAGGTATTTTATTTATTTTGTTTAAATGTGAAATAAATAATGAATCATCAAATCAGTGGCTAAATGTAAAAATGGTATAAATCCATACAAAATCCTCGCTCAACAACGCCGCAGATAAGGTGTCTCTGCTAGGGTCTTTTGTAACTTTCAATTTGAAAGATCGAAGCGAACTCAAGCGAGCGATCCAGCTCATTTCGATAGTTCGAATTGACAGTTACAGATACAGAATAGCCCAACTGATCCTCCACACTTCTCTCTTTTGTATGTGTACAAATGTCTACAAAGCGTGTTTTGAGATAATATGAGACGCTTTACTTTTAAAATTGCCGAATTAAAATAAATTATTTTACTTTGATAATTATTAGGTAAGGTACCGATGCAGTTTTTTTAATTTCGACATAATAATAAATAGTGATTCTAATTTTGTAAATCGTATCTTATTGATGGGCTAAATTAATAGGCAACGTTTTCCATTTCTTTTTACCCATTCAACGTCGCTATCGTTACCTTTTCCTTTGACTTGTTTCTTTGATATCTTGGAACGGAATTCAGGATCCAGGACTGAATGGAAATTGTCCAAACACTTAAAAACAATCAAAGTAAAACCGGTCTTACCACGCTAATCTTTCGCAGTATTTTCTCTTATTCGCTTTCTCTGTGTAAGACATACCCCCAGTAGGCTTTCCTCTGATGACTTGAAAAGGTGGGATATTTCTGTCATCATACACAAATCCTTGCTGGTACAGGGCTGTGTGACATGATTGGGTGATCACATCCAGAACCACAGTACGGTATTCATATAACTTGTCTCTGACATATTCTATTCGTTTCATCTGTAATTTTGAGTTGTAAAACTTTTTTACAGAAATCCTTATCGTTTTAGTCATTCAGAGCGTTACCTATTACTAATGACAAAGAGATTTGTCTTAAGCTCATTAATAGGCAACGACTAACAACGGTACAATATTTTACCTGATCTTCAATGAAGTAGAAGAATGCAGTATCCATATCTCTGGACAAATCAGCGAACGTTTTCATGTACATCTCACAGCACATCGCCTGTATGCTAAGCAGCGCCTTGGCCAATACTGGCGTCAAGATGAAAAGATTCTTCGCCAACTTATTACGAATCTTGGTATATTTTCTAAACATGATAGACTTCTTCCAAACATAAAATGCTTTCCAATATCGATATAGTTTAAAAAACTTAATCTGAAACCGGTTTGTCGCAATTATCTATCTACCAATTAGAAAATTCTATTATTTTTAATGTTCTAATACAGAATTCTTACATCGGTGAGCTTAACAAAAATGGTATACTCTTGTTCCCAAGCAGGAAGCTTCGTGAAGACCATTTCGTTGGAATAGTGTGTAACCCCACACGGACTTATTGTAAAATAGTTTCGTTTGTCAATGTTCTCATACGTAACGACTCTGGAAGTTGGATTGCGTAAACATTATTTTCTTGGACGAATACGAACAAAAAGATAAGTAAGTAGTTAGTAAAAAGAAATACAAATCCGGTCTGATATGCCAATACAAGTCTTCGGAGAACCGGCTTGATAACATTTTGTGAACTCGGTGTCAATTGATATTAAAATAAGATATAGGTATTCTTGATCTCAAACATTAAATAATTTAAGCTAATATGAGTAATCTGAACTGTAGGTATAGTAGAATAGGGTAAATGACTAATTTTTATTTTAATGTCCGTCTGGTAGATTATTTTTAAACATTAGACAAGTATTTTTTATTTTTTTAAAGAAACGAATACCCTCGACGTTATATTGATTTGAAATGTCGCGTGACGTCACTTCCATGTACATTTTATACGTAGAAATGACGTTTTAGCTCCCACTCCTAAACTTTGATTCGTTTTATCTAAGTGTCATTTTATTATACGACAAAATAAAAAATACGTGTCTAATATTTTTTCATTACCTAATTGACAGACTAATTAGATTTTTAATTTTCATACCCTGTCATCATCCCTATTCTCTATCGTCTAAAAACACCCTAAAAACACGGTTGTATTACAACCACCGGACTCGATTAACGAGCTATTGACATTACAGAAAGAGCACCTACTTAATGTATTATTAGGTAGGTACCTATATCTTAACCCCTGAAGTTAGTGAAATAATAGGCGCTTACTGAAGGTAATAAGGCGTAAAATAAACATTCTGTGGGTCCACAGCATATATCATATACAGGAAACCGCATGACGGGTTGTTTCTCACGTGATTTATCACATCTGTTTGAGATGCCACCGGCGGTTTTACTTTCAGGGGATCAGTGGTTTGGTACTCCTTGTCTTCCAAACTTGTAGCCGATTCCTGAATAATGAGTTTCCTCTTCTTCTTAGTACCACTACCAACAGCGGCGCCTGTACATAAAATTGTTAATTTATGTTCATCTCACCAGAATGGTCTTTGTAAGCCTTTATCGCTAAGATCTACTTACTGCTGGCTTCTGTTTCTTCTGTAGCCAATGTTAGAGGCTCTAAAATACCTGGCTTTCGCTCTTTTTTAAAACGATTCTCTTGAGCAGCTGCAAATCCCGTCTGTAGAAATAAACGGAACACACATTAATTATTCTGAATGTATGATTAATGGGTTGTCACCATAGCCGATTAACTGTGCGTTAGGTTTCCGCAAAGAATGTCATCGTATCTAATTTGTATCTATTTAAAGAAGAAATAGGTATTAGATTAGGCCTTTGTAAACGCCACGCTGGTTTTCTGTGAGGTCATGGTATTACTCCGGTCGAGCCAGTTCACTCGTCCGAAGCTTTACTCTCCCACGAAATAAAACCCTACTTCAGTACTTCTATTCCGATTAAGTGAAATTTAGTGGCCAAACGTCGTCCTAGGGACAGTTGTAAGCCACACTTTCAAGACTTAAAACTGTTAACGTTTCCATGTTTATTTATTTACGAAGTAGCCACCTTTGTTAAATGTAACAGATGTCTATTTGAATTAAAGCCCCCACGCGATTCCAGGCTGAGGCAAAAGGATACTGGTGACCTTCAAGTAGTACACGGTAATACAGCGCTTTTTAGTAAGAGTATTTTCAGGGTTGCTGCACAAATATATAATAGATTACCTAAGGAAATCAAAGCACTAGACTTACCTCTTTTCAAAAAGAAACTAAGGCAGTTTTTAATAACTAAATGTTATTATAATTTAACCGAATTTATGACTGATGACAGAGGAAATTTATAATGTTAACAATGAAGATTTTTATTGTTTCCTTAAGTTAATGTAATTATTTAGTTACTTAAATGTTATTATAGTTTAATTGAGTATACGGCTGATAGAGTAAATTTTCAACACAAATAATAGTTTTATTAAAACTTGATGTTAATATTAATTTAGTTTGTAATTAGGTGTATTATGTTCCATAATGTAGACAGAGAAGATTATTGTCTGTAAACACACTAGATTAAGAACATACTATAAAAATTTTGTATGTCTGTACAGACACAATGTGGCGCACTACCATAATATTATCTACCATCTATTGTAACATACCTACATTGACGAAATAAACAATATTTGTATTTGTATTTGTATTTTTTTTAAACTTTGCCCCACATTAGGATTTTCTCCTGTGTCTTGGGTGCGTTGTTGCGTGCGTATGTTTGTAATACAAGTTCACATACACAATGACACCCAGACCCGAAACAACAATTTGTGGATAGCACAAAGTGTTGTTTCGTGCGGGAATCGAACCCGCGTCACGTCCCACGGCAGCCGGTTGCCCAGCCACCGCGCCAACCGTGCACTCTATATAAAAAAGTCTCAGAGACCAGGGCCTCAGAACCGATTTTGATTTAGGAAAAGTCAGTTATTTCCTTCCTAAAAAAGATTACATACCAAAGGTTCAGGTTCTTTTTTGACATATTCTATTTTTTCCAGTAGCTTCTTGTGGGGTACATGAAAAGGCACCTCCCGAGGTTTTCTGAAACATAAAATTCGTCGTTCAGCGCAGTTGACTACAACGTCAATAACTTACACTTTCATACCAGCTAGGCCTACTTCTCTAGCACAGGGAGAACTTGAGAACTTGACGCTTTTGTATTTGATTGATGACTGATTAAATTTATTGAGCAAGACAATACTCCATTATGAGGTGTCGTACATAGATACAGGATACACGTCTGATTTTTAATTATGTTTGTCCTTCTATCCGCTTTACCATAATATGTAGGTACTAGCGAACTCTTAGTAGGTAGGTATAATAACTATTTATAAGTATCAAAAACCATAAATCATTCCACCAGTCCCTATAGACTCGCACTTGGCCGGGGCTTTTTAATTACCTACCTACGATAATAATAATAAAATAGTAATATATTTACTTCATGTGGTACGTAGGTGCAGGCCTAATATTTCTTTGTAATATCTCTATAGCTGGTAGTGTTGTTGAGATAGTTCGGCGAGTCATTCGCTTCTCATTTGTAATTGAAAAAGGCATTTCGCAAACACTGTTAAAGTTTGTCCATATTATTACTTCACAGATGGTATTAATAAGAAAGAAAATAATAAATTATCATCCAAGATTAAGAGTCTAAGAGACAATCGAATATAGTTGTCAACAACTCCAAATTTTGTTTATCACCATGGAAACCAGTGTCAAGTGCCTATCAAGCAACCACATAGTAACTATGAAGCAATGAAGCAATAGACACGGATTAGTACGTAGGAACCACGGAATATAGTGTATTCTATATTCCGTGGTAGGAACCTACTTACAATATTAATTAGTCATGCTTGTTTCTCATTGGGGTAAGCAGAGATAATGGAACCACCAATGAAAAACGGAAATACAATTCTGACATAGGTACCGACCATTTTGCAAATAAAAAATACATACCTACTTACTGTATAAGAACAAAGATATAACTCAAAGTATTAAATATCAGATAGGTGCCTAACTTTAATTCCATTGAAATTGTTTTTTAATATTACTTATATCATAAACTACAAGAAAAAAAACAGATTCATATTTCTCATTTTTATCGAGAGATGGAGGAGTACCTATTAAAGTAACATTAATTTTATGGTAAATGTTGTGGAGCTATAAGAAAATACCTATCAAGTTAATACTCATCTATTTAATTCGATAAATGAATGAAGAGACTTTTAAGGGCTGTTAACATAACTGTTTAACAATGACAAATTATTAAAATTACCTACTGTTAGCGAAACTGTACGACACATTAAGTATTTTGATACATGTAAGGAAAATACATAGGTACCTAAAATCATTGATCATTTACAGTTTTATAAACAGAAATATGGCTGTAAGCAAACGCTCATGACCTACATATTATACCTAGGGGTTTTTGATTGAGTCGAATACTTTTTCTAAGCAAGTAATGCAATGAATAATTATATTTTCATTTAAACTGTCAAACACCAAGCGGTCACCGGTGACCGCGACCTATTGTTCTTTAATTGTGTCTATAAAACCGGTACTCGACGAGTTAAATAATATAAAACAGGACTACTTATGAGTCATTTATAGCCGTTGCTCGCGTCGTTGTGCGTCGTTGCTGTATTTTGAAAGTCCCGCCACGCCATTATTTTGTACAAGGACAACAAAATGTCTGATGGGATATCAAATAGCGCCAGTCTATTTTGTTCTAATGATTAGTTGTACAAGCAATAATACTTTTGTAAAAAACATAGTGCATTTATTCTTTTATGTGAATGCATTTTCCGATTTCACTAGAAATTCTTTGCCCCAAGAAACTAGAAAAGGTTGAAAAAGACTGTGAAATATAATACCCTTGCGCAGACATACTTTAGCTTCGTTCCATCGTTCAAGTACGACGCAGTTTAAAAAGAAAAAATATTTGTCTATGTTCTGATTGTGATTGTGTGATTGGCGCTATTTTGCGTTTTTATTTTAGATTTAGGTATTAAAACAGTGTAGTTTGTGTCAAGTATGAAATATTAGTTTCAAAATAGTTTTCTCGAGTGTGGTTAATCATACTAAAAGCTTCGTACAAGGTACGCTTCTAAACATTTTAATCACTTAGAAAGCAACTTTCTCCTTTCGCTACTGTCAATTTTGTCGATATGTTTTAGTTGGAACAAAAAGGCTGAGAAATACAAGCATATTGTATTATTCATCAAATTCTGCCTTCGCATTTGTTGTTATTTTATATCCAGTTATCTTTTAAAATTGAGTGCCTTTAGATAAAATATACCTAATAATACATCTACCGAAGCCTTGGTTTGCACAAGACGCAGCTATGCAAGTACCTAGATACGAATTCTGGCTAATAATTTTTTACTTTGTCTCCGCTTTCGGTAAATCAAATATAAAATAATTATAAAATTACTCTGGTGTAATTATTTTTAAATTAATTATGTATGATGTTACTTATTTTCTTTAGCCAGTACGATAGAAAAATTACGTTGTTTTTCTGCTACTACACACGCAAACAATAATATGCATAGTAAACACATTCTTATTTTGTATGACCTATGTAATGTCTGATTAGAATATTATTACCATTACTATAATTTTAAACAAAAACATGATACCTAGCTAAAACTAATACCTACAAAATAATATTTGACTATAACAGTACATTTTCTAAAATTTCTTGTACCTAAGTTTATAATTAGCTTTGAAGTTAGATAATTATTAACACAATTAACTCTTACATTGAATAAACAGCTATATGCAAACATTGTTTAGCTAGAATTTTTCAATGCAGCATGATTAGTTAACATGTAAAAACTAATTACATTTACAAAATAGTTTAACATCTAAATAGTTTTTACATGTAGTCTATGTAAATCACACAAAATTGTGTTTTTGACTCCACAGATCGTTCAATGGGTTCCTTAACATAAAACCTGCCAGAAGCTTCATTTGAAGCCTTTAGTGTTAGTTGTCATTGAGGAATTGAATGGCTATGTATTATTACGCAAGTAAACTGAATGAAGCCTCATGTAGTGGGTGCAATATGAAAGTGCCCCCAGCCCCCTCCGAGCCGGCCCCTGTGCCACCACCACCCACCGATCTCGCTCCGCTACCACCAGACCCATCTCTCCTGCATGGAACGGGCCTTTCTTATTATGATGTAAGTTTCCTCTATTGATTACTACGTACAACATAAAGGTTTTATATTTACATATATATGAACCCCACGGTCCATATGGTCACTTTACCCTAACATGCTAGCAAAAATTATAATATTACTAGTTCTGTTACAAAAGAATGAAATTCATTACGAAATATAATATTTATAAACCTTGAAATACTCATTACTATGAAACTGTTTTACAGAATGATGATTACTACTCAATGGTGAGAGGTAACAAGTTCATGTCTGAGAGTACATGCAAACATATTGTAATGAATGGGGGAATCAACTTTGTTTCTACTCAGAAAGTAGAAAATCCACAGGTAATACAAAAGCCTTTACTTATTAATTTTCTGTACTTAAAAATATATTATGATAAGTGTAAAGTTCTATAAATTACATATCTTTTCAGTTATCAGCTGTGCTGCCATCTGGTGTGAAGTCCTTAGCAACTCTGCCATACATGAACTGTGCATCTGACAAGCCAGAGGTTGAGTACAGAGATGGTCAGATTGTGAGTGCCACTCTAGAGGCTCTGGTAGATATGCTGCGACCAGGGGCCAGCAAAGCATTTACATTCACATTCCTACTATGTTCACGGCTATTTGTAAAACCACATGAACTACTGAACAAGCTCTGCAAGCGCTACTTTAAAAGCTATGAGAAAATAGTAAGTGTATTTCATTTAAGAGTCACCTATGCCTGTGTAACTCTAAATATCCTTGTAACACCTATAATTTAATTACAGGGAAAGTCAGAAATGAAAGATTTGGTAGAGAAAGAACTTGGTGACATGATATCCCTCGTAAGGGTACTAAGTCAGTGGACCAGCATGTTTCCTTACGATTTTCGTGACGACAGGGTTATGGCTCTTGTACGCAGTATAACTCAAAGGTAAATATCTTATTGTCTTGGTATCTATTTTCGTGAGTGGCTGGTTCAAGTGTCTGATCTGTTAATCGTTGTGCAGATGTGCAGCAGATCATATGACTTCAGTAAGAGTAGAGATGTCTACGACACTGGAAAAACTGCTTGATAAGTTGACTGCACTTGAACAATATGAAGAGACCTTAACTGAACCACCTCAGGTGTCGTCTTTGGACCAGTTGATGCAGGTGACGCAAATTTAAATTTAGACATTGCTATCAAAAATGTTATCTTAGTAGAATGAAAAAATTACTGGAATATTCTTGAAACCTGTTTCAGGGCGACATTCTTACCCTCGGCCTCACTCCAGTCGAATTGGCGAACCAGTTGACCATTGTAGAGCTGCACAGGCTATCCTTTGTTGGCCCTGAAGAGTTTGTGCAAACTTTTGCACCAACACAACCACCACAATCTTCATCATCATGTGGTAAAACCTCTATCAGCTTACATCACATAGAAACTAAAAGCACGCGGAATTTGGAAGCATACGCTGATTGGTTTAACAGACTCAGTTATTTAGTGGCAACTGATATTATAAAGGTAAATAAATACTGTTGAACCAATTTTATACATTTTTCTTCATATTTTTTAAATTTACATTACATTTATTTGTTTTGTGTTTTGTAGGCTGTTAAAAGCAAATACCGGGCTCGAGTGATTGAACAGTGGGTGATGACAGCCAGAGAGTGTTTCAATCTTGGGAACTTTAACTCGCTCATGGCCATCATAAGTGCATTGAATATGTCACCAGTGACGCGACTTAAGAAGACGGTTAGTTATATTTTATATCTGCCTTTACTTGGCGTAAATGTTGCACTTTTTTGTTACTTAAAGAAAGTTGTATTCTGATTTTAGTGGAGCCGAACATCAGCTGTATGTGGTCAGCAACTGAGGCAGCTAGAACTTTGTGTCGAGCCTAGTGGAAATCACGCAAGGTGAATATCCCTCATTCAAGTTGAATGAAATTATGTTGTCAGGCCTTTACAGATATTCTAATAAAAATTTCCTGTGTTTGATGGTGAATGATTGAAATTATAGATACCGCGCAGCATTGGCCGCGGCACCCAGTGAGACAGCCGTGCCGTTACTCTCTGTAACATGCCGAGATCTACATTTCGCTAACCAAGGCTCTCCCTCGAAGTAAGTACTTGCATTAAAGATATTTTAGTTGTAGTATAATTCTTTGTATCTTCAAATTTACGGTGAGTGTATCAGTGTTTACAATATGTACTGTACTATGTTACAGGTTGCCTGGAAATCGAGTGAACTTCGAGAAATGTTTGCTGCTGGGTCGCTATGTCAATATTCAGTTGGCTAGCCGACAACTGACCGTCGAGGGGACTCCAGTCACCTCACATCCTTCTCCCCACATCTCAGTGTGGCGCTTCCTTAACGATAGACCTACACTTACTGAGATTGGTAAGTATTTCATTATTATTTTAATGAGGTACATAATCTACCAGAATTTACATTTAAAATTTTAAATAATTATTATTATTAAGTCTGTCCTTGTTGTAACATTTAATTATCTCGTTTTTCTGCTTGTTTTTCACCATATTTGCTAACGTACTGTAAAATCATGGAATTACTGGAAATTAAACTCTTTTGCTAGTATTCGTGTTAAAAAAGTATTAATAGGAAAGTAAAGTGCTAAGCCGCCAAGCGATTGTAGTTATATTCGCAAATACTAATACTAGTATTTGCCTAAGCGACTTCACAACAAAAACTTATAGCGAAGTTTATTCGCATCTCGCAAGACTATAGAAATATTGGTGTTCTTAAAAAAGTTAACAAAATTCGTACCTAGGTACGGAACTGCATTGCTACAGTGCTCCTATTGGACGATAATATTTATGTTTATTTGTATTCACGGCTAAGAGGATTATGCGTAAAAGCGCCCTTGAAATACTACGTTCAATTAAATTTATTGTAACCACCTGTTGGATTTATACTACTGGACTTAATTCCTGTTTACAAATACACGCGTCTTTTTCCAAGAAAAGCTAGCGCTGTGGTAATTCTTAATAACCTTGGCTTCGATACCCAGTTTTTGTCAGATTTTACTGAATTGCTTACATGATCCTTTGCAGGCAGAATTTTACTGAGAATTTCAGGGATCGCAACTTTTATTTCGTAATATAAAAATATGACCCTATGTTTTGTTCTCTACTTTTCCTACGTTCAAGCCATTGCTGTGTATTATCGATTTATACATATATTAAAATTATAATTATGATTATTCTTACATATTATAAAAAGAAGTCGCTAAATTATTGTAAAGTTTTCACAATTAAATAATGTAATTCTTGAGGCAGGTTTTATATTGTCAACAATATATTGTATATTGTATCGGTTTGATTACACGGCTGAAGCTGCTCATGCTTAATTGTGCTTATGATCTTCGTGTTATGCGTCGTTTCTAGTAAAATAGCATTTCAATTTTGCTGCTTCTAGTTACAATTATTACAACTATGTACCTACATACATGGAGCCAATAAAAAGTTATTAATAATCAGTACCTACATTTGTTAATTTATAGCTATCGCCAAATGCTCTCTGCAATATCCTCTGTTTCCAAAAGCGATTGATCTTACTTGTTTTTCGTGGTGCTTTAGTCAATAAATTAATTAATTGACTTACAAACACATGACATTAATGCATAGCGAAAACGCGCTTTTTAAAAAAAATAATAAATAAAAAATGCCTGATGTGCCGAACACTTTGTTCGAGGTTGACCATTTACATGTAACAAACTCCATTTGAACCAGTTAGTTTTATGTAATAGGGGGTTAATCCTATTAATCTTGTCATCAACAGCCTCTTAGTCCACTGCTAGGCTTGTTTGGCAAAATAAAACAAGGGGCGTTTATGCGGTGCTTGTCTAGGTTTCTCTCTGGATCTAATCCGCATCTGGCCTACAGCCTATAAGGCGCATTTCGAGTTTTGCGAAACTACTACTCATATGCGACAGCAAATTCGTTCATATTTGGGTCAGATATCAAGCTTTAAATAATATATGTGCTGATGTTGCAAATATTTTTTGCGAAGGTCATATTTTCCACTATAGTAAGAATACTCTAACGGATGCATTGCGAACTCCGACTAAATGTAATGTTAATGTTGCTTTTTGTAAATTATTGTTGGTTTCTGTTATGTGTGAATGTATGCAAGTTATTATTATGTTCTAATCTAGTTGATAGTTACAATAAGGACAGCTATTAAATTTAAACCTAAAATATAATTTTAAAAATACAATGTTAGTATGCTATAATTAAATTATGAAACCGGTCTAACTGGGCAAACAAAACAAAAGTCTTTTCAATCGAATATAATATCTTTTCAGCTCTGGAAATCTTATCGTTTGAGCGCGAGCCTCCGGTGGACCATCAAGAAAAAGAGCGGTTGAAGCGCCTACGAGGCGCTACTTAAATTAAATACAAACCTCGTATTTGTGATCGGGATTCCGATATTTTTTCTAAGTTAAACCCGGTTATGGGTGACGCCCACCAAGCGTTATGTGTTCTATTCTTAAACTCATTACGTCATCGTATGTTATGTCTTATCTCGAGGGTAAAGGTACCTATGTACTTGGTTTCATTTAAGTCACGTTATACTTTATTTTAAAACTAATGCAAACGCATCCACTTGATTTTAAACATTATCCAAAGTCACATTACGACGTGATTTCAATATTTTATTACACTTTGATATAATGATCTCACGATTATAGGAACATCTAGAAATTATAATTAAATAGCTTCACTTAAACCCCTTTTCGGGGGAACCACCCTTAGGGAAACAATATTATGAGATTATTATACTGTCACAATTTTTTACTGGATCTACGAGGTAACCGACCAACGATAGTCATATCAACAAACTGCTCAATATGTGTATTAACATTTTAATTTTACATTTTGCAGCTACAGAATGTGTACCAAACAGTTTAGTATTTTTTGTGTAGTTTTATAGTAGGTATAATGTGATTATGAAGATTCGTATTTTTTAATATCGTCATAATTCATAATATTGCGTACGTATGCAACTAGCCGGAGCACCGGGCTAGTGAGAAGATGTTTAAAAAGAAGTCGGTTGATAATGAAACTATGGAATTTACTACATTGACTCTAAGTATGAAATACGTGTGATTTAAATTATTTCCATGACTCCTTAATCTTCATTTATGAGGCCATTTAAATCCAAGTTCCTTACACATCAGTATTTAGCTACCTGTTAAATCTCGCCATTATGATGAATCTCGTAATGTAAGTACTTAATATTTATTTTTTACTTTTTGCATTCTGAAAATTGATCTCATATGTTTGAATTATTTTTTGTGAACTTGTGTTCAAGTGTTAAACGTGTATTCGAATGTGTATATGTGCGACGGATATTATGTATATTTGGTGTAGTATATGCATTTATTGTGCAGTACAATACATTGCACGAGCTCCTGTTGTTTTCCTTTTGATGTCTCAAAAATGGCAGTTATTATCTTGTTTTTTTCTTTTTAGTTTGTATCAATTTGATTTAAATTGATGTTCATTAATGTTTTATTAAATAGTTGATACATTTGTGGTGATTATCTATGCATGATTAAGATGTTTACTTGGTCGTTAATATATTTAAATAAATGTCTACTTAAAGTCTCGGACCCAAGTTAACTGAATTATATTGTCAGCATGGGTAATATATTTAATGATTAATATTTGAAACAAAATGATTCTTATATGCATCTATGTGTTATGAATGTAGTGACTATGTACCTATTTAAAGTCTATGTGTCATATCACATATAGAATTAGTGTTTACTGCTCGGTAATCGTTGTTTTTTAACTATATTTTTACGTAAAAATGTGTTCACGGCTATTACCTTTAAGCAACATTTGTACTTAATTCTTTACGTACTTAATACTCATTTAACATAAATTATTTTGTAAGTTTTCGAAGGTTTTCAGCAATGTTATGTGTACAAATAAGTTGCCATGTTAGGGTAAGAACTAACTTCTGAATAATTTATACTGCCTGTGGCCCCCTATATCTCGTATTATCTTAATGGATACGATTTCACCTCTACTTAATGTAAGTTCACAAAATAGGTAACATAACACCAATTACACTGTGACTCTGGAGTCAGCAGGAGGAAAACACTTAATTTATTTATACCTAGTTAGTATCTAGTTCATTCTTCTGTATTAATAGATCGACCTTATTTCTCTACCCTGGTTACCTTTTTACATTCCAATACAATGATTGACTAGACCAGTATTAAGGAGGCAGCTAGAAACAGTATTGGATATTATTTCAAGTATATTTATTGCGATCAAATCCTTTTTTGTATAATTTAATTTTAAATTTGACTGTCGAAACTTTACAAAATGGGGTAGACGACTAATTTTTATTTTAATGTCCGTCTGATAGATTATTTAAAAACATTAGACACGTATTTTTTATTTTCTCACAGAAACGAATAGTTTCGAAGATAGATTTGAAATGTCGCGTGACGTCACTTCTCAGTACATTTTATACTAAGGAATGACGTTTTAGCCCTCACTCCAAAACTTTGATTCGTTTTATCTAAGTATTGTTTTATTATACGACAAAATAAAAAAATACGTGTCTAATATTTTTTCATTACCTAACTTACGGACTAATTATATTTTTAATTTTCATACCCTGTCATCATCCCCATTATAGAAATTTTGAACTCAACTTAAAGATTCATTAGAGATATATTTTTACTTACCTACTTTTATACAAAAAACATTGATCCTTGCAGATGGACCCAATTTATTTTTACCCAAATGTAAGGGAAGTTTGGGTTTTTATATTTATTTCACTTTTTTACGTGTAGATGTAGATACTGTTGAAACCAGTTTCAATGCCAGTCAAACAAGCCCACCCCTCAGTTGTTATACACAACTTAGGTTATCTTACATAGTGATTTGTGATTGATCAAAAGTAAGATTTATTAGTATATTATACTGTTTTTGTAAAAGTTTCGCCAGTCCATCTCTGTATGTTAAATACTTTTTATGTTATTAGTAATCGTGTATTATTTTACGCACTATTTTAAAGATTCCTTGTTCTATCAACATGGCAGTGTTATATTGCCATCAAAATTTATATTTTTTATATTTAAATTAGTAAAATACATCTGCCCTGTGATATGTGATCTGTCATACCTGTATTTTACATTCCTTTTTATTATATCCAGCTTAATAACTCATCTATAATCTCCTCATACCCAAGTACATTATTGTACAGGTACGGGCAGGTTATACTATTGATTATTACTTAATATTCATAGAAAATGTATGTAGTTTTCAAGTTATCTGTTTAAAAATTTACTTGTTACTATCGTAAATTATCTAAATGTCACAAATTCTAAAATTATAAATTAAAACATAAGATAAAACTATTTAAGAAATAAAACGTCATCATTGTAATAAACAAGTACTGTGTTTTTATGTTGTCCTGCCCTGGAATTATCAAACACTACTTCCATGTGAGTTCTTTGTTTAAGTTTCATGTAGCTACATCACTGTGTATCACGGTACGTAGAGTATAGATAGATTGTTATGGTCGGAAACAAAAACTAGAACAAGTAAATATTATTTATTTTTTAATAACAATATTTATCAAAGTATGTACAATACTATGAAATTTATTTTAATTACTGCTATCTAAAGTATCTTAATAACTAGCACCAATGAATTTTACGTAATGAATTTGTCTGTACAATGTATAGAAGTATTTAAATAGGTATTTTATTAAGATAGAAGTTATTTACTATACTATGTCTAGTTACACCGCATTGGTGTTCCATCCGGGTTTGTGGGAATTTTGGGCTTGCATACCTTTTTCCTACCCTCAGCGCTGCTGACCATGGTACAAGTAAATGTAAAATAGCCGCAGGATGAGGATTTAGTATAGTATGTGTGAGAGTACTGTTTACGAACATTATTTTCACCGTCTAGGTCACGTGTTACTGATTTAGAGACCGAGACGTACCTGTTATTATTGTCAGGTTTAGGACTGTATAATGATCTCAAATTTTTCGGATTAACATTCCTTGGGTATGGAGGGTATTTGTATTTGATTCTGCCGCTCCCTGAAGTAAGGGACACTGTTTGTGCTTGTGAAGGAGATTCTTTGGAACCAACTACGTAAGTCTTGTCTTTAGACGCTACAGATTTGACACTACCAGTGAATCCAACAGGTATTGTGTAACCACCAGTACCTGGTACACGTTCTCCAGGTTGGTATATTCTACTTTCATCTGGGCGTTCCGAATTCCTCTGTGTAATTTCTGCATCTTGGTCTGTTAAGGAGCCTAGCAATATATGTTGCGTATTACCACCCGTCGTCTGTCTCACTTCTATGCCTTTTCGTTTTGGACTATGAAGAGATTGATGTGTTGTTTCAGGATCTCTGGAGAATTCATTGTAGCTAGGATTGATATAACCCTGTTCGCTATCGGCAGCATCAGTTCCTTCAGGACCGAAACCATCGTCATAGTCTTCTGGTGGAGCGTCATCTTTATCTGGAGAGTATTCGTAGTCTCCGTCTGGATTGTATGATGGTTGGAAAGATCGTCTACTTTCTACTGGTGGTGAACGAGTGGGCCCCAATGATGGGTCATTTAAATGATGATCTTCGTGTTTATGTGTGTCAAACGATTCTTCAGGCTGGCCAAGTGGCTCTTCCTTATCTGGTTCTGGCACTTCCGGTTCATATGATAATTCCGTTGTAGATAGATCTGACGAAGGTGCAGGAGTTGTATATTCTATTGTTTCTGTGATGTTAAGATTTTCATCATTTATGTTGAGGTTTTTATTGATTTCATCATTAACATTGGTGTTTTTATTGGGCTCATCATTAATGTCGATGTTCTTGTTGCTTTGATCATTGACGTCAATCTTTTCAAATGGCAATCTATTTGGGAATACGGCATCTTTGTCCAAACTAGATCCTGCCTGAGCAGCACCATTGTATGTAATGCCGTATTTGAAAGTGCCGTGTAATTGTGATTGTGACATGCCAGTTCTGCCGCTTGATTGCGCGGAAGCTACGCCTCCTCCAACGAATGGAGTTTTCTGTGCGTCGTGCGTTTTATCACCTTCTTTGTAGGGCGTAAATCCTATTTGGGCTTGAGAAGATGTGCTGCCTGGTCCTCGTGCTTGTGCGTCAGCCATACCTCCTTTAACACTACCTTGGACTTGTGAATTAGACGAGTGCAATAAACCTTCACTTTGCGATCCAGTTACAACTGAACCGGTCTCTAAGCCAAGTTCCACATTAGCTTGTGATTTATTGTTTCGACCACTGCCTTGGGCTGTACTTGAAGCACTTCTTTTGTCACCAGCTACCTGGCTGCTGGCCGCTTTATTCTCACCAGTAATTTCTGCTTGAGCTGAGAAAGATCCACTGCCTGTGTAAGTACCCTGTACATTAGTCTGCGCTCTTCCTTTGTCGTTGCCACCTTTAGACGATGCTGACGCGACTGTTCCATTAGCTGCTTGGTTTACACTTGCTAGAGCTTCTGAGTCATCCCCGTCGATGATAGAGTTGGGGTCAATGACGTTTTGTGGTACACCTAAGGATTTAAATAGTATATTATTATAACTTGTTATTATGTCTTCTAATATTGTGGTTCACTTGCTTTGCCTTGCAATCAAAGTTTAATCACAAATAAGAGTTTAATCCATTAAAGGGTTATATTAGTCAATAAAATTTCTGACTGATTTCAGTATTTGGTGGGCCAAATACTGAAATCAGTATTTGGTCCACCAAATGGGGTTGGAACCCCAATCCATAGTCATACCGATTTCTAACTTTTGCAAAATATAGACTTCATGCTTTCAAAATACGGACGGATGCTTTTTATCCAAGGTTTTCCGAAAATCCTACGATAACATTTAAAAGCTAGTAATAGATATGTTTTAGCACGTATATATTTTTTTTAATCTTGGTGATTATAGTCAAATCAGTCTTAAATGATGTCTTTCTTGTTGACTAAGCCTGGAATCCTGTTTAAGTTCGAAATTGTATCGAAAATCGATACAATTGTAATTTATTATTGTTCTGAAAATTATCGTACGATATTCTACCAATTTATTTATTTTGATTGTAATAAAGTGTATTTCAAACGTTGATTCTATTAGTTCAACTGAAGTGTAAATTAAAAATAAAATTAAATAATACGTACCATTTTGGTTACCGCCCGAACCCTGAAATAGTAGACATTATGTATTAGCGAAATCAATAATAGATACTTATAAATAAAATACCCTGCTATTTAATGTACATAACACGTAAGTGCTACAAGTCCAACGGCATTTACTACATAACACGTCATTGGATGGCAAATTATTAAAATAGCGGCAATGTCAGTACCCCTTAGTACTTAGCACCCTATTACATGGGACTCATAACATAAATAGTGAAAAGTGGGTGTTACAATTGTACATGACATAATGTGCCCCTGTGCCTACCCCTTCGGGGATAAAAGGCGTGATGTTATGTTATGTTAGTACTGTCTGCCGGGCCACGGTGTATGGTCAATCGCGCCCGTGACCCCGGCAGGTACTGCACATCACTATAGGACATATGACGACTTCAAAAAAGTAATTATAATCTGTAGTTTATATATAATAGACAGTTGACACTAAACAAATTATATTTCTCCATAATATGCGTATATTTTAAAATTCATTTTATAATTGATATCTACAATAAGGTATTTACAATTGTTTCGTGTTTCTTTGTGCTCAAAGCAAATTACGATACGAAAAATACAAGGTTAAGAAATATATGCCGTGAAATGTAAATGAGTAGATCATAGAAAAAAATATTGTCAGTAAACTTACCGCTTGATTATCAGGACCGCCTGGAGCGTAAGGATTGGGATTGTATGGAGAACCTGGACCATACTGTCCACCAGTTCCACTTCCACTACCTGGCCCATATTGCCCACCAGTACCACTTCCTGGTCCATATTGCCCGCCAGTTCCACTACCTGGACCACCTGGACCGTATTGTCCACCCGTACCTGTCCCACCTGGTCCATATTGACTTCCAGTACCTGTTCCAGAACCAGGGCCGCCTGGTCCATATTGGCCACCATTGTTAGAACCGGGGCCACCTGGCCCGTATTGTCCCCCAGAGCCTGGCCCAGATCCAGGGCCACCTGGTCCATATTGTCCACCCGTACCTGTCCCACCTGGTCCATATTGACTTCCAGTACCAGTTCCAGAACCAGGGCCGCCTGGTCCATACTGACCTCCAGTACCTGTTCCAGAACCAGGGCCGCCTGGTCCATACTGCCCGCCAGTGCCTGTTCCAGTACCAGGACCGCCTGGCCCATATTGTCCTCCAGTGCCTGTTCCAGTACCAGGGCCGCCAGGTCCATACTGACCTCCAGAACCAGGGCCGCCTGGGCCATACTGACCGCCAGTGCCTGTTCCAGTACCAGGACCGCCTGGCCCATATTGTCCTCCTGTGCCTGTTCCAGCACCAGGGCCACCTGGTACATATTGACCTCCAGAACCAGGGCCGCCTGGCCCATATTGTCCTCCTGTGCCTGTTCCACCTCCAGGGCCACCTGGTCCATATTGTCCACCCGTACCTGTCCCACCTGGTCCATATTGACCTCCAGTACCTGTTCCAGTACCAGGGCCGCCTGGTCCATACTGACCTCCAGCACCTGTTCCAGAACCAGGGCCGCCTGGTCCATACTGCCCGCCAGTGCCTGTTCCAGTACCAGGACCGCCCGGCCCATATTGTCCTCCAGTGCCTGTTCCAGCACCAGGGCCACCTGGTCCATATTGACCTCCAGTGCCAGTTCCAGAACCAGGGCCGCCTGGTCCATACTGACCTCCAGTGCTTGTTCCAGAACCAGGTCCACCTGGCCCGTATTGTCCACCAGTGCCACCTGGTCCATATTGTCCACCAGTTCCCGTTCCAGAACCGGGACCTCCTGGCCCATATTGACCTCCAGTACCGCTACCTGGTCCACCCGGCCCATATTGCGCACCAGTACCGCTTCCTGTGCCGCCCGGCCCGTATTGCCCACCAGTGCCGCTTCCTGATCCACCTGGACCGTATTGCCCTCCAGTTCCGCCACCAGTACCACCTGGGCCATATTGTCCTCCGGTACCTGTGCCCGATCCAGGTCCCCCAGGTCCATATTGTCCTCCATTGCCTGTTCCAGGACCAGAGCCACCTGGTCCATATTGCCCTCCAGTTCCGCTACCAGCACCACCTGGGCCATATTGTGCTCCAGTGCCAGTTCCAGATCCAGGGCCCCCAGGTCCATATTGTCCTCCAGTGCCTGTTCCTGAACCAGGGCCACCTGGCCCATATTGGCCTCCAGTGCCTGTTCCAGAACCAGAGCCACCGGGTCCATATTGGCCACCAGTGCCAGAACCAGTACCACCAGGCCCGTATTGTCCTCCAGTGCCACCTGGTCCATATTGTCCGCCAGTTCCAGACCCGGGACCTCCTGGTCCATATTGACCTCCAGTGCCAGTTCCAGAACCAGGTCCATATTGTCCTCCAGTGCCAGTTCCAGATCCAGGACCACCAGGTCCATATTGTCCTCCAGTTCCTGTTCCAGAACCAGGGCCACCTGGTCCATATTGCCCTCCAGTACCTGTTCCAGAACCTGAACCACCAGGCCCATATTGACCACCAGAACCGCCTGGGCCGTATTGTCCACCTGAACCGTCTGGTCTATATTGTCCACCAGTACCGCTCCCAGTGCCACCAGGCCCATATTGCCCTCCTTGGCCTCCCGGCCCATATTGGCCTCCAGTACCAGCTCCGGAACCAGGGCCCCCAGGTCCATATTGTCCACCTGTACCACCAGGCCCATATTGCCCTCCAGCACCGCCTGGTCCATATTGTCCACCCGTACCAGTACCCGAACCAGGGCCTCCAGGTCCGTATTGTCCTCCAGTGGTTCCTGGCCCATATTGACCTCCAGTACCTGTTCCAGACCCAGGACCACCAGGCCTGTATTGACCTCCAGAGCCGCCTGGGCCATATTGTCCACCAGAGCTACTGCCAGGTCCACCAGGTCCATATTGTCCACCAGTACCAGTTCCTGAACCAGGGCCTCCTGGTCTGTATTGTCCGCCTGTACCACCTGGCCCGTATTGACCACCAGTACCAGGGCCATATTGCCCGCCTGTACCCGACCCAGGGCCACCTGTGCCAGGACCATATTGCCCACCAGTTCCACCAGGAGTGTATTGTCCCCCAGGTCCGTATTGTCCACCACTACCTTGGCCTCCGGTTGGCGAACCAATGGCTCCGGGTGGTTTATACCCATTACCTTGACCGTTTTGTGGAACACAGCAATAATAATTAACACCATCAGCTCCGAGAACACTATAAGGCCAGTTTGATCCTCCTGGGTAAAGACCGTTTTGTCCCGGATATCCATTTGGACCACCGCCTTGATATATGCTGTTACCTGGTCGTCCGCTTTGATTTGGACCATAACTTCCATCTCCGTTTTGTGGTAGCATCAAAGATCCTGGTGGTATGTTACCTCCATCATTCGATCCTCCAGGTATGTATCGTTGGTTACCTGGCCCAATGTTGTTATTGCCATTTTGAGAACTATCAGTAGGGCCGTACTTTCCAGGGCCTGTACCTCCGTGTGTGCCATCTCCACGGCCATTATTGTTACCATTTGGTAATCCATTGGAACCATGCGTAATTGGTGTGCCATCAGGATTTATTCCATAACTTGATTGGCCACGGGGCCCTATTCCGCCATTGTTCATGTCTCCTGGTCGATATGCTTGTCCAGGCCCAAAAGTTGTACCACCCAGTGTTCCATCTTTACCGGGGTCATATCCAGCACTAGGGCCAGTTGCTCCGGGTCCAATTGCACCAGGTCTAGTTGCACCAGACCCAGTTGCACCAGGTCCAGTTGCACCAGGGCCAGTTGCACCAGGATGTCCATACTGTCCGTTGTAGTTATTACCAGGTGTACCGCCTTGATTATTCCCTCCATAGCCGCTAGTTCTAGGATCGACCATTTGACCAGGTCCAAGTCCGCCTGGTCTATTTGAGCCATTTCCAACACCATTACCTCCTGGCCCATTTGCACTGGAAGTGAAATATTGAATGTGTTATTATTAAGCAAGTCTTTCCGTGCGGTATTAGCTAGTTTTATTATAGGTGTGTAAATAATATAAATCAATAATGTAGGTAATAGGTACAGGTATTTTTTTAAGGGGGGAAAATCATCGAATGTCTGCTCCCGCCTGGGTGAGGCGGGAGGAATGTCAGACTCTTACTGACTAAAAACCACCCCGTTCCTTCTCCTGCACGTCGAGCCGGAGTCCCGGTAACCCGTTAGGTTCTCCGGGACAATAGGTATAGGTATACGGTACCAACATTATAAGTTGAATTTTGTTTTTTTTAATACCATAGTCCATTTTTTGTCTAATATCTTTGGCATTAGTCCAGCTAGACTGAAATTGTATACTTAACATGAAAGCTTAAGAAATGCACTGTGCGTAAAATAATATTATTTGGTAAACAAACTACCTACTAAAGTAAGATAATAAAAAAAAAGAAAATTAGCTCTAGCGCGTTTCTTTTATGTCTTTTCAGTTTTAAAGTTACCGCGTGCTTCATTTTGAAACTAACACTAATAGTTAAAGATTTTAAAAACCGTTCAATTCCGCCTATTCCTTTGTTCGACAAAAATGTTGGAATTGATCTGTTCTATAGCTCCATACGAGATTGAGGTCAAATTACAAATTGCCCTGTATATACGCATGGTATTATTCCAGTCCAATAATCATCTTGTTGATACTTCACTACATCTATAAAATGTATCATAAAATTAAAAGCCTTAAAACATACATTTCACCTGGTCGGCGTTTCAAACTTTCTGCGCCCAAATCATTGCGACCCAAACAATCATCGCAGCTCGGATCATACATGGATTGACTCTGGGCTTGACCCATGCCGCTGTTGCCAACTGAAATAAATCATTGTAATTCACTTCTCTCGTCATTAACAATAACAAACAGTAGCAAGCACTTAGAAGGTTCCATTTAATTTTACAAGTGAATTTCTTTGAGTACCGTGTGTGAAAGAGATACCTGAACTTAGAAGTTAACTTACAAAGTTGATATTTAAAACAATACATACCGACTGTCGCTCGTGATGAATCTGCAGCGGAATGGGCTTCGGCTTTCCCTTCATCTTTGCCACTTCCTCGGTCTATTGCGAGATATTGGGACTGGGTCTGTCCCCTGTACCGACCTCGGGGAGAGTAGGCAGCTTCACGGCGATCTCTGTGATATCCTTCTAACACTTTCGCTATACTTGTCTTGTCAAATACTCCCACAACCAAGGACTTGCAGTAAAGAGACTGTGTTAATTCATTATGAGGCGATGTGACCTGTTTTAAAAACAATATACATATTTAATTCGTGTTTAAGCGTGAGTTTGATTGCCTTGACATAATAATACGTTTTCTTTGTTCCATTTACGATAGTATAATTGTGAAACATAGGCCAAGGAAACACGGTCAACCTTGACAAAAAGAAGTTATCTCCTAATACATATATGATAAATAAAAATATCTGCGTTTAGAACTCAAGCTCTATCGCAACGTTATCGTAATAATTAATGCTTGGAGCTTTGTAATAAGTTATAATGAAGTTTCTTGTAGTATAAAAAACATTATACATCCTTTATAAGTATTTCGAAAAACACGAGATATAATATGTATTGTCCGGTCAATTTATGCAAAAATATGAAAAAAAAATGATTAAATTCGCATGGAGTTGATAATTAGTGTGAATTTTTAGAATATCATTACATATTAATAATTATATAGAGGAATTGTAAAAAGTCCCCATCGACCCGCCATATACAAAGAAGACATTATTCTATACGAGGCCAGTCCGCAGATATGAGTTTTCAATTCTTTAGTCAAATGCTAAGTTTAATCATAAAAAAGATAAATCATAAATTACTGTTATGTAATTGTATGTCTACATTATAAATTGGCCTACATATACCTATTTTCTAAGAGTATTTCTGAGGTATATGTTGAGAGTATCATATTTTCATGTTGACCTAGAACATATTTTTTTGTAAATAGTAGACTAGCTACTTCCGCGCGGTTTCTCTCCCTGCTCAGCTCCTATTGGTCATAGCGTGATATTTTATAGCCTATAGCCTTCCTCGATAAACAGGCTATCTAACACAAAAATAATAATTCAATTGGAATTAATAGTTCCGGGGATAAGTGCAAACAAACAAGAACTCTTCAGCACATCAAGTTAACATATAATGAGGAGTTAATGATGGCTCGTAGGTTATGGCGCCCACATCTTAAGCGTGAGAGTACGGGGTCGAAACCTAACAAGTAGGTACCAATGTAACTTATCATAGCTATATGTAATTTTTAAGTTTATTTGGATACTACTGACACATGGATAAGTTAAAAATCGTGAGGAAACCTAGTCTTATAATTGCAAATTATAAGTTTGAAATCGTAAATCCGTCTTGAGCACGCGTGGTGATTATTGCTCATTCCTTCGCTTTGAGAAAAGAGGTCTTTGCCTAGCAGAGGGATGGCTACTAGCCTGATAATTATGAGTATAATGGAGAATTCGTAATGTCTTGCTTAAATACCAAGTACACTCACCACCAGAGCTGCATAGGGCACCTAGTAGTCTTTTATTATATAATTCGTTCGGAGTAAAAAAATTGTGTATGATTTACGTTTCATGAAATGTGTCTAATTGTATACTAGACTGGCCTTATTTATTGGCCTTGATTATCAAAATTTGATATCCTTTTTCAATAATCTCCTAGGATAATCTCGTGTGCAGATATCATTATTAATTTTTTCAATGTATATTATTTTGTTCTTTCATAAGGGAACGAATAAACCAGTCTTAGTGAACGTTTAATGTTTCACGCAGTTGGCTAACGTATTTTATCAACACAAGAATAGTCTAAGATAATACAAACCGTTACTTTCAAATAGCACTGATAAGGTGACTAAGTTTGTACAGTGTACAGTGCTTTCCTATTTAGGTATATACAAAGATTGTAACAAGGATAATTAGGTCACAAGCCGATCGCCTGTCTCAGGGCATCTGATATTTATTAATATTTATGACTATAATTATGTTAGATTTATTACCTACTAGGTCTTTTAAGCTACATAACTTATTATATAGGAAATGGATGAAAAAATATATGTATGTTAATATTATTTGAAACGCAAACTGAAAAGTAAATAAATATCGCCAAGCTTTATGTGCTTTCTCTGCCTTATCATAATGCATAGTGAGATAACTTCGTTTTCGCCAAGCAATTACAGTAATTTCTAGATGGAACAGTAAAATTATTTAATAGAAATATGTTACCGTTACGAATTTTTTTATTCCTGGTTGAAGTCTCGAACTGCTGATAAAGCAATAGTCGGGTAGATTTGTGTTTGAATAGACTTCCCTCGCCTCAGCCACATCAGAGAATTCCGTTTCCAAAGTATAACACCGGTGGGAATTGAAGTCTTTACACACGATATGCAACTGGAAATAATTGAGTAATAAACATTACGCTATATACTTTTGTTGCAGTGTACAAAATAAAATATCACTTTTATGTAACGTCACATAATTTTCACATCTTTCTGAGGATGCTGAAATATGAGTAATAAATAGAAATTCTTACTTGTGTTGATTCTGCAGCAATAATGCCGAACAGTGGTAACAGAAGAAAAGCAACGTTGATGGAGTTGGTGCGCGCGGGCCGCGCCTGGGCAAGCTGCGCGACTCGACGCATGCCGATGCGGTGGTGCGCGCCGACGCTCTGCCGTTCTGCCGGCGTCGCAGGCGCACTGTCCGCCATCTGACCCTTGGCCTAACTCACAATCCGTGCTAGATATAAGTTCACCCACCTAATTTCGGCGATAGCAAACGAATTTGCCACACTTAAACTAAAGATTGAGGAAGTATGACTCTTAAAGAAAGATAATGTTACAACCTAATTACATACATGTATATGATTATATGATGTATATATCTTTCACGCATATTTTACGTCACTGTTAGATAAAATTTGAATAGGATCGGAAGATATTTCCTGTGTCTATGTATCTGCCTTTTCAGATGTGATCTCAACGTCTAAAAGCGACTGAATTTTTCTGTTGTATTTTTCAATGAAAAAGATAGCAACAATTTCCATCACTATCAACTGTTATGACAGCCACACACGTTACAGTATACATGTGCAAGTTCAGTCTTGAGGCTTGCGCAAGTATCTTCTAACACAAGCGTAAGTACCTATACTGTAAGTGTACTTGCTATTCTTTGTGGACAACAATAAGGACTGTACCTGTGGCGAGCGGAACAGTGGGAACAGGGTGTCAGACGGGTGCTACGGCAGATAGCTTCGCATTGGCCGGAGTTTCGTCAGGTCTTAGTGGTGGAACAGAAGGAGAGGCTTCAAAGCTCTACCGCTAGACTCACTACCATGTACGGCTTCCGCAGAGGACGCTCCGCGGTGGACGCTATCATGCGCGAAAGAGACCTCACGACGGGGACTGCGATGTCCAGGGGTAAGGTCGTAGTGACGATGTTTTCGGGCATCGCCAATGCCTTCAACTCCCTGCCCTGGAGCTGCATTTTGGAGGCACTTCAATATCATCGGGTGCCCACTTATCTCCGTCGCTCGTATAATCGAGGCTTTCCTGACGGACCGGTCAATCATCTACCCTGGTCATGAGGTGAGTGGAACCGGCGTGAGATGTCGAAGTATTCCACAAGGTTCCTTTTTGGGGCCGCTCCGGTGGAACATCGTATGACTGGCGCACCGACTTCCCGAACGACGTCAGTGTGGTCTACTACGTTGACGACACACTAGTGCTAGCGCACGGGGGGTCGCATCAGGCGGCGGCGGCTATGGCAAGATCGGTTACGACAGTCGTTGCAAGGTCCGGCAACAGGACTCAAGGTGGCACTTAAGAAGTCCGAGGTCTCGTCGGACGCCCCACCTCCGGGTAAGTTCCAAATAGCGACGGGAGGGGTTACCATCGGCTTCGAGACAATGATTCTTCATCACCTGGGACTCGTCCTAGACAGTTGGTGGAACTTCCTGGACTACTTTCGACCTTTAGCTCCAAAGTGGCTCTAGTGCAGACCATGGTACGGAGTGAGGGGGACTGGAATGCCGTTTCCACCTTCTGCGAAGCAGTCATGCTAGCTAAGAAGGAGGCGGGGCGCGTAAGGGAACGAACTTCCTCACGCCCCAGCCGTCGCAACTGAAACTACGGTTGGGTATCACTAGACGATCTCCGGTCAGACAGTAAGAGTCTGACACTCCGGGGCAGGAGAAGTCATTGGATGATTTTCCCTCCGGAGTGAGGAGGATACCATGAGGCACATCCTCGTGAAGTACACGGCTTGGGATGAGCCCCAATTATGCCCTCATATTAGCGATCAGTGACGACTGTTACCCAGAAATTGCTCGTAAATGCAGTCGTTGTTCTGCGAAGATGTAATGTAACGCGGAAAAAAGATGCTAAAAGGGAAAAGAAAATTACAAGTCTCTACCTTCGCGCCCCGGGCGTCGAAGAAGAGCTGAATTAGCTCTCTTCCGACTTCCCTAAATAGGTCCGGTAGACTTGGGGAAGTCCCCGTTACCCGATTTAAAGGACCTGAGATGGTGGTGCGGACGCGACCCACGTGATCAACGCGAACGTCCAAGACGTTGCACATAGGAAATCGACACCCACCTCACTCGTTGTGCATCTTGAGGTGGGGCCTGGCAAGGCAGGCTGCCACGGTAGGGAAGCAGAAGAATGTGTTCTTCTTACCCACGTGTGAGACGATATTCTACGGTGGTTTTTTGACAGTAAAAGTCTAACACTCCCTTTCGTCCATCTCCATTAGTATTTTCCATCTTAGGGTCAAAAAAATACTAAATACATCCGCATCTGACGCCGATTGTACCATTATCGTACAGATCATTTGAAACCAACTACATATTATTAGTCGGATTTTATCTGGTGTGTTGACGCAATAATTCATTATTTAAATGATTTTAGACTTTTAGAGTCAAGGCACTTCACCTTTGATGAATTTGTTTCTAATTGTGTTAGTATGTGGGCATAAGCATAAGGCATAGCATCTGGCTTACATTAATTATAGTTTTAGTCTTGGTCCTTGACTTAAATGCGGTAGCAAAGTCCCGTTGTCATATAACTTTAATTAGGGTTAGTTAGGGTAGAAAATAAAGTATACATGAAATATGCTGATAATTATCCTTTATTATAAAAACACTAAGTCGTTAGGTAAAAAGCAGTTAATGGCGGATTTGATAAAATTACAATTTAACATCTACATTAAAATGACTTCGGCTATAAGTTAACGTTAGGTATTGTTGAGCAGTGATGGTTACGATTACAGTAGGTATTGTTTCCTAAATCTCACTCTTTTAAAGTCTTGTAATTTCCGAACTTATATTGGGATCTTTCTTTTTATAGGAATGCGTCGGATAGATGAAATGCTGCGTGTAGTAAGCCGCGGAGTGCTGCTCTGCGGGACTCTTACTGGTGCTCACTCGGCGGTAGTAGTCAATAGACTCGACGCAGTCGCACGCCAGCCTACTTTCAGATCCGCTACTCTCCAGCTGATATTTAGGAACCATGATGAGGCTCTCAGTTGACTTGGTTGGTGGACAGTGGCTATGACTCCGAGAGTACACCGAGCAGTGGTGCGGTGCACTCTGGCGATGTGAATGCTTCTCTTGGGAGTGTGCATGCTGATATTCATGGTGACTTTGTGTGCTTCGGCTGCTGTGGTTTCGTCCGTGACTCTTAGACCGGTTTGATTGTTTCGTTGTGGTATCCAAATAGCCGTATCCGAATCCATAACCGCCAAACGCCTTAGTCGTTAAATTATCCCAAGACTTTGGTTTTACATGTTGATGGCTGCTTTGATATTGGATTTTGGGTGATGACTTGGCTTCTCCCCTGTCATTGTCCCAAAAGAGAGTATCACTGCTCAAAGAAGTACTGTAACTAGAAGCTGAATTATCGCACGCCGCCGTGGCGTTACTTGTTGCGTATGACTGCAGGCTGCACTGGCTAGTTTGTGTAGATTCCGTTGTCAAGTAACGATAGCGATTGGAGCAATGTCCTGACTGACAAACTTTCTTGGGTCGCATGTGTGAGCCGCTGTCAGGTTTTTGAGTTGATTTATCGACTTGTTGACATTTTTCCTTTCTCTTATGTTCTTTAGAACATTCTCTCTTTCTTCTCATTTTCTTTCTGGTATTGGGCACACAATGTGGATCGCAGCAAGGGCTGGCAAGGTCGTAAGCTTCAAGGCTATTTGCGTCTTGATTATTATAAGCAGGCATGCATGGGGCACAGCCATGGCTATGGCTACTTCTGTGAACTTTATTGTGTTTCCCACTACTTGTTTTGTAATTTTCTGAAGCTCTATGGCATTCCTGGCCAGGAGTCTTCACAACATAGTGATGGCATTCTCGCCTATTCCTTGGTGAGCCAACAGTAATAACAAAGCTCCCTGTGCGCAAGTTGGGTTGTATGAGACACGCCCCATAACGTGGATCTAGATATTGGTACATGAACACGCTGGGTTGAGGGGGTTTAGCGGCTGTCACATTTTCACTGGATAGTGTTGGCCTACAGTACGCATTGTTCATATTTTCCCCAATGTTATTTTCCTCGTTGTCTGAAATTACATCGGATGGAGAAGTTTTCTTCTTTTGGGAGGGAAGGCTGTGCGTTTTCCAGTTACAATCAAACATTTGCCGTTCTCGAACTGTGAGTTGTTCCAGTTCTCTCATTTTGGATTGCAGTGTTCGCTGGAGATTAATGTATTTAAGATGGAGCTCCACTTTCCTCACACAGTCTTCAAAAATAACGACCATGCGCATTCTGGAGTCACAGTTGTTAATGGCGTCGACGATGGCGGCGTGGTCGGCTCGTTCCACATCCGTCCCGTTGATGGACAGGATGACGTCACCCTCGCGCATGCCGGCCGCTGCTGCTGGGCCATCGCCCTCGACGTGGTCCACGTAAGTGATTACTTCGATTTCTTGCTCCTGCAGAATTGACATATATGTTAGTTTTTATCTAATTTTGGGTAGTTACCTTATCGCTGTGGAAAACAGAATATTCGTTTTTTAATATAATTCGCAATGCAAACTTGCAAATGCTTGATTCTAATTCAATTCTCAAAAATATCATACACTATTGATTATTATACTACAAATTGATTGATTTACGCACCTTTTTATAATGAATCCCATAACTTTGCAGCGTGAACCCGTAACTGCCATTCTTCTTTTCAATAATGATGGTGCGTCTTCTCCAATCTTCCTCATTTTTGCCCGGCCTCTCTGATTTTATTGACTCTCTTATCTGAAAAGCAAACAAGACTTGTGATTAATATTTTATGAAAACACTTTAATCGTTAAATATTTCTTTATTTTTTTTTAATAACTTTACAACATACAATTTAAGTTAAGTCTACCTACACGAGAAGCTGAATATCTCCCGCCTTAGATAGATACTTCTCAAAATAACAAGCATGTAGATAACAATTACTTTGTGTAAGTATATTACATATGCACAATTACATATTACTAAGCAAATCAGTGGACTTATTTCGCGCTGGATTCGACAAAGTTCGTTCACCTCATTGACGTAAAGACATTTGATGTCTTAAAGTTAAAATACGTAATTTGCTAATAGCTTTTTCTAGAAATTATTATGATTGATCTCAGTTCATTAAAACAATAGTAAGAGTTAAAAAGCAAAGGTAAGTACTTACGGAATTGTCTAAGGAATCTTCCTTGGAGTCGTTGCTGAGAAGTTTTTTCCCATTGCTCATAGTGCTCGGACATCGTTCGTTGAGTTTGGGCGAGCTCATCTCGACCACTGCTTATGTTCCCGGCCCTCAAGCCCCCGAGAGGCATTGGTTATAAAGACAATAAATGAAACGGCATGGTTGCCTTATGGTTACTTTTAACGTTACCTAGCTACTGGCGGAGGGTCCGTAGGTGCGACAAATCATTAAATTATGACCGCGCATGCGTGGAGTTGGCGCCTGCGTATCTTGCAAGGACAACACCTTCCAGACTTGTTACTTAGCACCAAAAACAAGAATGCAAACTTTCAAACAATATTTCACTTATTTTGTATGATAACTTTATATAACATTTCTTTCTATTTTTAGCCCTATGTGGTAGACATAGGTACCTAGGTATAAAAAATAGTTAACCTTAAACAAATTCATGGTCCTTCACATCTTTATAATGACGCAGAAATACGAAACGAAATACGACGACGAAATCGCAGGTTACAACTAGTACCTAAAGAATAGGGTAAAAAAGTAACAATTTCATAATTAAGTATATTTTATTTCATGAAAAATTAACGATAGACAGGCGACGAATTTAATGAAGAATTAACTTCAATACAATAATTATTTATAGGTAGGTAATAAGTACAATTATAATACATACAGTAGTTATTTTATGGTTTTGTGACAAGTGTGTTGATTTTAGAATAATGTACAACAGAAGTGTTGGGTATTGGCACCGGTATATCAGACATGTTGTTGTTCAGGGTCAATAGGGGTGGGATGGCAATGGATTGAACCCCGGCCGCCTGTGGAATGACCGCTGAGCCACTATTCACGGCCACTGGCTTGTCACCAAGATCCCTTTTAAATAAATTCTTGTAGAAGTTATTTAAAGGTGTGTTTGCATCTGTGATGTCAATACTTCTTATCGATCTGCTAGATGTCTTTGAGCCTGGATCTGAAAGATAATGGAATTACTAACTAATGTGAAATTATCTTTAATGGTTTAGAGCTACACTTCTCGTCATGAATAATGTTTAGTTTGGGATTTATTTAGTCTTATTACTGTTATAATTTGACTGCACGATTGGTGCGGTGGCTGGGCAACCGGCTGCTGTGCAACTTATCGCGGGTTCGATTCCCGCACGGAACAACACTTTGTGTGATCCACAAATTGTTGTTTCGGGTCTGGGTGTCATTATATGTGAACGTGTATGTTTGTAAACGCACCCACGACACAGGAGAAAATCGTAATGTGCGGCAATTTTTTTTTAATTGTATTGGTGTGGTTTAAAAACATTGATGCTTAAACTTAAACTTTACTTAGAATTTTTTATTCAACAAGAAATGTGTCTGCTTTTTATGAGAAGAATTTATTAAACATCAGAAACATAAATACGTAGAACAAATACAATTTTGAAAATATAGGTAGCGGTACCTACGTTTATGTTTTACAATGTCGTTAGCGACTCGACAATAGACCTTTCAAAGTTATGGGTTCATTATTAGATTAATTATGTAAAGAGCCTGATAAAAGCGCTTTTACATACATTTTCCCTATTAGGTACCGTGGGCAAAGCCGCCGATAGAAGCTGGTATTTGGTACCTATGACAATGAATTTGTAAGTACCTACGTACTCTTGACTCTTCTAAAACCTGAAAACTGTCACAATTAGACTTACCTGCTGCCACAGAAGATGGTACAGGTGCCATATTCGTTATATGGTCGAGTGTACTCCAAGGCAGTTGGTTTGTAACGTTTGCTTGATTCCCAGCCACAGGTGCCACTCCTACAATACTCTGAGCGGTCACGTTCGTAAGAAGCGGGGCTGGAATCTTACTCAAATCAAGACCTTCTGAGCCATTTGTGTGGAAGAAGGTCACAGCTTCTTGGTTGCCACTTGGGAGACAAAAAAGTTTTTATATACATATAAGTTTTTCTTCAAAATGCAGTATACATAAACTAAATACAAATAAAGTCACAGAGTACTAAAAGAATATCTTCCTGATAACAATTGCATGGAAATATTGTCGTTGGGTCTTACAATAAGCTACATAATAGAAATATGAATAACTAATCTATAGATACACAGTATGTATATGTACCCTCTTTAATAAAGAAATCAATATGTGGTCATTACATGACTATATTTAGAATATTCATGGGCTCATGGTAGAGTACTATAGTTAGTATTATTAGGTATACTTAAAAGTACATTTGTAGGTACAAGTAGTTCTTTCACTGTGTCTTCTTCTGACTTCAGAACCTTTTTTGCCATAAGTCAAGAGCATGCTGCAAACTGCAGACTTGACCTAAGTCCGAGGGCCTTTACAATGAGCCGTGGAAGACATAACGGGTTGCCGGGGCTCCGGCTGGAAGTGCAGGAGTAGGAACGGGGTGGTTTTTTAGTCAGTAAGAGTCTGACACTCCCTCTCGACCTGACCCGGGCGGGAGAAGTGATTGGATGATTTTCCACCCTCAAAAAAAAGGTCTTCACAATGTCTGGAGATATACATAGCTGCTATGTCGGATTTTGGATTAAGAACGCAACGTCACATAAGTATATCGGGTACTTAAATGCAGGAGGTGAAACAGGCGCTAAGTCTTCCGTATTGAAAGCGATCCTTATCCATAAATAAAATACAGTTTGCCACGTGTATTGTAGTTTTATGGCTTCAATCATTATGGATGTTCGTATGTGCTCTATTTACGTCTTAACTAATTTGCCATAGACAGCGATCAATAGATACGTTTATATTTAGATGTTGCTAACTTAGGAGCCTTGTTGTCATCGATCACAAATAAAATAGATACCAGTATTACATTAATCTAATAATGGACTCTCTTTCATAATTAAATATTGGTGTGTCGTTAGGTGGATGGTCGTATTGGACCGCCTCGCAAGACGTCTTAGGTTCCTTTATCGATATCGTGTAGGGTAAAGTGATATCAGGTTTTACAGAAATGTTCAAAGCAATCTTGACTACTCAATTAATGGTAAACTATGAGCACTTTGTCTTTGTTTTATATAGCTTTTACCCGCAGCTTCGCTCGCGTCACAAAAGGATAAAAAGTAGCTTATGTGACATATACCTAGAGGTATACACATAGCGCCATCTATACCAATTCTTTTGTTTTCCCTCGGGAATATCAAATATTTCCCCGATAAAAAGTACCCTATTATTTAATCCAGACTTCTAACTTTACGTCTGCAAAATTTCAAAGCAATCGGTTTAGTAGTTACTGCGTGAAAGCGGAAAAAACAAACAAACTCACTTTCCGATTTATAATATTAGTAAGGATTAAGTAAGGATGTTAATTAAGTTCATAAAGTTTGTATAAAATTGTGTTTTAGAACAATTGCATTCTTAATATCAACAGTCTTTACAGCCCTAATATGATACTCGACAAGTTTTTGTTCATTAAGTTCAGGAGGCTTTTTCACGCTTTTTCCCTTCAGTATTTGTTTACATGTGCGTTCAGGGTATTGTCTTAGGTGGTTAAATATTTAGGTACTTACGTAGATATGTGACAAGGAATTCGACTAATTTCAAGTCATGCTAGAGGCTCATATTCATGAGCAGCATTCCGTGAACCGCGACGCGCGATGCGGCGAGTTCCTCGTCAAATAATTACGTGAGTAAGCCGATAAAAATAATAATCAATTTAATATGTCTCACGTAAGTTATAATACAATTAATATACTTACGTAGAATTTATGTTAGCAGTTTCATTATCAGTTTTGTTGGTAACGATGCCCACTTGATACACCATAGCATGAATAACGTACCTGCAATATTATAGATTTGGTTAACTACTCCCTTTTTAGATTCATAGGACAACCATCTATCGAAAAGCAGGGTTTTTTGGTTTTGGTTTTGGTTTTTATAAAAACCTTGCCCCACATTAGGATTTTCTCCTGTGTCGTGGGTTTACAAACATACAAGTTCACATACACAACGAAACACAGACCCGAAACAACAATTTGTAGATCACACACAGTGTTGTTCCGTGCGGGAATCGAACCCGCAACACGTTGCACGACAGCCGGTTCCCCAGCCACCGCACCAACCGTGCAGTCAAAGGGGACTTTATAGTCATTGTTATTTATTTGAAATGAAATAATATAATTTTTTAAAGGTTACAATTAAGTACATAGTAGGATATAGGTATTTCAGGCTACTATTATTTTACTAGGTAAATACTTAAATACATACATAAATATTTGGTACCTTTACTTAGCAGCTATTAACATAACTATAGCATTCCTCATCAAAAGTAACAAAATAACGCGAATCCGAACTGGGGGCTTACCTACTCTTGAATCAAATTACGATCGACATCTGTAGATATTGTTAAATTTCGTACCTTGAGTTGCAACACTAGCGCCCATTGCTTCCGTATTGCGTGGATATTTAATGAACTATATGGTATTGAGTTTGGTTTTATATTCTGTACTCTGAATGCTATTTTAACAGCTACGAAAGATGTTGTACAGTTTTAATATTGAATAATTATTGAGATTAAATTTACATTAACATTGAGATTTGTTTCAAGAGTATATAATATAGAAAGAGATAATTACTTACATGTCTTTATTAGGATCCGAAGAGTTTCCTAAGACTTCTGTATTGTTGACTACATCCTCACTCCTGGCAAACGTGAGCCACGGGGAGACTAGTAATAGTATCATCACCTGCAAAACAAAAGATATTCAATTAGAAGTTTACCTTACTATGCACAGACACGCAAGATAACTACTTACATTATACGAAGACAAAGTAAAGAGTAGACTATAATATTATATTAGCGTAATCATAAAAGGATTTCTAAAAGTGTTTAAAAACAAAGCAAGAACAGTAGAATTTATAATTCTATGAACCTACACAATATAATACACTGTTTTATATTGGACGACATATTAATAGAATGAGGTACGTAGGTACTACATATTCCTTAAGGAAAGAATTTAGCGTCATGTAAACAAAATATAGAATGTAAGAATATCTACAAACAGACAATGACAATACCTACTTAACAAATAATTAAAATATTATGAAAATGCAACAATAGTTATTACGCACAGCATAACTCCTATAAATAACACAGTTACATTAAGAAAACGATATACCAACCAGCGTTTCCATTTTCTATAAAATGTTACACGTTCAGTGGGATATTTCTTGAACCAGTCGCATATATAGCCACTAGTTAATTAGCTTCTCTGTGATATATCAGACGCCCTTTGTGCTAATTATAACCTTCCATAATTAACAACTATCTTATACAATCGATACATATATTTACCCATGTATTTATTTGCGTATACAGGCGAATTAAATATCGAATGCTCGCTAATGCCTAAACCGTAATTAGAAAGCAATCGATTACAAAAAGGAACTCTAGAATTGTTGTTGTGACTAACTTAAGATTACGTGTTTTAACTTGACTAAATTGCCGAAGGTCGAACAAATAGATGGTCATTTAAATTTTTCTTAAAAACTGGACTCTGTGAAAGTTACAAATAACTTAGGTAGGTACTTCAAAGCATGTACTATCTATAGTGTATAAAACGTAAAAAACTGTACTTGACTGTTTTGTATTCAATTAAAATTGAGTGATAAATTATTATGAGTTATATCACCCCTACTAAGATAATCAACTATCTAGAAAAACGCTCTACTCTTGTTTTTTGCTACTAGTCTGTATTTCTGATGTTCGGACAAGTATAACAATGTAATAACGAGTCATATCTCTTATTTCATAGTAAACGATCGAGATATGATGACGTCCATCTGTCAACAGGTATATATCCGATATGGGAGTGTTATCTTTGGAGAAAGACACAGTTTTGGACCAGCGGTCCTATCAGTGTGATGCTGGGCCGCTCTGGAGTGTACCGACCTGCCTGAGGCGCGGTACCGACGGGGATCATATACTCACACTCGGTATACTATACCGATACCACAGTACCATAGCGTAGTAAATACCATAGTACAGACATCATGGGTTTCAACAAAATTATGGTCACCTCCGGTGTCATCACTCTGGTAAGTCCGTCCCTCATATATTTTGTGATCATTGCAATCAATTCTTTTTAATGACATAATATATAACTTTATAACATAAATGGTTGAAAGTGGGTGGCAATGCGTGCCGTAATGTGCACCTCTGCCTTTGCCTAGACCAGGCGTGACAATATGAAATTTTAATTTTGCATATATTTCTGTAATGTGTACAATGAGCAAGCTAGCGATAACCTGTGCCTACCTTCTTATGTCTAAAATTGATGAATACCTACCGATACCCTTTGCTGTGCGATTTTATTAGTGACAGTATGTTCTGATAGTTAAGCGCTAAGTTTTTTACTAAGTACCTATAACATCATTGCGTATTGTGTGGTCTTCTTCACATTAAATAAATATATTTAGTTTATTTTTTAATTACCTGGTAAATCTGCTTATGTGCAATCAACTAATCATAAATGAAAATATATTTATGATTATTTTAAGAATATCTATCTGATTCTATAAAGTTCTACCTCATCATCATCAACAGCCTATAAGTGCCCACTGCTGATAATAGGCTCTTCTCATACGGAGAAGGTTTTAGCATTAATCTCCACGCTTGCTTATTACGGGTTGGCGATTTCAAAGATTTCAAGTTCTAGCTATATATTTTTATTAAATTTACATCTCGCTGATAAGGACACAGGAACAAAATTAGTATAGATTTTTTATTTGAGTTAACAAATTTCTTACCCCATAAAACTACGAGTTACCTATGTGTAAAAGTGGACTTGCAAGCTTCTCCTTAGTCTATCTTCTTAGTAATATTGTTTGTGAAGTTATGGCATTTATCTAAAATGGATTGTAAATAATTAATTTTCTCATATTCAACCAAAAAGAAATGTATAACCAGGTCAAAATGTAATGCACTTTCAGTTAAAGATAGATTGATAATTTGTACTTTCTTAATTTTAGGAAGTGATAAACAGTTTACACATAGTCTTTTATCATTGTTTCTATAATTAAAACATAAAATACCATTAAAATGCCTACGAATTATAATATCTTTAATGTACCTAATAACATGAAAATGGAGACCCCATAACAATTAACACCAAACCAAATGCGGGTCAACATGAGCGTTCCTAAACGTTGTGATCCTTGCCTTTTATGAAAAGTGAAAGGAAATGGGACGCATAGCCGGCATAGCAATAACGTAATCGATAGTAAACCGTGAGATGATAGTAAGAATATCAGTAAGCTTATCAGTCGAGAGTTTTTGTAAGTGATAGCGATACAGCTAACGTTTGGAACAAGCACTGCCGGCGCCGTGAGAACGAAGCTGGACATTATCATAATATTATGATCTTAAACAAACCATATCACGTTTACCTACATTTTCATTAACATAGTTTTAAGTAACATATGTACATATATATAGGTTTCATAAGCCTAATCATAAAAATTAATTGTCAAAAATGAAAAATAAGAATTCTATGCGAGCTCGTGTTTACCCCCATGGGAGACTGGCGTGAAATTATGTGTGTATGTATAATGTCACGTCTCATTTTATATCCCCGAAGGGTTGTGTAGAGATGAGTAGTGCTTAAACTCGATTTGCCAATAAAAATCGTTTGTAAACAAAGATGGGGACACTTTGTTACCATTTTTATCGATCTTCCAAGTAAAGAATTGTTCACCTTTTTCCTACCAGAACGTATATGTCATGTGCCATAAAAAAATCCTACCATGGTTATTGACATGGCATATGATTGATATAATTGCACATATGCACAAGCGCATGTCCTGTTACCTAAGTTAAATTTGGCACATAAAAGATTTCATTACGATTACAACTGTAGGTTCTACAATTGACGCTTGGTGTTTAAGAAGCTAGCTTCGGTCAAATATTTATGAATAATGATTGTATAAAGTGGGATTATACTGACAATTATCATACTGATCAGACGATATGACGATGACGGTTTTACTAATTATATTAATTAAAATCAATGGCAGTAACATTCATTTAGTTTTAAAATCTAACTATAGGTAAGTATTTTTCCAAGATCCATAATAACAAAAAAGATCCCGATTAATCATATTTCTGAAAATTCTGATAAGCAAATAAAAACGCTTTTGTCCTGCAATCAAGTAACGTTAAGACAATAACGATTAAAATCTTAATTATGATAATACATTATTTTATTAAAATTAAATTAGTACAATGAACCGTCATTTGTTTCTTATTCCATTGCATTGTTCAAAAGCAACCTACCTTTGTCATTATTTGACAACTTTCCTGGTATCACGAAGAATCTCAAGAAAAAAATGTAGTCAGTAACATATCTAAATTATAAGCATAGTTTTTGAGGGGGTAATTCATCCAATGACATGACTTCTCTCGCCAAGTATAAGCATACTTGGGAGATAAAGTATGTCATACATAAGTACCGTAGGCAGGTGGAACCTCTAGCCAAAACAAAACTTGCGAACTTTATTTTTAGCAGCGCTTATAATAGATACTTACCTAAATATTTCAATAGAGTCCTGTTTGATTTGAGTTTAATAAGCATTTCAAATACATCTGTACGTATCACTTGAAAAAATTACTCAACTTTGTTAGTGAGTTAACTTCCCAAAATACCTATTAATGTATCTGTAATTCTGTGCCAAGTACTCGTACCTACTCATTTAATGGATATTTTAATTAATTCATCGATGACTACGCTAGACCGTCCGTAATAACATATTTATAGGTACAAAAGTATTGTTTGTTTTCTGTTCAATAGGCCAAATATTCTGCAGAACTATACTTCTAAAATGGCCTACGATATACGTATCAGAATATCTATTTTTATTTTATAAGTACATTTAGGTCCCTAAGTTTTTAATTGTAGATCTACTTGTGTAAATGGTAAATAACGCAAAAATATGTCGTTGGCTTCGGGGCGTGTAATGGTCACTGTGTTAGTCGCCTGCGTGTACTCTTTTGTTTTTTGTAAATAATGATGTCGATGAGTCATATTGATCTATTTACTAAAAATACTAACGCACTTTCTTTATATGTTCCTAATGTTAAACCGAGCCAATGAAATCACTCAAATTAATTATGATTGTAACGATTAACCGAACATAAACATTTCGGTAAGCATTGTAATGTTATCAATGTCTATAATCACGTATACACGTATTATCAAATTAATCATGAAATATTTATTTCAACATTTTATTTCACATCCTCATTCTTTAACTTCTAGTAGGTATAGACTTATTAATAATAATTTTACTAGATAAAGAATATTTTGATAGATTATTTTATCTTATCAAGTTGCTCTCGTCATAATGTGCGACGGAAATTCTCTTCAATATCTGTATCAAATCAAGCCAACTGGCATAAAGATCGTCTTACGAAATTCCCTACATACCAATCAAAGATAAGTCCTGGGTTCAGCACATGCCAGAGTTAGAAGTAAGCATGTAGGTACATACATGTGTACTTATATCACTTTTAGGTCACACTATCGCGCGGACAGAGCTCAGAGACTATATTTAATGTAGGAACCTAGTTACTCGAGCGAAAGACGTATAAAACGATAATGCACTATATTCTCTGTGTATTTGAAGAAATGGGGTCAAACTCTTTTCTGCCACCTTGACCACACTGGCAGTAGCAACAGCTTATTCTATGCACTTGTCCTCAGTTATGTTTACACATAGACCTTTTTACAACGTGAAGTACGTGAAACAGTTTCCTTATTGTATTCCTTGGATAGTTCATCTAGTTCATTCTGTTATTCAAATTCACACTAAGGTATTTGAAAAAACTTAACGGTTTGTGGTACATACGTAATACAATATCAGGCCTTTAACCCCCGAAGAAGGAAAGTAGAGGTGCACATTATGCCACTGTACAATGTAACACCCACTTTTCACAATTTATGTTATGAGTGAGGTAATAGGAAGGTAATGAGCGTATTGCCATATACCGGGCACAATTCCAGATTCCGTGCTACTACTGATATTTAAAAAAAACCAGTAATAATTTGGCCGACCCTGAAATCGAACCTGAAACCCCTTGCCCGGCAGTCGCACTTGCGACCTCTCGGAAAACGAGGCAGGGAACGATAGATACAATATTAAAAATATACCCTTGCATAGTATATTATGATCTAAACTATTAGTTATAAGTGCTAACTAGTTTCTTTGTCCACAGCTTCAAGCTATGGGGCAGTTGGTCTTCTCATCAATGTGCATAGCGCAATATTTTTGCGTAATCGACTTTTTGAGAGGACTTCCTCTACTAATCTACATAAGAGTCCTTTACTTTCACAGTAAGTAATATCATGAATTAAACATAAGTCTAAGGCCTTACACGAAACATGGCCCATGCTCAATTATTTTCATTAAACTTATCCTCGATAAAGACCACTTCAGGTATTGGGGTAGTAGAACCACTATTATATATCGTAGTTTCAACTCAAAATACTTTGAAAATGGACACTTTCGGTTTCATGTGTCCTGTTACCCATACTAAACTTGACAATATTTTGCTAACACAAAGTCAAATACTACGCTATTTTCCATAATAAAATTCAGTGTTTTTATATCCCATAATAATCTTCTGACCAATAATATACACCTCTACATGTCACTGAGGTATCTATAATAATGATAGGTTGTTTGATTCAGACCCTGTGGCATGCGGACCAACAATCAACATCGGCCAAGCTATCGACAGCATTGCTAATGAAGCCTTCATTTTGTTAACCTCGGAACCGTTCACGGTGTTCAGGACTTTCATCATAAACTGCGTCAGCCTCGGCCTGAGTGTGTTTTGGATGACCAGCAGTATCATTATTATAAGTAAGTGTAAAGTACTTTAAACAAAACCAAAACCGAAGCAACGGACATAGGCGTCTTAACTTATAGTGTAGCGCACAATGTACGCGCAAACTTTTATCTGTTTTTTTGTAGTCAACGTACTAGACGTATACATTAATTACATTATCATCATCATCATCATCATCATCATCATCATCATCAACAACATCTGAAAGATGTCCACTGCGGGATAAACCTCTCCCGTAACCCTCCACGTCGAACCATAGTTCGCAACCTGCATCTACTGACTCTTTCCATGGCATAACTCTCTGCATGGAGTGCTGAGCCACTCCAAGTTTCTCAGAGACCGCGACTTATGATACATAGCTAGCATATCGAGGCTGAGGAAGCAGAAAATGATCTGATTAATCTGATTAATTGTATGTAATATTTAGTGGCTGGAGCCAGAGATAACCAGACAAAATGTACACGGTGGCCCTGGATAATACTCACTGCTGCCGTGAGTGGTCTCGACCTGGTAGCGACTGTCACGTACGCCAACGATACGTTTCACACAAGGGTAAGTAATACAAAATAAATAAATAAAAATAAATTAAATAGTTAATAAATAATACAACGGGAACCAATGAGGAAAAATGTTTTAATGGAATTGTGTAACGTGGGGCTTTATATTGCAGCCTCTACGTCAGGGTGTGAGATGGAAATGAGGTTCGAATGCACGAAAACTATTGGGAAAACGTTTATTAACTGAACAGGTGTCTATAAAACTACACAAACAGGGGTTAACTTAAAATTAGTTAATGTAACCGGGTGCCTCGCGGAATTGCGGCTATGCGCTCTCGCGGCTAGTTGTCCACTGTGTTGGCGGGGGTTCGCTTTCACTCCGTTAAGGGTGCGTCCGAGCAAAGACAATAAAGGACCCTTGCGCCACATCTGGGCCGCAGCTGGGCGGTGGTATGTCTCGCCGCCGTGAGGTATGCGCCCAAACCTAACTATTAACCCTCGTGTTACATGCTCCCCCTCTGACCTAGACTAGCGCCCTCGCGTCTGGGTCAGCAATTACCTCCCTTAGGTCTACGTTCTCGTCAACTAATGCCGGAACTGAAAAGTCTGCGAACGGCGTCGGTCGGAAAACATGATACCTACCTAAGGTTTTCTTCTTGTCTACTTCAGTCAACACATGCGTTGTTAATGTCGCGGTATCTCTCACGCGCCATGGACGTCGCGGCATGGATTTAGGTGTTTGCCATGTAGTTGTTTCGTGGTAAGTTGACGGAGCTCGTTTACGCGCGCGTTCCGATCCTACGAAACGTTTTTTTTCTATCCCTAATCCGCCGGGTAACGCATGTGTGATAAAACTACGCTCGAACCACCCCCTCCCCCTAGACGGAACGCCGGCTACGTTTAATTTCTCGACCTTTGTACGTCGGGGTTTCTTATTGGGTGACCGGGTTCGGTTCATAGATAGAGTACCAAGTTGAACTCTCTGATTTATTGTCGAATTGGTACTTTTCCTATTCCTATCACTACGTACGTCTACCTTCTTTAGCACCCTCTGGCCACCGGTAGGTAATTCAAAGTTAGTGTGGAATGAGTACCAAACACGTGGTTCGTTATTGAATCGCCAATTGCTCTGCGGTAAATCTAATAGGACACCGGCCTTCCTGATAAAGTCTCCCCCTAGCAATGTTCTAGTTTGCGCGTCTGGTAATACTATGAATGTAATGGGTATAATACGACCCTGTAAAAATACCTCCGTATCACATTCGAGTGCGGTTCGCAACTGTTGTGTCCCGTCGGCGAGTCCTACGATACGAGATGTTTTCTTAAATCTCGTGCCCGCTTTTATGAGCAATTCGTATAACATAGACCCCGCGATAGAGTGTGTCGCTCCCGTATCCAAGATGGCGACCCCATTTCGGTTCGCTACCTGAATCTCTACAAAAGGACGTGACCCCTCACTATCCTGGACATGAACGCTATGAAAGTCTAGCTTGTTACAATTGCTACATTTTGATCGCACTACTCCTTCTTGACCGCAACCGTAACAACTTACCCTGGGAACTCTACCGGAGTTGTCCAAGGAGATATTTCTTCTATCTTTATTGCGACAACTATCTGCGGTATGACCGAAGACTTTACAATTTGTGCATTTGGGCCTGTTTCTTTTTGTTTTACCATTAGCATCATGTTCGTGAGCTACATGCTTACGTAAGCTGTCACTCAGTAATTCATCGGACGACCTATCGTCGAGTTTATTTGATCTACTCGAATCGCCTGCTGCAATTGTAGGGTTGTCTGTGCTCGAACGTCCCCGTGTGACGACAGAAGGATTAACATTATTTATGTTATTTTGATTACTATCGACCGTGAAGGAAGCATTATTTACCTCTGCTAACGACTCTTCGACTAACCTAGCCTTAGCTACAAGCTGTTCTAATTCGGACACCGCATCGCGAGGCACACGCTTCCTTATTCTACGATCTAACAGTCCATAAACTATATCTAATAACATCTCTTCTGGTATAACATAGGGTAACTTCGATGTCAACGCGCGCACTTTATTAATGTACACATCAGCACGTTCACTATTTTGTTCGGCACGAAAAATGTCTCTAAATATCTTGTATCCGGGTCGCGGCACTCCGTACATCCCTCGAAGACGCTGCAACGCATCGGTCCATGACGTCACCGACGATTTGACGCCTTGCCACCATACGGCGGCCTCGCCAACCAGCAACATCGGCAGCCCTCGCAGCGCGTGTTCGTCGCTGATGTTGGTGCAGTCACGGTATATCTCGATAGCGTCAATGAATGCCTCGAGTGCTTCCGCGTTCTTTGTAGACCCGTCGAATCGCGCCGTACACTTCGCGAAATTACCCGCTCGACGTGCGGTATATACGTCGCGCGTCTCGGGCGGCCGCGGTGGCGATGAGGGGCTTGGCGCGTCTTTATTCGCCAACATTGTTTCGATCAACAGACGACTTTCTTCCATTTGACTTTGTGTGATTTTGGAAATAAGTGCTTGGAGCATCTCTTCGGACATTGTAATGTTCGGTGATGTTACTACGGTTCTGTTGAAATCGTTGCTCGTGTCGGATTCCGACCCATCATCTCTCCTTACAAGTCGTTTCGGCGGCATGTTCGGGTGATGAATCTTCTTGGTGGTAGATACGTTAAAATTTCGTATCTGATCCGTTACACGGGTTTATTGCGGAGTAATTCCTCTTCGCAGACTGTCACGTGCCGCGTGGATGACCTCAAGCGGGCACGTGGTGTGGACTCACCCAAGTTCACTTCAATCGCACTGTTTGCGGTATTCCTTGTGATTACTATAGGCAGGATTCGCACGATAGCATACACAATTTGCAGCCGCTTGTTAGCTGTATCACAATTTCCACTGTTTTCGGGCACCACGAGTTGGGCGCCAGTGTAATGTGGGGCTTTATATTGCAGCCTCTACGTCAGGGTGTGAGATGGAAATGAGGTTCGAATGCACGAAAACTATTGGGAAAACGTTTATTAACTGAACAGGTGTCTATAAAACTACACAAACAGGGGTTAACTTAAAATTAGTTAATGTAACCGGGTGCCTCGCGGAATTGCGGCTATGCGCTCTCGCGGCTAGTTGTCCACTGTGTTGGCGGGGGTTCGCTTTCACTCCGTTAAGGGTGCGTCCGAGCAAAGACAATAAAGGACCCTTGCGCCACATCTGGGCCGCAGCTGGGCGGTGGTATGTCTCGCCGCCGTGAGGTATGCGCCCAAACCTAACTATTAACCCTCGTGTTACAATTGTTAAAATACTTTGAAAGAGCAACGAGTAAAAAATGTTAGAAATAAAAGTATTACTGAAACAAAAAGTTTAAACAATTGCCATTCATCTTTAATCTGCATAAAATTCATTGGCAATACAAAGAACACAAACACATCCTGCAGATTCCAGATATTAATGCTGCCATATAAAGATATCAAATCGATCAGACGTTTTACATGCCTGCTTTCAATTGAACTATTGATATTCTTAAATAATAGCTGAGAACATTTTAAATTCAGTTAATTTTCAAACAAAATATGATTTCACAGACAGAAAGATCGTTTAAATAAACACATCCGACTTATCCAGTTCATCGTTCAGTTTGGGTATACCTGCATTTATAAGTAATTACTTAATTCTTACTAGATTATAGTTTTGCCATTTATTTATTTGATGTTGCATCTTCCAGACTTTGCAAGATATGATGAATTTCATCGGCGGCAGAGTAAGTGGAATCGGAAATGCTCAGCTGGACACCACGTGGACTGCTTGGGCCATGGTTATCCTCTACTCACGTTTCGTCATTCTTTTTGTCATTAACATAATTCTTATTGTCATCGTCATCGTGGACTGCAATGTGGAAAGAGAACCAAAATCTGATATCGTTGTAAGTATTACTCATAACATGCATACTTTTGAGACGCAATATCAAGTTTCAAGGATTACATGAATAATTTTATGCTCCTCGCAATATTCTTTAAAGGTTACTCGACAGCCTTACCTAGATTTTATTGTCATTAAGTTTTAACAGAGATTAGATAGTACAGCACCAGCACATACCTATTGGTTTCTATTTGTAAACAAAATCTTGCCTGATTTCGTCTGAGCAGAGTTACCGTTAAGGCTTTATCGAATAGGACAAGTTACATTACTAGGTTTAAATTAATTTTCAGACTGTAGAAGCTCCAGTGCCGGTACAAATTGAAGCTGCACCTCAAGTACCAGTTGCACCTCAAGTTCCCGTCCAGGTATCTACTGCAGTTCAAGCCTCTCCTCCTCAAGAAACACCCCCGCCACCCGTGGTCACTGAAAGGGATGCTATCAGTGACAGAGATGAAGAATTAGCAAGCTTACCCAGCGAAAGAGTCACCACTAGAATACCACGCGCTGGTCTTAGCCGCTCCTTCCGTCGGATGAAAGCGTTCCTCTTCAGAAAGTCACCTTCACCTGAAATTCATACCCGATCGAATCCAGATTCTTTCCAAATATCGCCCGAACGGTGAGTTTAAGCTCTGGAAAAAACGTATGGTGGTTATTCACCACCTTAAATAAATCCTTGTTTGTTTTTTACGTATATTTACATATACGTATGCAAGAACATATCTATATAATTATATATGTTTATTCGAAGAGATAACGAGTGGATTAGATAAAACTTTATTAATTTTTCCGACTGAAGATTATTTATATTAATGAGTAGGTAAGGATTATGTTAATCAACGGCGTGATGTTTTAAAATCTTTTAAAGGCGTAATGTTTTAAAATTGTTTGAATTCCAATTATGTTGGCATTGCTAAAAGGAAAAAATATACATACTATGTCATTAATACGTCTCGATAATTATGGTTTTTAGATCACCCCGCACACACTACGTTCACCAGCAAGTTGACGTAGACCTTGACAAGAAAAGGACAGTGAATTTTCCGGAGAGTCTACTATCATTGCCACAGCGCTTAGAGAATATAATAGCAGAGCAGCAAAGACGCTTAGACCGTGCCACCATAGACACTTCTGGAAGAAACAGCCCACCACGAGCTTCGCAGTCCATGCCTCATCTTGCAACCACTTCCAGCCAACCAGAGGGGCGAGGGTAAGAGTCTGCAATAGAACAATTACGGAAATTAAATAAACTACCGAATCACAAGAATACAACCACAGTTTTTGAAAAAAGAGAGGCTTGTAAATAAACTCGGTAATAATCTATGGTGTAGATCTCTTATTTCCGCTGAAAGAGAAAAATTGCAGTATTCTGAATCGATCATAAAAATCAACCGTTATCATTTCAGTCTCAATGAGTCTTCTGTCTCGGTACGAGACTTCTTTGGTAAGATTATTTTCTTGTTATTACCGGTGACATACATTTTCTGTATCATCTTTTTCGTTTTTATAAAGTACCACTACGCAGTGCAGTCTTCTGCTTTTTTCATCGCCAATTTCCCATGAAACTATTGCATTCGAATGCTCATTCCAATCATTAACACTGCGTAATCACTATTGTGGTATTTCCTCAATGTTTGACATGGTTGTCGTTGGGAATCTTGACTGACACTTCCAAATTTCACACTTGATCTGGTGGTGTGGTGTATCATTGGTGACAATCATTGCTGTCGCATTTTCTCGGATTGTATGAGCTAGGAAGCGTCGCCTTTGAAAAATATCATTTCATTCCATCTGCATTTCGTAGGTAGAGTAAAAATGTGTTTAATGGTTGTAATATGAGGAGTTGTAATTATTCAGACGCCGTGGAACAACGGCCGAGCTCCAGGGCCAGCTTCCCTGGGCGTATATACCAGCGTCCTCGCACCGCATGCGGGACCAACTCCCTCCGGACGAGGATCTACCACCGGTCCCTCTCCCAGACTACAACGCCATGCAGCCTACTAGAAAAGCATGTGAGTCTCATTCAAATATTTATGTAGAACACTTTTAGGGCCTGAATAGACGAAGGTGTTTGTCTAATTTCATCACGGAGTGAAAGAGAATTACCTGAAAGATTTAAAAAGGTTCCCATGTCGCAGTTGAGTCAAGCACTCAGTGAATCTCTTTTACGATCATGAAGTTCCTGTCTTCGATAGACAAAATATCATCGTATACACGAGATTCATTTTCGACAGATCCTATATGTTTGCAATTACCTAATAAAACTCATTTCTCTTTTACAGCCGTCCATCGAGCGGCTTCCAGCTTAAGTTCGCTAACACAAAAGAAAAATTATGTGACGTCACGGTCTGTGCGTGAGTATTACACATACAAGAAGACTTAATCGCCAGTAATTCCCCATCGTTTTCAAAGTAAGCCCTTGACATCTTTTGCTATTTTTCAGTTCATAATTTTATTTGAAAGTTAATGAAATCTATTAACGCAATGGTAAAAGTGTTGTGAAATAGGATGTCTCATAAGTATTCGATATCGATAAAAAACAAAGTTAATGTTAAGGTCGTCATTGTCTGTTACAAAATAATGATGTTGTGTTCCTAATTCAAGCATTTTTTTCTTTCCAGCAGCGCTAAATCAATCCGACGTTTTGTATTGATTGAAAGAATTGTCGCCACCAAGTAATTTTGAGTTAATACTGATCATATAGCTGGTGTACCAATCTCAGATCGTAGACAAAATCCCTGAGCATCAAAATTAAAGTTTAAATGTGTTATGAACTCATGAGTGATGGTTTTGAATGAAGCGTGTAATTGTAATATTTATAAAGTTTTCTTATTACCTGTGCAGGTTATTGATTGTTATGTGAATGTATCATCAAAGTCAATGATTAACAAAGAAAGAAATATCGAATTTAAAGATAGGTATATCGAATTTTAGTAAAATTCGAGAGTACCTAACATGTAGGTAACTTTTTTGTAAATATTTAGACGTAAGTTCTTATTTTATAGTAATTAGGTAATCAGAATAATTTATGAAATAAAAATACTTTTAAGGAATAATAATAACTGATATTGTATATAACGCAATATCAGATTATTATGCCCCTGAGTAGTATTACCTATGTTCGTATGTGTTACAGCTAAAGTACTTATAAATATGTATCTACGTTATTTATACTATCCAGTCAATATTTATTAACACACCACATTTTTCGGTTATGTTAGGACAGGCGCCATTAAAATTTCGAATAAAGATATGAAAAATAATAGATACGAGATCGAAATTTATTGTAAGTTTAGTATTTCGTTTAAATTGTCAAACACCAAGCGGTCACCGGTGACCGCGACCTATTGTTCTTTAATTGTGTCTATAAAACCGGTACTCGACGAGTTAAAATATTTTTGATCCCTAAATGATTTTAATTAAGAGTCTAATCAATGTGATGAATTAATCACCTCGTCACCAACGTAATGACAGGGCAATAACCAATTCTGTCTATTGTGGTTATTGTGGATAATGACTGGGGAAAATGTGTAATAGATATTTCATTACTGGCTGTAACATATGCACATTGTAGACGTAAGTACAACTTTCTTATCTCAAAGTTACTTGAGATTAGCTTAAAGTTCTTATAAAACTATGATTTACTTATGTATACTTAATACGTACGCCTTAAATTATAAATTGTACCTACTACCATGTATCTATATGACATTTTGAATTTTATAAGTTATAATTTATATAGCAATAAATTTTGCATAAAACTCTTACTAAACATTTGTTTATTTTGCACCCCGCTTTGATGAAACATTCCTTTAAGTATAAGCTACTAGCTTTTACCCGAGGCTTCGCTCGTGTCACAAAAAGATAAAAAGTAGCCTATGTGACATATACCAATACATACAGCGCCATCTATACTAATAATTCTTTTGTTTTCCCTCGGGAATATCAATTTTTTTCGGGATAAAAAGTACGCTATTATTTAATCCAGACTACTAACTTTACGTCCGAAGAAAAAGCCAGCCCTCTGGTCACGTGTAGATTCGATAAGCCTACGGGCGATGTCTTTAAACACAGAGTGTGCACTGGGACCCCATGGCCCAAGTGTTTCGACCCCAAACGGCTCAAAACAGTAGTTACCCACTAGATTTGAATATTTACGCCGTTTGAGGGCCTCTGCCGCGGAAGCAGCTGCACCAACGCATGCAGCGGTGCTTAAAAGATGTGATGGCGCAAGGGTGTCTACACACGTCGCGTCCCACACCAAAGGCCTACCCATCTTCCATGGCAGCAACGACATACCATCTGGTCTTTTGCCGTCATCACGTACCAAACCATTAGGTTCTAATACGGCTGGTACACCGGCTGAGGCAAGAGCACGACGAATGATGTCGTTGATGCTGGCATGGCGAGCTATGCGGCCTGCACTTCTGCAACAAGAAAGACCATGGTGTCCCAAGCCATCGACTCTTTCTCCACAGTGACAATAATGCGGAGAAACTCAAGGAGCACCTAAACGTACGCATACAGCTAGGCGGAACGTTATGTCATCCAACATAGTACCTATGAAGGGTGACGGGAGTGCCTGAAGCCACAATCCTGATTCCCATTCTCCCACAGCCAATAAGCGAGCTCGCTCTGCAGTATTAGGAGAAGAGTTGATTAAAGTCTCACGAATAACACTGCACAGCGGCACGTCCCACTGTCTCTGAGAAGATGGGTGAACAGGTAAATCCGTAAGTGGGCAAGCCATTTTCCACGCTTCCACTGCATCAGTAAAACACGGCACCTCAAAACTGGTCAGTGACGAAGAAAGAATTTTCTTGACTAATTCAGAGGTACTGTGGACCGAAGACAGAAAAGCTGGTAAACTAATACTTGAAATTTTGCGGACGCCGAGCCCTCCCATGCGAATAGGAAGAGTAGCTTGTTGCCAAGCTCGGTCATCCAAAGCCACATTAAGTATGGATGACAATGTGTGTCTGATAATTTTGTCTACGTTTTCTAAAATGTGTGAATGTTTCCATAGATGTGAAGCGCGGAGAATATAAGTAAATTTTGGTCCAAAACAACAGTACCGAATTAGGGTGAAAGCCGAATGTGTGTTGATTTTGTGTAATCTATCCGAAATGTGATTGAAATTTTGTATCTTGTCCTCGATGAATTTAGGAAAACATTCATCGAATATTGTTGAACCTAGGAGGTGAAGTGAGTACTTATCAATAATTTTGATATTTGGAGCTATTTGATTAAATTTTGCTAGAGTCGTTAGTCTGTCTGAAGATTCAGGAATGTATAGTTCACATTTTGATAAATTTAGGTCAAGGCCAATAGAACTCAGTTTTTCTTTGAATATAGTCAAATCTTTTAAAACAATGTCAACGTCACCTCCTAGAGTTCCGTCGTCTAAATACCATACATTAAATTTGGAATTTAGTTCACGAATAATAGGATTTATAGCTAAACTAAAAATGGCAGGCCCAAGGGGGTCTCCTTGTTGACAACCAACAGCCGATTCTATTAAATTGTCCTTATACAGTAATTTTGAAGGGTTTCTATAACATTGCCAAAGAAAACTGTAAATTTTGGGGATTTCTTTTAGAATTTCAGTCAACAAGGCGTCCCTGCTTACGGAGTTAAAGGCGTTTTTAATGTCAACCTTTAAGACGACCTCACCTTGGTTACTGTTTAAAAATGTGGATAGGGTATGTACCGCAGCCTCGCAGCCCCCTTTGCAACCAAAGCCTAGTTGTGAGGGCTGGAATGTGCTGGCCAAAGACTTATTGTAATAGGCGCAGCAAATTTTGGCTGCGATACGCCTGTATGTACGGCAATGGCAATGCTGCCAGTCTTCTGGGAACTTTCCCCTGTGATAGTGATGCGGACGAATACTTTGACGCCTAAATTAAGGGTATAATTTTTGTTGTTTTCTTTTACTTTCTTTTTATTTAATAGTTTAGTTGTAGTTAATTTTAAGTTGTAAATATTTATGTAGTTATATAAATTATGATATTTAAATAAAAATACTTACTTTACGTCTGCAAAAATTCAATGCAATCGGTTTAGTAGTTACGGCGTGAAGTCGGAACAAACAAACAAACAAACATACTCACTTTCCGATTTCAAATATTAGTAAGGATACCTACTTTAATGAAACCACAATATTTTTATCAAACGTTTACTAAACATACTTTTAAATATATTCGAGTTCCATAACTCTGTTACAATCAACATATATTAGGTAGACAGTTTCTAACACAGACAGCAAAGTGATTATATATATCAGCACTGAATATTTGGTGCTGTGTACAGCTGGTCGTAAATATTGGTGTACGATGATGATCGTGTGAACCTGTGACGGTACACTTGCGATGGTACTCGCGAGGCTTATAATTGGGAATTGCTCCAGAGGCACAGCATGCAGAATGGCAGAAGCCACCATCAGAACCACCATCACCGTCCCTTTAACTTTCAAACTCGAGTCGTTAGGGGTCACCATGTCGGCTAAAGAGTAGCTCGAGTACCAGAAACTACCGACTCGCCATGTCCAGAATAAATAAAACAAACTCGTTACATATTTTCTGAAAGTGTCTAGCATTACATTACAAAGAATTTAGCATTAATAGGCCTGAAGTGTTTTATTATCTTTTAACGTTTTTCTGATTCACATTGCACTCATTTTAAAGGAATTTTTCTGTGTAATCACTTGTATTATTGCTGCGGATACGTCATGTTTGGACAACTTTTAAACTTCATAGAGCATCAAGTTTGACAATGATGTCATTCTATTTTTATGGCGTGAGTGGTCATTAGGACCTTCTTATGTAGTACCTATATGTCTTCTTTTTCGTCGATGAATTAAATCAAAACAATCACTTCCTTGTGGTCTACCTAGACAGCTTTTCAGTGTTAGGTACACTATAGGTATATTGTAGGTACGAACAATACAACTTAACCTTAAGTATATTACGAGTTATATTAGTTTATAAGTTAGTATTATATTATAGTTATTATGAGTTATATTAGTTGAGATTCGAAACCAAGGACGTTCAAAAAAGGCGGACACAGTGTCTTGAAACAACCACTGAGGCACCTGGCTACTACAGACTTGCACGCAGACATACACACATTGACACGAAGGATAAGTCATTTTCTTAAGTCTGGTAACATAATACACACGTCCACACACGAATAACCCACCTACATTTTGGTGCTTCAAAATTTCTAAGTGACATTATGTCCTTTTTCCAACGTCCTTATTCGATATAAACATCCAAACGCCACTTTAGCGCTTGTCCACAGAGAGATTATAAATCAAAATGTATGGGAATGACAAGTGTCAAAATTTACGTCAATTCCATATAATTTGGTTTTCTATTCTACATGTAGACAAGTGCTAAATGGCTACAGCTGCAGAAGACCTCTTTGACGCTTTATCGTCAAATGTCTCCTGATTTTTCGATTAATTCGATAGATTTCTTTGTAGGTAATGTGCCTGCCTGGCTCGTTGGCCGAGTGGTCGCACGCAAGTGCGAATGTTGGGCAAAGTACTACTGGGTTTTAAAAAAAATCTCTTTAGTAGCACGGTGTCTGGAATTGTGCCCGATATATGGCAATAGGCTCACCCCCTATTACATGGGACTCATAATATAAATTGTGAAAAATGGGTGTTACATTGTACAATGGCATAATGTGCACCTCTGCCCACCCCTAGGGGATAACAGGCGGGGTCACAGGGGGGGGGGTGTTGAGTAAGGCCTGCGTGATGTTATTGTTTACACGTTACCTGATTAAAGTCCAAATACTCAAACACCACTCAATTCAAGTCACGCTTAGGTATAGTGTTGTCTCTACTAATTCTTTGTAAAATGACAGAGATGGCAATTACTACTTAATGAATAACCTTTCAGTATTCGGGCGTAAGTTTGAAACGTACTGCAGAGACTAGAAAGGCAACATGTTGTCGATATATGCAGCAGGTGACGACCGCTGGCGTGATCGGGAAAATATTAAAGTGTGGAGGTAGCTGCTCCATATGTACTATGTAGATAGTGAGCGTTATTATTATCGATAACAATTATCATGGCGCGATTAACTCTGATATCTCGTTGATTTCCTTCACATACGGCCACTAACTCGACATGACGCGTGTTTAACAAAGCAGTTTTTTGAAAAAAAACCGCTGAAATGGATAAATCGTCAAAAAATAAGTATCCATCGCACCTTGTACTGACTGCCGTGCTGTCGGGTGGAATTAGCATAGTAAGTAACATTTTCTATTTTACCCCTGCTCTATACAATACGATCGATACATGCGATGTGATAGATACGAGTATGACTCACTAAGTTCGATGAAAATTCCCCATCCCAGTCCTCTATGGGACAAAATTCATCCTAAATTATATTTAGATATGCATCCTAGATAGGTAAACTTAAATTAAGAAATAGTTATTTTATAGCGATTGATGTATGTTCTTATTTATTAATCAACGATAGTAGAATTGAATATTTTAAAAATAATTATATGCTAAAATTGTTCTATTAGGTACCTCTTAGGTAGCCCAAGGTCAATCTTATACCCTATAATTAAAAAAAACAATGTGTAATATCAATGATGATAATTTTATTCATTGTGTTGCTTTGCGACTTTTATCATTATTTTATTGGCTTAGCGAAACTATTTAAATGTTTAAGATTAGTACTATCGCGGGTTGGCGAGCTTCAAACGGAATCAAAGATTTTTCAAAGTAGTATTTTCATATATTGTTTTCTTAAATTCATGACTATTAATTATTTCTGTATATTTTATGATTATGTACATCATTGCAACCTATTTGCTGTTTAATTACCTATGACTTATCTGCTGGCTTATCCAAATTGTGATACATAATTTATGCTTGTACTTCGTCGATTCCTTCAAGGACATATGTAGATAATTTAGCTATTTCTTTGTTTTCAGACAGTGTCCCTTGTGTACATATTACTGTCCATTGCGGCGTTGATATACAGATTCTCGGACTGTGGTATAGACCCCACAAATCCATCACAATTTTTCTGGAAGATCACTCTCAGTGCTTATATTCTAGAAGGTAAGTTCACATCGTCTTGGTATTGTAACAGTACCTACCTATAACGCAAAGTTACATTTTTATTAGGGCCATACATTTAAAAGGATTAACATTCCAGAATTCAAATACTGATTTACTGATATACCAACAAAGAGAAACAATAAATTAGTTGGTTATTTACATTGAACGCCTAGCTATTAGCCTAGCCTAGCTGTTAACCAAATGTCTAATGCTTGTATACTGAAACGCTACTCAAATTTAAGTCACACTTAAGTATACACATACTACAAATTCTTAGTAAAATGACAGAGATGGCACGATATTTAAGTACGACTTAAATTTAAGTAGGCTTTCAGTATTCGGGTGTAAATGTCTTAATGGTCGTTAATTGAAGGGTTAAAGAAGAATGATAGGTGAGAACTGGCACTGATTTACCATCTTAGTGGCCCCAAGCTGAGAAGAACGAACTCTTTTTTCGTTAGTACCTAGGCCTGTCTTGTCCCCCTAATAAAAGTCCACGTTTATTGAGTGCACGGTTGGCGTGGTGGCTAGGCAACTGGCTGACGTGCAACGTGCCGCAGGTTCGATTCTCGCACGGAACAACTCTTTGTGTGATCCACAAATTGTTGTTCCGGGTCTGGGTGTCATATTTATGTGAACTTGTATGTTTGTAAACGCACCCACGATACAGGAGAAAATCTTAGTGTCCCGGCAACGATTATAATTAAACAAAAAAAAAACAAAATAATAATTAATTTAATATATATCTTAATAAATCATTATAATTTTGTAGATGATCGATGCGACTTGTCGGAAGGCGTACGACATGATTTGGAGATTACCACCGCATACACTGTGTTTGTCCTGGCTGCGCTCACCTTGAGTTTCCATGCACTCTGCCTTATATCCGCCATCTGCCTGATCATAGGTAAGCACTGTGTATATAAATTAACAAACAAGAACCATATCATCGACATGAAATAAGCACACATAAATCGAGCAAATTGTTAGATCGAATTTTCAGAACTTCTGTTTGATTCCGGATTTTTGGGCTCGTGAGGTACCTATATATAATTTAAAACCGGTGTGAGTAACGTTTGCATTGTGTTTCGCCGTGTGAGTGAGGTGAGGCTCTCCCCCCTCCCCCCCAATCTCGTACTCATATCCCCAATCTTCAATTCCCTAACACCCAAGAAGTTACGCTAAATAAGTAGTTATATAATTAATAAAATTGTTTATAATTTTGCAGTGATACAAAATGTGGACGCAGCTCGCTACCTCACCTACGTAGTACCAATTTACATTGGTACTTGTGTAGCCGTCTTGGTGGTCGACATAACAACTGCCGCCCATTTCGGAATAGATCACAGTACATTGAGCTCTCGACTGGTAAGCGCTTTAAGTGTTAATTTGGTAATAATCATAACAAGTGTGCTTGAATAGATTTGTTTTCTTACACGACGTTTGTGCATTTATGGTGACTGACTAAGTACCTAATTAAACCACCCAGAAAATAAAAACATGACATGCCAATTTCGCTTTATTTGGAGATTGGTTAAGGCTGTATCTATGTGTGGAAGTTGCATGGCTGCCTGTGCCCAAAGAAGGTAGTTGTGCTGACCCTGTGTGTGAGGCTTATATCAGTAACTAGAGTGATGTCCATGGCATACCTTTTTCTGCTCAATGATCGGCAATATGGATTTCACTGAAACTAGTCTACAGAGGTCCTTTTTGCATATGCTACTCACCTCTGCCTCTGTAACGAGGCCAATGAGACTGCCATTGGGAAGAAAAGGATCGTTTGACGCACAGAACATATAAAGGAGGTTTGACGTCTCCTTGACCTTCGGTAGTGTGTGCCACAAACATCTTATTATCAACTTGACTTATGGATTTCTCACTTGTTTGTGCCAAATGGCCTACAGACTTCCTGGGGGATCGGCCTATTCAACTGTTCATCGATTGGTGCTCGTCTGAGCAATTAGGTGTAGGTCTCATTAAATGGTCAGTAACCTCAGGGATCCTAGGGATTCCTTTTGCTACACATTGACGACCTGCCTAAGTAAGGGCTGTATATTTATTGAAAGGCAGTATCCGAAATGCGGTTTAGTGCAAAATAGATCCATAGATCTGTGAGAGACCGAGGTTGAACTAGTCCTTGAAGGTGGTTAACGATTGGGCGATGCCATTATGGTTAAGTTCATAAATACTCAAATGCCTAACTAAAATCCAGGTGTGTTTCTGCTAAACGTTGACTCCTTTAAGTTGAGTTTTCATTCCTATAACTGACTACCTAGAACTTTGGCTCTTACTTGAGTCCAAGGCGCGACTGACTGCAAAAAAACCGGTTCACTGTACCTACCTACTTGACACCGGAACAATTGCTAATCTCTACCAAGTACCAACTAAGATCCCTTTTTAATGAGATATCGTTTAATACATGTCATGACTACCTAAATATTTCATTTTCAGAATCATTTGAAATATTTTTTTAAATTTTCATTGAAAAGTGTTGATTTAGTTACCTATAACTAGACAATTTAGAATCCATTCATTTCGTGTGCTATCGAACTAACACCTTATTTTTCTTTCGCAGGCGAATATTTTGACTCCAATTACTGAGCCTGAACCCATGTATGACCTGATAGAAAATATTTACATATTAGAAAATCTGCGTCAAGGGGCGCTGTACATGATGACCTTTGCGCTTAAAGGATACGTCGCACCGTTCATTAATATTATACTAATAATATTATTGATCGTTTACGTGCTGGAGCATCGAAAGTTGATGAAGAGTAATGAAGTAAGTGATTAAGTACCTACCTATGTAGACGCTTAGGTTTTAATGTTTTCGTGGATTCCTACCAGAAATCACCTCTTACAAACAGATTCTTTATTCAAATAAAATTTTGGATTAGGTATTGCAATAATTTCTGACTTCCAAGTCTATAATCTGGAATTATTTACTTATTGAGTTATTGTTTTATTTCAGCATTCAATTCACAAGCTGGGAGCCTTGTCTGGATTCGAGTAAGTTGGCTTTCTAAGTTTTACTCTAACTTACCCCGCCAGGCACTAAGTCAATTCCTAAAACGTTATATTATAATAATTATTATATTATACCTACCTATAATATACATGCCTAAATGATAATGTTATTGGTTTATTGTTTGCAGTCAACCAAGGAAACCCGATGACAATAATTGGGCGACACAGAACGAAGCACTGTCACCTTATGCGAGAGGGTACGTGATTCAATTAAGGACACTGTAGACTGAATTTGTGACTTCTCCCTTCTTTTGTGAAGTGAGAGGAGTGTCAGTCTTATCGACTAAAAAACATCTCGTTCCTACTTCTACTTCGAGCTAGATCCCCGTAACCCTAGCTAGAACTGTATTATAGAACCACAATAATTTTGTTCACCGCGTGGTGACAGTAAAGAAAAATATTATACATTAGCAGACAGCGGTGTGCTGCGCTTTAGACATTTTTAAGCTGAGATCTTCCCAGCGTGGAGGCCCACTGGACTGAACTGTCACGAATTTAGTTCCAGATATCGAAATTCTTAAATTAGTAGATACCTACCTATTGGTTTGGTACTGAATAATCTACTCACCTAGATAAGTACCTACGTACGCAGTTTTCTAAATTAGCAAGGGGAATTGAGTTTATACGGGCGTTTTGGGGGCAAGCCATGCATGCTCCGGCACAAAAGATCCGGTTCCACGGGAGAGGAACCACGGCCTTATAGAAGACCATAAAGCAAACACCACTATTTTAGTAACTTGAATTACTTGATTAATGAAGAGTTATTCAATTACTGCACTTGTAACTCTTCTGGTACCTACCTAAGTACTTAGATATAGAATACATTGACAATCATGTCTTTGTCTGTAAATACAGTAAGTAAATCGTTTGTTTTAATACGGGAAGTAATCATTCAATATCCTATGTCTCCATGTTACAGACCACGTGCGAACAATGGTTTTATCAATGACGATGAATCAGATCGCAGCAGCCGTCAGCCCAATAGACGTCAGCTAACGCGCAATGACTTCAACCATTCCAAGTAAGTAGCTTTTTTATTGCGTGGTAAACCTCTTAGAATTATCCTTTCTCCAATTAAGTACCTACCTTCACTTGATAAGTTAGATAAGTTATTATAAGTAGTACCTATTCTTTACAATACTTATACTTAGACTCCCTAGTCTGTAAGGACTAGCACTACCACATTACATATTAGGAACCTCTTCCACGCCTATAGGCTAGAATCGATAGTAGTGAAAGTTTAGTAGTATTTCAACCACATTAATTTAGTAGCAGTGTGATTAACGTGTTGTACGCTAGAGCCCAATGTTATCAGTGTTCTCTTTCCAACTGGGGTAAATTATTTATTTGGGCGTTCCAAAATCGAAATTCAAAATCTCTCGCCACTACTCTGTAGTTTAATATATTAGTTAATATGGTAGTAAGATAGGCCTACCCACTCTGAGCGAAGTTCTATCCAATCTTTCCATAGAAAAAGTTATGATCAACTTATTTTAACACACATTTTAACACCCCAATTTATCTAGTACCTAATCCGTTGTAAATTTTAAAATCATTATTCATTAACTTACAGCCGCTCCTACGACCGTTCCGATTCGTGGCATCACGCACAGCCGAATTTGGCTCAAAGCGCCCGCCCGTTCTCGTATCTCGAGGACGTCAGGCGGCCTGTTCCAGTCCAGCAGATGAAGCCGCCTCCTTCACCTGCTGTGGAAGTGCCCTGGAACCGTGACTCTTGGCAACAAGGTCCGCCTGTACCAGCCCCCGACTACAGCCCACAGCCGCGACGACTCAAGTCTGCACTTAAACCTGGGTACATGTAACAAGCTGTTGAATCCGTCATACGCCGGCCGGAATGCGGATCCACGCGAGACAGGATATATTTTCTTTTGGGCCTCATCTACCGGCAGTCAAGTGGTAAACGGAATAAACTATGTGATGTTATTTTATAAAATACCTTGTTGTCATTTTTCATATCAATATAATATCCAGCGTCGTCGATACGCTAATCTTATCATATCGCCAATAATAAATAGGATATTGGCTTGCGACAAAGAATTTGTTTATAACGGTATTACAAGCAATGAATCACTTGGTCACCATAATATACCAAGTAAGTTAGATAAAGATCTAATATCCTTCAAAGAGAGGGTGTGTAACGTAGCAAAACAAACAAAATTAAAAGTAACACGAATTTATTTACAGATTTATAGTACTAAAACAAAATAATAAAAACCTTTAAAAGATATTTATAAAACCTTCATTTTAAACAGTGAATACTTAAGTAAAAATAAATGATATAAGTATATTTTATCCATGTTTATTGTTGTGTTTTAACAGAGGAAATATAAGAGACTGAAAGGCACGGAAAATGTTTATAATTGTAGTCCATTTCACATAGCAAGAGCACTTGAGATGATCCGTTTTACGTTGTTAATTTTTGATACTTAAAAGCCACAGAAACTTTAAAATGAATATAATTAATTCTTTACAATAACAATATAACCATTGTGAGGATACGTCGTTATTTATAATTAACAGGATTTTATGTAGAAAATAAACAAGGAACAAACCGTGCCTCATAAATACCAAAAAATAAAGGTGTTCTATTTTATTTGTGGATATGAATGACACTTTTTTGGATAATCTATCGATATATTTAACACTATTCATGTATTGACTTCAAATACCAAACGTCACCGTGCCCTTCCTTTGTGAAATGGCGAATAATTGTATACCTTACGAACAATATGTACACAAGTTTTATACATTGTAGTACCAGTACATACTAGTTATATATTATATACATGACATTGATGTTAGGATGTAATTTACATTTTCATGTTTGTAGTATTTACATCACATTGTAGTTGTACTAACACTAACGTGTTTTCTTTTAATTACACTACATAAATTGTATAAAAAACGCATTTCATTCAAAATTTCACGTGGCTTGGCCTGAATCATCAAAAATCATAATATACATTTCAATATTAAGTATATTATTGCACGACTTAAATGATAGTATAAATAAAAATAAATATCTCTTCATGCAGCAAGTATAACGAAGAGTATAAGTAACAAATAATAAAAGCATAAGACACTATTAACGACAGAATATAAAAAAAATAATTGATAAATAAAAAAATGGTTGTTGGCTAAACAGGTGGTACAACATTTTTGGATGTATTTATCCAACAAATATGGAAATTGCCACATACGTAACTGCGAGCGAGTCTGTAAAGAATTGTTCATGTAATATTATCAAGTTGGCCTAGCTATTTTGTTCCTAGTTCTTAGGCTACTCTGGCCAGTAAATACACATCAAGTTAAAATTGACAACACCATGCCTTTGACGTAATAAAACATTTTAAAAATAAAATTATAAATTCTATTTGTATATAAGTTAGACTATATAATAACCTCCATATTCAAAACACTTGAACCTAGTATTGCGATTGATCACTATAATTTGCACGTCATGTACGCCTAATAAAATTTTATTATAGGTATATGTATACAGTTATGATTAGGTATATTGAATTTTAAACTAATAATTATTATACATTGACAATCTATTTAGGATAACAAGTAAAAATTCTAAGTTCGGTTGGTACAACTCTAGATTCTTAAACTGTTGTAAAAGAGTTGCGAAGTTATTAACTAAATCCCTAAATGGAATTATCGACTTTACCTATACTTTATCAATGCCTACAATATAGAAGTAAGTTCAGACTTTATAACTTATACAAAAATCTGGGTACCGAGCTTAGAAATCTCAAGTGACAATATCACCGACTATTTATTGCTAGCCACAAGTACAATGCCTGAGTTTTTGTTACAGCGCTATACTTAGAACCATCACATAATGTAAGGCAAGGTTACCGTAAGTTTTGTATCGATCCTTTGCATAATGCGAACTTCCAATGGTCAAAAACCGTCCTCTGCCTTTTCATCAGACTTGTTCTCTTCATCTTCTGCATTTTCCTTATCAACTGGTTTGCTCGCTTGCTTCAAGTTGTTTGTGTCACTCTTTGCCGAACAACTAGGAGGACCCTCTACGCTACCGTCTTCATTACCGTACTTGTCCTTTGACAAAACAACATCCTTTGATTCATCGCTGCAAGTTTTCTGATCATCATTGGATAATGACAACTCGAACTGCGTCGCCAGCTGACTCAGAACTTTTTTAAGGTGTTCGAATGATTCCTTGTCATTTGACACATTCGGAGTTTCCAATACAGTTTCACAATTGCCATCCTCGCATAAATCTTCGTATTGTGCTTTAAGCGCTTTCAACTCACCCACGGTGACTGACATCTCTGGTTTATCCAGGTAAGCATCTGTGAGGAAGCGTCCTTCTTGTGAGAATAGAAACACGGCGGGTATTTCAATGTCATCTTTCCCGTCGCCGGACATCGCGAACAAGGCAGTACTCTCATGTGTTGAGTCTGGTACATTATCGATGATTATAGCCAAATTAACACCAGCATTTTGCATGTGACGTACTTTTTGAGCGAAAGTGCATTGACCACGTTTGGCTATGCCGAACTTGCCTTCGACATCTTTTTTGTTTTCAATGGGTGAGCAGGCATCTAGTGGAATGACGAAAGCGACAGAGTTAACGTATTGGTTATTGGCAGAGATCTCTTTACCGAAATGTCCCGGGCCGGCGGGGAAGATCTTGTCATTGACCTTCACTCCTGCTGGCACTACGCCATTCTCTATATCACTCATGGAATTCCACTTTGACATTTCACGCATAAACGTAAGGCCCTCCGCTGCGTCCTTTGCAGACTTGGCCTAAAAAAAACAAGTAATATTGGTAAATAAGTTTTAGTACAGTCCTATAGGTAGGAACAATGTTTACTGGATTGTTGATTACCACCCGATGGTAAGTGGGGAGCGTAACCTAAGTGCACCAACAGGTGTAGTGCATCAGGAGTGTATTGCATATACTTAATTTGTATATCAATTATGTTCTAATTATAGGTAAATTAGAAAGTTTCTTACCGTCGATGTGGTGTAGAGCAACTGTACTCTGCCGTCTGGGAGTGTCAGGACTGATATTCCCATGTCGGACAGCGTATGTATCTGTCGCGGGTCGTTGAGGGGGCGCAGGCGGGCGGGAGGCCGCGCCGACGTCGACCCAAGCAACTGACGCATCGGACGCCGCACCTTCTCCGCTACCAACGACGCCGTATTAGGACAAGTCCTGTAAAACAACACAATATAAAATCATAACGTATCACGCCAATGTACTTAATATTAGAAGGTATAATACTTACTTTCTGTATTTGTCGTCATCCTCATCATCAATTTTTAAGGTGAATTGTGAAGTGTTTTTACCGTCTGTCGCCAGAGACAGTGGTAGGAAGTGAGCTTCAGTAGTTAATACGTAGTCTTCCAGCTTTACAGGGATATCTTTATCTTCGCCGAAGAGCATGTAGAGGTACTTGAATGTCTCAGCCAACACGAAGGAGTCCATTCTGTCCTCGTGATTACGTGTCCTTACATCGTTAACGGCCGCGTACCCACAGGGCACCCTGGTGTACTGCTGCAACGCTTTAAGTACTGTCTTTCCTACTTGAAGGTAATGGTCGTCTTCAGTAGCTCGGTGGAGGAAATAAGTGGATTCTAAAAACTCTGGCCTGAGCGGATGTTGACCCCAATGCACCTGAAAACAAATGCGATAGAAAAAAATTACACAGATATCATTTATCACACCACTCAATCCCCGAAATGTAGTTTTCCCCAGTTATGTTACATATCCCATGTAATAGGGGATAACAATAGTTTTATCATTCAATATAATCTCAAATACAGGTCATTACTAAGATTTACCTGGAAGTCAGAAGTGAAAGCTTCTGGAATGAAAGTATGTCGTTGCATGACTTGGTAAAGCATCTCATGTGTCTCGACGGCGGGTCTGACGTCACCGAGCAACACTTGAAGACCGGGCCAGAACGCTAGCAGAGCATCCATGAAGTTCCGAGATTGCAAATGAGGTCTAAAACAATTTACATAAAATAAATATTATTCTGTATTGTTTCACAGACAATGGTCATTGTTCTAATTTATAATAAGGATGTCAAAAGAAAATTAGTGTTAAAAATGACAATTTAAAACAAATTGTAAACCGACCTGTGCATGTGAACAGCCAACATAACCGGGCCTCTGCTGATGTACTTCATGACGGCGTTGTAATGTCTGTTGAACCTGGCCAGGTATTTCTCGTCCCCTAGTAAGATGTAAGCCTTGAGGCAGTATTCATAGTAAGAGTCGATGCCAGCGCCGACTCCTGCATCCTTGCGAACCCAGTCACCGGAATGTATGTTTATGACAGTGCCCATCAGATCTGAGGTCCTGAGAAAAATATGACAAAAGTATAATTTTATGATGCATAACACATAACATAACAGCACGAATAGGGTAGTTTCCTAAATTTTATTTTAATGTCCGTCTGGTACATTAATTTAAAACTTTAGACACGTATTTTTTCTTTTCCACAAAATTAAATACATTCGACGATATACTGATTTGAAATATCGTGTGACGTCACAGCGTGTTACATTTTGTAGGACGTTATGACGTAACGATCTCCCACTTCTAAACTTAGCACCATTTTATCTAAGTATTGCAACTTTATACGAGAAAATAAAAATACATGTCTAATATTTTTTCATTATCTAACTGACGGACTAATTAGATTTTTAATTTTGATACCCTGAAAACTATCCAATTTACATATTATGTACAATACACGAACTTTTCACCAGTTAGGTAAGTTATGGATAATATGTAGGTGCCTAATCCTAACATTCCTATGCACAGGCATGATTCCCGACTCCGGGCTAATATAGGCTAGGAAATATCGAAATACCGGTTCAAAAAATGTATAAAAATAATGATAATAGGTAGTAGTGAAACGAAGCGTTTATCGATTTTTCCTACAACGCATCGCATATCTTCAAGGTCGAACTATACACGTGTAATTAGTAACTTGTATTATCTTTAGTACCCAAAATAATAACTATGTCGACTTGTTGATCAAATATTGTATTTTTTTAAACGAACCGACGGATCACCTGGTGTTAAGCAATTGGCAAAGCTCGTAGACACAAACATTAAAGGAATCACAAGTGCGTTGCTGGTTTTTTGGGGATTAGGGATATGAGCTTTGGGAAGGGAAGGAACTGGGTCTCCGGTAATCTCACTAAGAGCCGAACAATCATCACTTAATTCTTAACTGTAGAATAAAATTGACATTCAGTTTTTAGTATGGAAGAATTGTCAAATATTCAAAGTTATTCTTCAGTTAAAAATTATATGGTGTTGGAAAAAATTGGCCCTTATACGGTGAAACATAACGCAAGCGTTGTTTTACGCCGGTTTTCTATCACGCCGTGGTATCACTCCGGTCGAACCGGCCCATGTGTCCAAACATGGTTCTACCACACGAATTGTTGATTTATGTAAATTCAAGCAAGTTAGCTTAGCTGCTATACAGGTAAAAAATTAAATATTGAATCAGTATAGAGATAATACCTATTGTCGTAGCCGGTAACTAAATTCTTTGCTTTTTAACGAAACCATATTTTACTGTCTGTTGATCAATCTTTATTTCCTTAATTGCGTAAGTTATTTATAGTTATTTAGTAACTTGGCTGACTATAGCTAAACATCAAAACATGTTTTAATTAAACCTACTCAGTAATTAGGAGGCTTTTTTAAGGGGGGAAAATCATCGAATGACTGCTCCCGCCTGGGTGAGGCGGGAGGGAGTGTCAGACTCTCACTGACTAAAAACTACCCCGGTCCTTCTCTTGCACGTCGAACCGGAGACCCGGTAACCCGTTAGGTTCTCCGCGACCCGTTAAGAGTGACATAAAACTAGTCGAGTTACCTCGTCAAACAGTATGGTACTAAGTCATTAAACATAACGATGAGAATTATAATACAAAAATAGTTATTAAGGTATTCTTGTCACTTACCTATGCCTAATCTTCCACAGCCTGTCCATAGCTTTGTGTGCCTTTTGCTCGTAGACAGGGTTGCCAGTTAATCTCGACAATGCTGCCATTTCGAGGATCATTGTACCAGCACACGCCGTACACGTCTCTCGGGACTCCGACATCCCTCGCATACCATGGCGAAGATTTATCTGTACAACAATAATTTATGCTCAGTACACAAACAACATCAACAGCTTATAAGGGCCCACTGCTGAGCAAAGCCTCTTCTCACACGGAGAAGGTTAGAGCATTAATCACCACACTTGCTCATTGCGGGTTGGCGTTTTCAAACTTATAATTCTTGGTTTTCACACGATGTTTGTCAGTGGTGTCTAAATAATCTTAGAAAGTACATATAACTCGGAAATAGTCACATTGGTTTTTGCCATTGGTACTATTCGAAACCGCACCCTCATGTTTAAGAAGCGGTCGTCTTAACCTCCAGACCACCACGACACACAGTACAGAGATGCCGTGTAAATATTATGACAAACCCCTCATAAATATGTAGAAGAGTGTAGTAGGTGTTACTACAAACATACATAACATTTAGGAACAACAAATTGTGGATCACACAAATATGTATGTAAGGGAATCTAATCCACAATACGTTGCGCAGTCGTAATTAAACGGATTTTAACGAACATACGAAATGGTGCAACTGTTTTTCAATTTATTTTTATCGCCACGTTTAACTATTTATCAAATTGCGTCGTAGCACAGCGGTTTTACTTTTTAATTCTTACTTCTTATATATATGCCCTTTGTACTGCTAACTACAAAACAGAGCAGCATTGTATCTCACAGAAGCAGCACGTATGAATTTTAATCTACTTACTCTTCCATGTGGTATCCCAGTAGACGTATTGAAGGCAGGCAAAAGCCTCTTGCCCAAATCCTCCGCCATTGCAAGCAGTTCTCCATTATACCACTGCAAGGCAGGCACTTCATTCTTTAAGTTGGTGGCTAACACATGCGCTGATAACAATCCCCTGGAAAGGAAAAGTCCATTTACTTCTATGGAGAGATATCTTGTGAATTAAGCGGGTGTACAAATTCTGCAATTATGTAATTGCAGCGCATTTAATAGGTTAGACTTGCTTGAGGTAAATAATTTCTCTCGAGTAAGTCCTCCCGATCCTGTAGGAATGTCGGGATAGAAAATATTACTCCCCGAAAGTGGCCATACGTTGCTTTCATACTTTCTGAACCGATGGATTCAATGTAGAATACTAACAATAGAATTTTTCCTCTTTACAAGAACATAACCAATAATATGTATTCACAGGGAAAATGGTATATAATATAAGTCTGTATCCTTATTCACTATTAATCATATTTATTTCAGCTGTAGTCGTTGGTTAAAAACGAAATACATAGAATAACAATTAATATCACACGATATTGCTTCTTCTTAAATAATATTCACAATTAATTTACATAAATAGTAAATTAATACATAGGTAACATGGAAAATAAAGTTTTGTCCTTACCCGAGCATTCTAATATTAGTCTCAAACACGGAAACCACAATGTCGTGGTCAAAAGTGACATCTTTGATGACTAGCTTGATGGCGCGACTGAACTCTGAGAAATCTCCTAGCACAGCCAACGTATCTAAGCTGTCCACCAATGTTAGGGAGAAGCTGAAAACATACATACAACATCGTAAGAAATTTTACAAGTGAGAGAGGCATGCCTCGGCATGAATGAGCTGGCTCGACCGGAGTGATACCACAGCCTGATAGAAAACCGGCGTGAACCCTACGTTCGTAATACTAAATTCCCAATCCCTTAACCTAAATTTTCTGGTATTCCGAGTATCCTTGAACTGCGCCGATTGCTTACCATCAGGGAGCTTACTCTTGAATCCAATTCGGATCGATCGACATTGGTATTGTGACATTTCGTACTCTTGAGGTTCAAATCTAGCGCCCATTGGATCCGTGTTGCGTGGATACTTAAGGAACTAAATAGTATTGAGTTAGGCTTTATATTCCGTAGTCTTAATGCTATTTTATATACTTATAATTTTGACAATGAATAATTATTGATTTTATTGGATTGAAATTTTTTTTATCGGGATTTGTTTCAAAAGTAAGCACACTGGTCTGACCAGGTAGGTAATTCGTATGCTCGTTTGCCACCCTGTGCCATAAAAATAATTAGCACTCCATACTGTATAGTACCTACCTATGCACTATATACTTGATTGAATATTAAAAGCAGTAATCAGAAACAAGCATAGCAGTTAGCATCGTTTCACCGATTTCACGCCGATACTATAAATGTAGGTCAAACTGTTCACAAAGTTTGTTTATTTACCGCACTTTCATTTCTGCACTCAATGCATTTGACCTGTTAAGTATATCAAACTTGCCTTAACCTGCCTAATAAAAATAGGGATGTTTTTAATTAAATATTTACTGAATTATTCTTTACACAAAATATAATAAAAAAAACCGACTTCCAAAACCAAAGTAGAAACAAAATACTGAGAACCAAAAAATCTATACTAAATATGTTCCTATAAAGCTGAAGAGTTTTTTCGTTTGAAGGCGCTAATTTCCGAAACTACTGGTCCGCTTTGAATAATTCTTTTGTGTTGGATAGTTAATGCTTTTATAGAGGCTATAGGATACTGGATCGACCGAATAGAAGCCGAGCAGCGAGTAGCTAGCTATGTAAAAGGATAATTATAATTTTTTATGGTATTTTTTTAATGGCCGTAACATTAATATTACGTACCTACTTTTCTTATCTACAGGTTAAACACTTTCAATAACGAACACACAAGTTATAAAGTTATATAACTTAACTAGATATGCACTAACTTTGGAGTCTTTGGAGTTAACTCGTCGAGTACCGGTTTTACAGACACAATTAAAGAACAATAGGTCGCGGTCACCGGTGACCGCTTGGTGTTTGACAGTTTAATAATAATCTTCTATATACATATTTAATAAAACTGTAGAAGGGTAAATTCTGTACATTGAAAATATTTAAAAAAAATATAGTATAGGGGTATAGTGTTACTAGACACTGAACCCTGTCTGTCTGTATGTTCACGCATCACGCATAGATTACAATGTAACTTGGTATGATTATTATCCCGAAAAAGAATATACACGAAAAACCAAACATAATTTTGCGGCCCAATCCCTAGACAGTTACTGTACCAAACGCAAATATAGTTTGTCGAATGTTAGATTGCCCACAGTGGACTCTACGCTGTAACTGTAGGGCCGATGGTCGAAATTAGCATGAACCGATATTACAAATCTGAAAATATGTGAGTGTGTTTGTATGTTTATTACTCAGTCACATCAAAACGGCTGAAGGGACCGGGATGACATTTGGAACAGAGGTAGATTACTTGTTGGAGTAACACATACCTATGCTACTTTTTACCCCTGGGGACGCGAGCAAAGCCGCTAACAGAAGCTAGTTAATAATAATTTCATTTATTTCTCAAAAGGTGATTATAGTTTAGAATTACGACTCAGACTTAAACAGTTAGGTATCTTATAATTAAGAGAAGGCGTATCCGCAACCGAACTAGGAGTAAGCCTGTATCTCGGCACGCATGTCGCAATGCCAATCCCTCCCCCGCAATAAAATTAACCAGAAAAATTAATACAGTAACAAAAGCCAGTTTGGGAGTGTTACAAAACCAGTTAAAACAAAAATAATAAAAAGTAGTTAAAAAGAAAAGGAAACCTAAGGTATAACCATCACCAATGATTAATAAGATACATCAAAAAAGTTAGAGGATTTGTCGACCTAATGTTTAATACGTTTATGTGGATTACAAAGTAGGTATAATCATATGGAATGGTTATGAGAACTGACTGTATTTACCTACTTGCTTCTACTATTATTAATAGAAGTGAGTAACTCCACAGTAAAGTAAGTACAGTGCCCAGCAGATGAACCTTCTCAGTTTTTTTATTCGATTTTCAACTTTATTTGATAAACTGAGTTACAGTCTAAAATTCAAAGAAAAACATTGATATATTGGAGAAGGTTGACTTGCTAGCCACTGTACATGGAAAAAAAGAAGTTATTATTTTCAAATGCAATGATTGTGCGGTTCGTTTGGTATTAGCTACTCACTTTCCGAGAGCGTCATCCATGTCACCTCGACTCGGCGTTATGCCCTTCCACCGTCCCTTGCAGCTTAGCGGCATTAGTTCATCCGCAGGATATGCGTTCTCCATGTACGCGTTGTATGCATGATAGAACATTTTTCGTGCCTCCTCCCTGAAATTGTGAAAATATTTAGGTAATTGCTACCGGCCTCACAATCGTGGTTGGATATGCAGAGACAAACAATGAACATCGAATTCAGATGTATACTATTAAAGAGGCTAACATTTCATTTTGACTTCAACTTCTCAAGATACATTAACCAAATTGAGTTGATTTCAAAAATCTCATTAATAATGTTATATATTTTAAATTAGCCATATAATGCGTGTAAAATATAAGATCCAAAACATTAATAAAATAATATAAAATGAGATAAATTAAATATTACTTGTATTGTATTGAACTGAGTGTTGATATTATTAATAATTTTTTATTGCTTTCCTAAATGTTTTTTTTCGGGAACTGGGTTATACCTCACTGGTGCCAGCGGTGGTGCCACACTTGATAATTCAGGGGGGAACGGACCCGCATCTTATCAGACGAGCTCACGGTGCCAGGAACCCGTCCACCCTTTGTCTACCTACTCTAGGGTGATAACCGGCCCGAACTTTCACCCGCAGACTCGCGCTCAAGTAGACCGGAGATCTGTCTCTGATCTACAGTGCCTCGCGTGCCTTCTGCGGCACGGGAGGGTGCTAAGCGTTTCCGGTTATTTCACCGCCCGTCTTTTTTGCGGCAAGGTAATATAAGCATTAATGTAATATTTTACTTGATTTAAGGAATGAAACTACTAAATATCTCAACATAGTGTTAATATAAATTGTATACATTAAAATGTTAACAGGATTAATTAATCATACGCTTCTAAAAGAAATATAAGTTCATTTGTCAATTTATTGTATTGTAAATTCAGATGTGGCTTAATTAATAATATGTGCTACATTGTGGGTACAACAAGTTATTAAAAAAAAAATGCTTGAAAATCACAATGGGGGTATATCCACTTAAAATAATGCTGTCCCAATTTTACACAAAATAAGATTTTTCATTGACATACAATTAAACAGTTTGTGATATTGCAAAATGCGTTTTTTATGGGTTAAGCTGGTAAACAAGCAAGACGGACCACCTGATGATAAGCAATCGACGTCGCCTATGGACACCCGGAACACCAGAGACGTTACCAGCGCATTACAAACCTTTTGGGGATTGTTAAGGATTCAGTAATTGGGGAGCAGAGGGGATAATTGGGCCTCTGGTAACCTCACTTCAATGACGAAACACAATGCCAGTTTTATTTCTCGTTGGTTTTCTGTGACACCATGGTATAACTCTGATTAAGCCAGACTATTTGTGCTGAAGTATGGCTCTCCCTTTCTTAAAAGTGGTCCCATTATGAATCTCATTAGGTTGAATCAGCTCTAATTATGATAATTATGAAACACGCTAATGTTCTTCTTTACTTCTTTATCAGAAGTCAAAGAAACTTTCGTCATCAAAATATTTACATGTCACCAGATTCATTTCTGATACTTAAACTAGCTAGCTTTTATGTATCTTGCACTATTATGTATGTAACTATGTACTTACATATGTATCAATGTACATATATGTGAAGTGGAAACTCGATACAGATATTTTCAACCAATTGAGCTGAAAATTTGTATACATGTTTGGTTTGTGTGATATAAAAACGTGTTTTTAATATAAAGACCCAAATAAAAACCAGAGCTGATTAAAATCGTTCATAAACAATATATAACACCATAAGTAACAGGTAGCAAATACACTATTAGTTTTGGCCAAAACAATAAACAATGTCCAATAGCCTGCGGCCTATTACAATTTTTTGTAGCAGTGCACATTATTGTTATGTTACTGTATTGCTTATTATTATCTGTATTAAAGAAAGACATGAAGAATATAGACAAGGAATTATATTTACGAGAATTACAAGCAAACCCCCAAACCTATAAGGTTTTCCAAGACTATTCATACATCATCATAAAACAATATGATCTTGTTCAAAAAATATTGAATTTGGGATATAACTACTATGTGTCACCTGCTACAAAAAAAAAATATTTTAATCAATTCTGGGTTCTTGCTTCACACATTTGTGGCCATTATCCTTTATATAATGTCATTTTGATGTAAAAGTCAGCAATGCTATTATTAGGAATCTGCAAGGATTTATAAAATAATGCTTTTTTTCTGGGACAATGCTCTAAACACCAGACTTTTGTTGCTAATCAAAATCCTGCTTTATTAGAGCTAATTCATTAACAATTTTTTACTGTATTATTTCCACAGTTTTATTGTAATATACCCTGTATAATCTGGTGTCATCTTACTGGTATTAAAAACTTTCTATTTATTCCTAAGTGGTTGAACTAATTAGCACAATCAAAGGAAACTGTTGTGATAATTAACAAGCAATTCAAAATACCAAATTATTTACCTTAAACTCTGGCGTTCTGATTTCGACATTCGAGAAGCAGCTTCTTCCTCTGTCCTTACACATATTATTGCCAAAATGAAGACTAATAAAACACGATATGCCATTATCACCATAATCACAATATTTTCAAATGACTATATAGTATTCTTATCTACAAGTAAGATTTTAATAAAATTTCTACAATAGTAAATGAAATTATAATGCTCAGGGAAAAGTTGTATCAGTTATTATTTAGGATGTTGTAACATATTTAAAGGAAAATAAGCCGTTTTTAGAGGCCTGCACTAATAAATAACTTCTACCAGAACCTATTAATCGTCCATGACAGTTGTCAAGTCAATGTTGTCAAGTGTGACTGTGCTGTGAACACAGAGATAGTTGCGAGTGGGTGCGTGGATAAAAACACGGTCCATGTTTTTGTAATTAGGACTTTTAGCATTTTAGACCTAGAATGAATTGTTTCTTTTTTCAACGTCCTTGGCAGAAGTTGTTTAAAAATACAGTTAGTTATAATACGTCTATGTATTTTATACATATTTTAGATATATTACTTGAATGTCTCTATCAAGTCTTATACCTTGTGCTTGTCACTATATTTAATTTAAGTTCTAAGTGGGTAAGTATACAGCATTTAAAAATTATAAAACAATCTTAAACTATTTATACAAGGACGTTGAAAAGTAGGCGGACAGTCTCTTGAAACAATGAGTGTGTTCCCCTATACATTATTATACTCTTTGGACTGTGGCACCTGGTTTTTAACTTAACACGTAAAACATACACACATTGACACGAAGGATATCGGTAATTTTCAAGTCTGGTAACGTGGTGACCCATTACCACATTACCACCCATTACACAATATGTACACTACATAAATAAATCATTAACATTTTGGTGCTTCAATCATTTGTAAAAGATGCTATGTCCGCCTTTTTTTTCAACGTTCTAGTTGTCACCCTAATAGTATAAATGAGAAAATTTCTATATTTGGATGTTTGACGCTGAAACTACTGAACGGATTTTGATGAAATTTGGTATACAGGCAAGGTAGCACATGCCTGACACATGACTTAAGTGAGATAATTCTTTTTTCCCGATTAAATGTTCTCATGAGATAAAACAGGAATACGCGGGCAATAGCTAGTTATAATATAAAGCTGAAGAGTTTGCATTGTTTGTTTGGTTGTTTCAACACTAATCTTTGGAACAATGGTCCGATTTGGATAATTCTTTTTTGTGTTGGATAGTGTATATGTCTCCTTCCTCGCATATAGGTATACCTATATGCTATTAAACATCACGCTACCATCAATAGAATCCAAAGAGAGCAGTTGAAACAGCGCAGGAGTAGCTAGAAAAAAATGAAATTTTGGTTTTTACTAATTGCTTGTAAGCTATATTATAATTGTGAATTTCGTCATTATCATGTACCGGCTCCAGCTTTTGGAGGCTCAATATTATCCCTAAGCTAGAACACCTCCCCAATCTCCCCAAACCCGAATCATACATTTATTAGTTTAACCATCCATATAATTATTCGAAATACTAAATCTGTCCTCTGTTGATTCTAAAAGTACTTGAGCTGTCATGCGCGAAAAATTAAGTTGATTTAAAAAACTTAAATTAAAAACTAACTATTACTTAAAAAAAAAAAAAAAATTAAAACTAAATATTACTAAATTAAAACTAAAAAATTAAAACTAAATATTACTAAATTAAATACCTATATACAACTAAAGATTAAAATTAATTATAAGAAAAAACAAAAACAACTATTTACATAAAGCGTCGAAAAATTCGTCCGCATCGACGTCAGTGGGGAAAGTACCCAGAAGGCTGGCAGCATTGCCACGTTGTATGGCAATGCTTAGCCTCTGACCGAGAAAAAGACCAGCCCTCTGGTCACGAGATGTGTCAACCAGGCGTTTTGAGATGTTTTGGAACAATTTAAGTGCACTCGGACCCCACGGACCTAGCGTCTCAACCCCAAACGGCTCAAAGATATAACTACCAGCAAGGTTGTTATACTTGCGCCGCTTGAGGCTTTCTGCAGAGGCAGCAGCCGAACCAGCACAACCCGCCGTTACTGGAAGATGAGAAGGTGCAAGGGTGTCAACGCAGGTTGCGTCCCACACCAAAGACCTTCCCAGCTTCCAGGGCATAATGGACATACCGTCGGGTCTCTTACCATCGTCGCGTGCCAAACCCTTTGGTTCCAGAACAGCTGGCACACCGGCGATGATAAGAGCTCGGCGGATAATGTCGTTAATGCTGGCGTGTCGAGCTATCCGGCCCGCGCTTCTGCTACACGATAGGCCGTGGTGGCCGAGGTGGTCGACCATCTCACCGCATTGACAGCGATGCGGAGAAACACAGGGTGCACCTACACGCAAGCAAGCAGCAAGCCGAAAAGTTGAGTCATTCAACATCGTGCCAATATTGAGTGACGGAAGTGCCTGAAGCCAGAGGCCTGATTCCCACTCACCCACAGCCAATAGGCGAGCTAACTCCGCAGGATTGGTGCTGGTATTAATTAGATTATTATGCACCAACCTGCAAAGCGGCTCGTCCCATTGTCTCTGGGAGGAAGGGTTGACAGGCAAGGCTGTATTGGGACATGTTTCTGTCCAGACGTTCATCGCGTCGGTCAGACACGGCACATCAGGTTCAGCGTCAACACCAGCTAAAATTTTATTTGTTAACGTTCTAGTGCTGTGGACAGAAGAGATGAACGCCGGTAAACTTACACTGGTAATTTTGCGGACGCCTAGACCACCAAAACGAATTGGTAGTGTGGCTTGAAGCCAAACACGATCGTCCATAGAAGCATTCAAAAGTGAAGTTAAGGTGTCACGGATAATTTGATCAATTTGGTCCAGAATATGCGGATGCTTCCACAGAGGGGAAGCACGCAGAAAATACATAAATTTTGGGCCGAAACAACAATAGCGAATTAAAGTAAATGCACAATGTAGATTAATTTTGGAAAGTCTATCGGAAATGTCACAGAAATTTTTAATTTTCTCGTTTATGAAATCAGAGAAACTGTTTTCGAAAATTGGGGAACCCAGGAGAAGAAGAGAGTTTTTATCAACAATTTTTAAATTCGGCGCTACGGTAGAAAAAGTGTTTAAAATTTGTTGACTATCGATAATTTTGTCCGGAAGGTAAATTTCGCATTTAGAAATATTTAATTCTAATCCGATGGATTTAAATTCAGAAATCAAAAGCTGTAAGTCATGGAAAACAGTATCTGCGTCACCTCCTAGGGTTCCATCGTCCAAATACCAAACATTAAATTTAGATTTAAGTTGCCGAATAATAGGGTGAATGGCCAGACTGAAAATGACTGGACCAAGAGGATCACCTTGTTGAGTTGATTTTATTTGTTTATTATTTTTGTTCATTGTATTCTAAGTATATTTATAGGCTAATGGCGTGATAATTGATAAGGCTTTGTTATAAACGATTACACATTATTAAAACAGTTGATTTATTTCAAAAAATAGACAATGGGTTTACGTTTACAACAACGTACATAAAACTTACCGATGAACGCTTATTTTAGATTTTTTATACGTATAATGGTATAATCAATTAATATTTTATTATATAAAGAGATTGACAAAGTTGTAGGTAAAAGCTTATCAATATGGCGGCATAGAAATACTACTGGCTTCATGTTAAAATTTGTTTATGTGTGCAGCAGTGTGTCTACAGGTAAAAGAACGAGACGCCATTATTAGGTTGGTGCTTGACAGAACAAGGAAAAAGAATGATGGATATCATATACGTATAACTAGAAATTTATGTTTGGTCTGGTTATCTATTAGAATTCTGTGTACTACTAAACTTATACGCGTTGCGTTGTGTTTCTGTTTCCACCATTAGTAATTAAAAAAGCCGAAAGAGTGCGCTACATAAATGTAATGTATAATCTATGGTGCTACTGGCAAAATGAGTGGTCACGTGACTGACTAGTGGCCGCCATATTGCATTAGTATGGTGGCGAGGGATCATTTACTAATGCCTAATTTGTAATTTTATAAATGTCTAAAATAATTATGTACTCAGAATTGTTGGTGTCTGTTTATTACTAAGTTTGTTTTATGTTTTGGGCTTGGTTTCAATTCATAATAAGTGTACAGTGTACATTAAAAGTATATAAAATTGTTCTCGGTTCCACCATTGAAATAACCAAGTAGTGGCCGAGTACCAGAAGAGGCTCACCGACAGCGCATTGCAGACTGGAGTAGGTATGGTAAAAAATATTTCCTTTAAGTTCATAACACTCTGATATCCAAATTTTAGTTTTTGTTGTTATTTTAAAGCTGTTTTGAATGCCGGCTTCAGTTGTTTACCCTAAACGCTACTTATTGTATGAATAACTCTTATAAAATGAATGAGAAGGACTTTTCTAGTTACGAAAACATAAATTTGAGTAAACTACAATTAATCATTCCATTGAAATAGTATTCTAAAAGGTATATGGAGCGAAAGTTTTGAGTTTTTCCTTTGACAAGTCATAGGGTGTTGTATAAACATTATAACTGTTATCTACGTTTAAGAAAATCCATAGTTATCATCAATCCTTTCAGTGATTTGATTATGTGACCTTTATATTCGTGGTGCATTATGTACACGTAGCTTTAGGCAGCTATACTATAGAACGACGCCATTTTGATAGCTAGCGCCTTGCCAGAGGGGGGAGGGGAAGGGCGGGTAGGAGGGGCGCCTCTCACTACATTATAAAATAAGACGCTCAGATTTGAGAGACATCTCTCTCATGATCATTCCTCATCTCCACTATACTGATACCTACTACTTTTAGTGATCCTACTTACAAATTGTGTAGGTTACCCTTATGTTTGAAACTGAACCCCCAATATAAACAAACAGTCTCACTAAGTATGTTTTTTTGCTTTGACAGGTTTACTCACATGGAATGTAGATTCATATCACTATGAATGGCATAGTAAATGGTACTATGGAAAATCCGATTGACACCTCTGCCCCGACTCCCTCAGACAATATAGAGATTAATAAGGAATCTGCTTCTGAAGGCTGTGATAATGCGAGCAATGTCTGTGAAAATAGCAATCACACTGAGGACAGTAATCACTTAGACAGTGAGAGCAGTCAAGGAGGTACAGCTAACAGTACTGAAGAAGATATAGAAATTGACAATAGTAATTGCAGTGAAAGCCAAGATGTTGAACTCGAATTGGCAACAGATGTACATGATCTGGCAGATCCAGATACTGAAAATGATAATGATAATATAATATTTATGGACAGTAATTGTGGCAATAGTAATGAATCATATCCAGACTCATTGACAGGCTGCCATGTCAAGTCCGATATTAATGATGATTTGCTGCGTAAATTGATGATACAAAAAAATAAAGAAGCCGAAGCAGCAAGAGCTCTAGGTAAAAACACCACTTCCATCACACGCATTACTGAAATTACTCCAGAAGAGGTAAGTTATTTTCATTATGAGTTAACAATAACAATTTAAGATTCATCTAATCATGTCTCAATCATTGTAAACATTCTTAACTCAGGAAGGAAAACCACTTTATTTAATACTGTATATCTCAAGAAGGTTTGTTTGATTGGTTCATTAAAGAAAAAATTGAAGTCAACAATATGAGGATCATATTATTATGATCCTCATAACTATTGAACAACTAGGTATATGTACATTAATCATAATCAGGGAGATTATGAAGATAGTCCTTTGTGCCAGTGTCAGCCATATTGCAATAGACATACCTTCTATTAGGTACATATGCTAGACTAATAACATAATTGGCGAAAATAGTGCAAGATGTCCTTTGTCTTCAGAGTAACATTATTGTTGTGTTTATATAGTTTTGAATGTGTCAGATTGAACATGTTTATGCGTATGTTACCAATTTTATTAGTAGTATGAGAGGTCAAGAGTCACATTTTTTTGTAAACAAAATTGAAATTTATAATTAATTGTGACTAAAGGTTTGTTCTCATAACCCTGAAAATCCTATAAATCTTGTGGAATAGCTATTTACTATTTGTGCAAACTTATTTTGCACGATATTTGTGTTATACTGAGTCTAAATATCGAATAGACTGTCGTTACAAATACTCTAATCTACGCATTCCAGTTGTCATTAAATATTCACGATCACACATGCTTTAGTTTCGCTATCTGATTGTCTTTAGCCTATAGATAGACATGATATTATTTAAACAATTTTATACTACTTACTAGTATTGATTTATTGACGATCAACTGTTGGCTTATTTAACGTTTTTTGTTGCATCACTTTACCACATTAATAGTCCCAACAGAAGTACTTTTTTACCTTATTAGAACTGCCTAAATTTTATTATGAAAAGTATTTATGCGATGCTATTAAAGATATTTGTTTTTTACGATAAATTTATCATACAAAATCTTAAAATGGTCTGTGGTGACAAGAACACAGGACAGTTTCCACTTGTGCTGTTTTTGGTACTGATTGTATCTATCACCAGGATAGATTGTACGCTTTATCAACAACAATTTTATTTTCACTGGATATTTTTACTAGAACATGGTCATGATCAATGATGAATTCAATCCTGTAGACGACTGTATCTTAAATTAAACTCATCTTAAATCCCAAAAAGTTCTGTATCCAAAGAATTGTGAATAATTAGGGTAGACCTAGTAATTTAATATGACGTCTGTATTGCTCTTGTTTCGAAAATGAACCAATCTACCAAGTCGAGAGCGAAGCAAACTCTGCGGAAGCCTATACTGGAACCATTTCGATGCCTATCCTTTTTCATCGCATTACCAGCCCCCAATTTGAAAACCTTTAGAAAGCAATAACGCTTGCGTTTGGTTGCGCTGCGTGAGTGATATTTCCAATCCCTAAATCGTTAATCCTCAAATACCTAACCCCCTGAGTGTGGACAATCATCCCATGTCTTCTCCCACCTTGGGTTAGGCGAAATGGAGTGTCAGACTCTTACTGACTAAGAACCACCCTGTTCCTACTCCTGGTCTTCGAGCCTGAGCCCCAGCAACCCGTTAGGCATTCCGCGGCTCTGTAACGGGCATCAGCCCTACTAGGCCCTATGTGTGGTGGTCTGATGGCTCTTTGAGGAAGACTGTATAATATTATTATTAAATACTTCGCAGAAATCGCAGAAAACTTAGACTGGGTCAAGTTTGTCTAGAAATTTCATTACTCTTTAGAATTTTTAGATGAGCTTTATCGAGGCTAGGTTAGCCTTTACAGAAAATATTTAGGGGAATCTTTATTAACATGACTGTATATAGCAACAAAATGTCGACGTTGTTTACAAAACTTGAATACCTGTCAGAGACACGTCGTATTTGGCGTCTGCCTGGCGCCACTTTGCTATTTTCGAGGAAAAGCGCTGCGCCACAGTAATTATTGTAACTAGAACATTATTATTATACAGGGTGTCCCTGAAGTCGACGTTCAAATGGCTCCAGGGATCAACAAGGTTCCAACAGTTATCAGAAAATAATAAAAAATGTAATGGTGAAAATTGTATTAAGAACACTTGTTTCATAAAAAAACAGACATTCTTTTCCAAACTAAAGAAGTTTGCTCAATATTTATAATTCCATAATACAAGAGCGCTCTCAGGATAACGTGAGTAAAAACACAGACGAAAAAGTAAAGAATTGTAGCAGCAAGAGTCCAAAGATATACTTTTTTAAGTACTGGCACAGGGTGTACTTTTTTCGTAGATTACACATAAGCCACTGTAATTTGAAAACTATATGATTTAGATTTTTTTTTATAATTTCTGATAAGTGTTGGAACCTTGCCGATCATCTAGTGCCATTTGATCGTCGACGTCAGGGACACCCTATATAAGAATAGCAAGGAGCCCCTTTTAGTCTTCCGCGACACCTGATCGAGCATCATCCCTACTGGGCACCATCTGCGGTGGTCTGATTGCTATTTGAGGCGCGCGCGGTACGCGACGCGCCGTATACTCAGGTCTGATTCTGGTCGAGCAACAAGCTTCCCTTGCTCGCCTTCCGTAAACCCGTGCTTACGGTGGCCGGAGATAGAATCACATATGGTTAAAGGCTGGAACTGCATTAAGTTAAGCGGACGGTCCTATACAGAAGACGGATGCTACACGGGGGAAGGCTGCGCACATGGTGACGAGTGGGGCTACAGAATATCTGGAACTAGCTACTCCCATGCGCCTGCTGCTCGGCTTCTATTCATCGTAACGTGATGTTTTATAGTCCTCATCGATAAATAGACTTTCTAGAGATTAGTGTGTTCGAACAAATTCTCCTGTTTTATATAAAATCACAGTTATAGTACTGATAAATCGTACGATCCACCGACATGAGTTGGTAAATGTAAAAAAATCGGGTAACTCACGTTCCGGTTCTAGGTTTCGCTTCGGAAACTAGTTCAAGTAAAAGATTGGGCACCCCGAAATGGTAGATGAATAGATTAAATTGACATGACAGAAGGTAGTAAAGTTAAACAATCGCATTGCCCCTAGCCACGCACATTATCCCGCGCGTGATCACGCATCGGGTGCCCGTGGTGGACGTTTCTTTAACGTAGTTTCAGCCCTAATAATAACACTTCTTGCAAAATATTCTGTAAAATTGTGAGTTTTTTCCATTTCTTTCTATCTACTTGCAGTTTGCTAAAAAACTGCATTTTCAGTTTTTGAATTCAATATATTAATTATAGGCGAAAAATTACATATTCACATTGACCACCTAAAACTGTAGTTATCAAATTATAAAAATATTTTTTTTTTATTATTTTCAGAATTCTGATACTATGAATGACTCAGAAGTTGACTCTTCAGATGATGAGATATTTGAATGTGAAGCTAGGGCAGAAGATACAGTAAGTATTAATTCTGACAGTGAACCAGAGAGAATAGATGATTTCGCAGAAGGGGGTGTAATAAAAATAAAAAATAAGAATAATGTTATAGTATTAGCAAATGAAGATTCTCCCAGTCAAAATGGAAACTCTCATGGTTCACCAAGTCCAGAAGTTCAAGAAATTGAAAGTGATAATGATGACTGTCTCGTGGAAGAAGAAAAACCTAATAGTGATAACAAAGTACAACTGCGCCGTAGTAGTAGAGCTATAAAGCGTAAAAAATATAACGACGAAGTTGAAAATGGTGGGCATATATCTGACATAGAAGAAGTTACAACAGAAACTGTACACCGCAAAAATAAGCCGATTGTTATTAATGATACTAAGGCTTTAGTTGAAATGGCAGCCAGGCAGATGAAATTAAATCAAAATAATAACCAGAAGAAGGAACCAACTGTTGTTATTATCGATACTAATGCCTCACATTCTGAAAAGGCTTCAGCACCTCCTAAACCTACTGGGTTGCCAATAAGTTCTAGTTTAAGTGCACAAAGTTTATATCAAAGCATTGTCGCCCGTGGGACAACAGTGACACCCGTTAGCAGCAAGTCTAATGTGGCAGCACAGAGTTCTTCTCAACCTGCACAATCTTCTATATTACCGTCTTTAACAGATGATATGTTCGTAGTTGAAGCACCTTCATTTATTGTGCCCTATGTTTATGAAAAACCTTCAGTGAAGCCCTTCAGAGAATTTGTAGACCTGTTAGGCAAAGAGCTGGATGAACAGAAAGCCAAAGAAGAAAAAGAAAAACAAAGTAAAGATACAAAACAGAAGCATGATAAAAAAGAAAATGGTGATGAGGAGGGATCTGATCCTAAATATTCATCTGCACAATCCGAACAAGGTAAAGAAGTCGATGACAAGAAAAAGAGGAAAAAAGGTATGTTACTTTATAAAATAGAATAAATAACTAAAACTGGACTAATAAAATTAGTGTGGATTCCAATTAAAAATATATCTTTGTTATATGCCAGAAACTTTCATGAGATGAGCTAGCTGAGCTAGATGAGCTAATTAAATCTTTTAATTTTTTTAGTGTATCTTTGTTATGTAGGTATATGTATTATACTAAAATGTATGTTCTATTTTAGAGAAAAGGAAGAGAGGCGGCGAAGAAGACGATGCTTCTTGGGATGGTGACACATCCACAGACTCGGAGGATGAAATCCTAATGAGTGATGAAGAAAATAAGACTATTATTATTAAAGATAAAGTTGATTCTATTGAAGAGATAAAAGATGTTGCAGACTTAACTGCAGATAAGGTGTGCTCAAACAAAACTGATAATTATTTCGACTGTTCCCTTGGAAAGTTTTTTATTAATATTGGCTTAGGTCTTGTTCAGGAATATGTACAAAGTGATTTATTAAAACAACAAACTCGAAAATTAAATCGTGAGAAGAAGACCGGACATAGCACTAAAAACACAGAAGCGTCTATTGCTTCTTTAATAAAAAATATTGAATTCAGCAAAGAAAATAATGCGCCTTATTCGTTTACACAAAATAAATGCGAATTTTGTAGTTTTAAGACAGAATCTAAGTTGGCAATGGCTCATCACTTGGAGACTCCTCATATGAAGAATAATGTTTATAAATGTAACTTTTGCGCATTCGAAATACGAAGTCCTCATGACATTTTGTATCATATGGAAGCTGAACACAATGTTAGAGGAAAGTTAGAGAGAGCACCTGCGTACCATCAGTGCGCCAACTGTCCTTTTGAGGACAATGGTAAGGGAAAATTGGCACGTCATCTAATACCGTGTGCCAAGAAATTCAAACCTGAAACAAATTTGGCTCCACCGCTTGAATGGGAACCTCCTGCTAAGATACCAAAGGTACAGCCATAATTCTGTTGTTTAAATTATTAATCAAAATCCAAGTTTAAACTAAAGAAAATAATTTAATATTTATTTGAATTATTTTACAGATAACGAGATCCCGCAATAATATGATGGGTTCTTATCAAAACACATTCAATCGAAGTAATGTTCATAACAGTCAGGGACGGCAGTCTTCCAACATGTCTAATGCAATGCCAGGTCTAAGTTCCTCATACAGGCCTCGGGGCAGGACCCCCATGACCGTGCCTCCACGTGGCATGCCTGTTCATGGCGTGCCGATCTTGCGCGGTGGTGTGATGGTCAGGCACAACGCCCCCGTTCTTATGTCCTCGAACTATCCAGCTGCAGTGAGTACTGGTTTATACATATTTTAATGTGTCAAGACCCAAATGGTTTATGGTTATGTATTTTCGAATATAACGGCCAAGGACATTTAGCAAATGATGAAAGAGTTTTTACAAAAAAAACACACACACATTCAAAGAAGTTTTTTTATTCATCAGCTAAATAATATTGAAGTGTTTGTTTGTAATATTAACCACTTTGCGACATCTAGTAAATATAAAAATATAAGTTTACTCTAACAGCTAATATAAGACGGTGTCTGTTTCAGAATAATACTAAGCAGAAATCTGTGCATCAGCCATCGATTTCCATTACACCCTTACCAAGACAACCACCACCTGTGCAGCTCCCGCCTCCTGCCATCAACTCGAAGAGTACTTTCGTCATTTGTGAGATTTGTGATGGTTATATAAAAGACCTTGAACAATTACGGAATCACATGCAGTGGATACACAAAGTCAAGATACATCCTAAGATGATCTACAACAGACCACCCCTTAATTGCCAAAAATGTCAATTTAGGTAATAAAAAACTTTTCAGAGAACTGGAAATTGACACTTATTTCCTTTGAACAATCGATATTAAACCGACAGAGATACTAAATAACTCAACACTTGATTGCCGACTATTACAGGTTTTTCACGGATCAAGGTCTCGAGCGACATTTGTTGGGTTCCCACGGCCTCGTGACAAGTTCAATGCAAGAGGCCGCCAACAAAGGAAAAGATGCGGGCAGGTGTCCCGTATGTGGCAGGGTAAGGACAACGCAATTATTTATGGTTTAACTCTTGTATTAGAACGAAACCATTCATATCGTTAATTCCCTGGTGATATTTTAGTATAAAAGAAAATTTTGTATTAAGATTTATTTTATAAATGTTCCAGGTGTATCAGTGGAAGTTACTGAATCACGTTGCGCGAGACCACAATCTGACGTTGAAACCAGCTCATCTTTCGTACAAATGTACCGTATGCACAGCTACATTTGGAATGTACAAACAGTTTGAGAATCATGTGTATTCAGCCCATAGTGTTGTGGCCAAACGAGTCATGGACAAAAGCAAGAGTTCGGTGCCTGCAAAGACTAATAATAGTGATACTCTTTTGAAGCCATTAAAAATTAATGATGAGATTACTATAATACCACAGCCAGTGAAGGGAGCGGCTGAAGATGATGATTAAGGTAATATTTTATTTTATTTATCCATTCATCTGAAGAGATTTGCATCCTTTTTTTCTTATTATCGTATCGTTATGGCGTAAGCAGGCGAAAAGCAAAATAGCAGTATTATGACAATTAAGCACAAGACAAGCTTGTTTCATGCTGATTTTCTGTAAGGCCGTGGTATCACTCTGGTTGAACCGGGCCATTCGTGCCGAATCAATAGCTCTCCTTTGCCTACACATTTAACTGATGTTAGAATCAGATTATCGATTGCTGAAGCTACAAATAAAACAACTTGTGCGGTATGCGAGTGAAAGTAACAGCTGGTATAGGCGATAGGCCTTACCCTCTCACATCTAAACGCTACGCGTCAATATTAACGCTAATTTCTTACGCTGTGTCGGAATTCTAATGTTTGTATTGTATACTCAATAATTATCTACAAATAAATTCTCTATTCATACACTTGCTATGGCTGACTTTAGCATACTGCGACTTTATTTATGTTCTATTATTTGCTTTCTGCTCATTTTCGTTTAACTTAGCTATGCATAGTTTGGTCATCCTAAATAAATCAGAAAATATAAATATTACCTACTGCCATTCGGCTTTGCGAAGAATACAATATTTCGATAATTAATACAATACTATATCCCAATATTAAAAATGCCATATCAGCAGAATGTCATGTAATTTAAAACACACAATTTAGTGCGTTGCGATCACATATTTAAATAAATTAACAAACAAACCCAAGTAGATTGCGATATCATCGTGGTACTTTCTTTAACATCAAAGAATATTATATCACCAGATGCAGGAGGTCAGGGCAGGGTTCCATTCCTGGTTGTTAAAATTCTTTATGTTATTTCATGTCTGTGTGTGATTTGGATGTGAAATATTATTATTTGTTTGTAAAGCACTCACAACCCATGAGTTTGAGGTACCTCAAAATTGAATGATCGCGCGATGTGTTAATTCTTTTTCTCATATTATTGGTATACAACAAATTTTAAAAACATAGAACATAATTATTCAAGAATCTTAATGATTCACCAATAAATCCATTTAGTTTTGCTCAAAATATGCTTGTGTAGCACGAAAATTCCTTGATAATTGTTATATGTTTATTTGCAAAAAAGCTTTGCTATGTTTTCATATTGCTATTTCTGGCAGTTTTATTTGATAGCAATGTGCGATCAGTGTTATCACAATTTCATATTATTATATGCATAAAAATATTTTAATTAAATACTTTATCATTGTTGTTTAAAACTGAATGTGCATTCCTAATTTTTACTTCATATTTAAACGCTGTTTGCGACTCTATTTGTGCGGTAACTTTTGTCATGCGAAGTTATGCCATTTCATGTGAAATTTAGTGATACAATTGAAAATCCAGGTCTTTAAGTGTATTGCTGTGGTATTATTAGGTTTCTTTTGTTTGTAGATTCCGTACTATATGAAGGTGACACTTGTTACAGAAGTGAAGGTGGCAGAGGTCGCCGTATCTTCGGGCTACGAGCTTGCCGGTGCCTTCGAGCCACGATGTTACGGAGGGCAGAGCCCATCGCCGGCCGTGGTGGGACACTTAGTACCAGTGTACATTCCAACTTAGCCAATAAAGCTTTATAAAACGCTACCTAGGTTTAGACATAAAAATATTACTTACGGTAATTTAACGACTAGTTTCGAACGATTTTACATATAATAGTTCTTCACCTTGTTGTGGCAATGTAGGTATTTAGACTTCTAAAAGAATATCTTACACTGCCTTGGCTTTAAAAGCCAGTGATATATTATTTATATCATAAATTCGATTACGGGATGTAGACTCTCAATTTGGTTTTATACAAGTAATTATGTACGGTGGTTGTTTGTAACTTTTGATGTTGTAAATTTTGGTAACATTTAACGTAATTTTAATAATATGGATTGTGAGGAATGTACACCGGTTACGCAGAGAGATAACTCACGTAAATGCTAAATATACCTCAGCGAATCTTAGATTATATTGTAATTTTATATAAGGTATTATAATGTCATGTACCGTGAGGGGTAAAATGGAAATTAGAACTTTATTTGATTTATGCAGTAGTTAAAGAGTGTGTGAAGGTTGTGTTATCACTGAAAGGTCTTGGCAGGTCACGGCAAACCAAAGGCCGTACTCGTATATAAAAACACGCATGTAAAATGTTTTATATGAAAACTCTCTTACCATCCATTCGTGCGAGAGAAAATTCACGCTTTCATTTTTATTTTAAAGAAATTGACTTTAAACTTTTTTCTATGTAAAAAATTAATGATAAACATAACAAGAAAAGTATTGAAATTGATATTATATTGTTAATCCACGAGAAGAATAACGTGGATTGTTGTCTAACGCTTCGTGCGTTATACAAACTGTACTAAATTTACCGACTGCAACAAAACTTAAAAAATAATCTTATAGTCTACATACTATGTAAGTAGATTTTGTCCAGCCCAGGTTGTGTGGGAGAATGACTGTAGAATTATAGAATAATAGTATTTGAGAGAATAGGAATGTTTTAAACTGCAAGTCTGAAAGTCATTGGTTTCATGAACATGTATAATTAGCCTATACAATTAAAAAGAATAAAAAGCAATACGCGGTTAGCTTTACATCATTAGATTGCCAGTTTTGAAGTTTTTGAGGGTAGTTAGGCTCGTTAAAGTTAGTGCTAAGGTCCCATTCACTCCATTCGCGTATGATCTGTGAAAGTTGCTAGGAATGAACAGCATTTTAAATGAAATTAACAAAGTTGGAAAATACGACGAGAATCTAATAAACGACATGTTTAATGTGTTTTACTCTTTGTGGCTACGATTTATGTACTTAATTACTTCTATTTTTCTTTACAAAACAATATTTTACGTTAATTTCCTAACCATAGACATAGAAAATTCATTTTATAAGGGACTAATTTCAACGCGTAGGTAATATTTTATCAAATAAATAAATAATAATACGCCGATGTCCTTGTTTGCTATTTTCGTAGATTAAAAACAATATACGTCATGGTCTGCTAAGTAAAATGTGTGGTTCAAAGTACTTTTGTGTCAGGTCTATGAGATAATTGGTTTAATTCATACAAAAATATAATTTTGTGACCTTTTGATTTTGAATAGAAAGGATTGTTACCAAAATGTATGGCGCAACCACTGGGACCGAATTTAGTGCGCTGTGGCAATATGAACCATGGCTGTGATAGCTTCCAAACAGAAGTAGTCTAAGCTGTGGTGGAGCTGGATGTATTTGGCTCCTTTTTTTGCTACAGTCTACTCTCGTTGATTCGAAACATACATGAGTTACCGAACGTTTCAAGTATTAAATGGTTCGTTTGAACTAACCTCGAATTTAAGTCGACTGCATTTTGTAATTGATTGTTAATCACTATTAATTATCAGATTTCATTCATAATGCTGTTCATAATATTTCTGCAATTTATAATTCTATGCTAATGAGTACAAAATTATGTGTCTAGTTTGACTGAACTATTTCATTGAGAAGATAACTGGTTATCGAATTTGCTAAACGGTAAATTGTACAAGTTGTACTATGGAGCAGGGCCCTATTTCTTTTAAATTATTTGTTAGGAGAAAGTTTACATCTAAATAAGCCAATATTTGCCAGTAAATCCTGAAAACTAGAATTTTCTATGCTAAGTTTTTATTATAGGTAGTTATTTATTGAATTATTGCGACTTCACTATTTCAATTCTAGTCCGGATATAGGCGTAAGGACAGGGCTCTGCTTAGCGTTAGGCTACTATGACATTATGGCACATACAATATAGTAGATATGTGTTTTACAGAATTTCGAGTTTTCAGTCCTTGCAGTACATTGGAAGTTGAACCAAACAAATGATTATAGAGCTAAGTCGAAGACTACGTTAAATGATAATTAATTAAAATATTAAGGGCCTGTCTCACAACGTCCGGTTAGGCAATAGGGAATTTAATAAATTAAAAACTGAAATAGGTATATTTATTATGCTAGTTATTTTGACCAAAACTTATCACAAGTGAACAGACTTTAAGAGTGCCGATAAAGACTACATAAGTAGCGCCGGTAAATATTACATTAACGTTTCGATCTAAATAACAGAACATGTAATTTTTGGCTCGGTTTTACTAGTTCACATATTTTGTTAGCATTTCGACCAAAATATATGTTTCAGGGTAAATTAAAATTTTAATCGGATATATTAGTAGTAATATTAATACACAGTAAGTTTCATATCACATTCTGCGAAGTTTAGAAATTAGAAATTATGCAAATGATTAATGAATGAGTTGGCTTGTGTGCCGCCTCCACGTAATTATCGGTGTCCGATGCTGCCGGACAAATTATCCCTGATTAGTACTGTGGCATAATATTTCGTATAATTCTTATCACGACTGATAGGCACCATTGACACGACTATTGAATTGGCGCACAGTAAGGTAAATAGAGAATAAATGTGATTAAAATAGGACGATTACCTATGTTGCATATAGTTACGATATGTTAAAAATAACTTGTGTTGTTTTTCATAGATCTTATAAATATTGAGATGTTTTATTTACATAAAGATATTAATACTTAAATATATAGCTTACTAAACAATCATATATTTACCAAGAGTTTAGTTTGGTGCAATATTTTGTAGAATGTTACCTGGCCTTGTGTTATAAGCCGGCTCTACACTCATGCGGTGTTCGTGCCGGTTCCCGATCAGTGTCCGGTTTTTGTCCCGCGACAAAGAGTGACGCAACCCCAAACTGTGTCACGGTGAATGTGAATGCATCCACCCTTGTAGCTTTTCGAAGTAGCTTACTAGCATCGGAGGGTGTTGCTTCAAATATGAATGTTACGTGGAACAGCTTATATTTTCGTCATCTCTTATACATATAGATTAGGAAGACCTACTTCGTAAATTCTAATTTCAAAGACGAACTGTTTTTTATTTTGAACAACCACACATAATAGCCAAAAAAATCGCGGCGTTCAATTGCGGCGCGACTACATGCTCGAGTGTAGAACCGGCTATAGTTGCAAAGCCCGTCGCTTTTTTACATTGCGTGGTTAGCTCCTTTTACCATATATGCTACTGTTTGACGAATATTGATGTTATCTACAATCGCATTGCAATACAAAATATTTTTAGTAAATATTTTGAATAATTTATTCATACGATTAGACGTAATATTGCCAGTCGCGATTAATTTTAACTTTTAATAACAAATAATGGTTAAAAAATGTGCTTGTTTTTTACAAATAGATTATTTTATTGTAGCTAATGTAAATAGCATCAATTAAAGTCTATATAGTTTCCAATATCAATAATTATCGATACAGCACTACCCCCTGATGACTATTTACTGGAGTCTCCAGATAAATTGACTGATTTAAAATTTGAATATTTTTTTTTGACTTTTTTAATAATTATTATGTTATCATTTCAATATTTATATTTACCATGTGACATACGTTTTACAATTTATTTTATTATATATCTTAATAATCCAATAAAAAACAAATGTGAGGTAAATCTACATTGGCGAAGTTTTTATTTATGCATGCAATAGCGAGACTAGTGGTTTTCATTAAAATATTTTTATTGTAACGGAACTGATTTTAATTGAACTACATAATAAAATAATATTTAATAATCGCCAACGTGGATTAGCCATATACCAGTAATTATGCTAAAATAAGGAAGTCATACGATATCAGGGGCTAGTTTTATTACCACTATCATGTGTGCGTACCTGATATATTTAACTGGCAGATTTAATTCCGTTCCATTTCAATTTTATTAGATAATCGCTATCCAAAGCCTTTGATGTCACCTGTATACAACTTCCGATTGTAATATCTTAAACTGGTTTTTAAAGAACATTGCCATTTTTAAAGTGACCTTTGACTACGCATGATTAATGGCCGAAATTAATAACAAATCGCAATGTAAAGCGTAAGAAACATTTTTGACTATAGTTGTATGCAGTTTCTGTCAAAAATGGATTGATTTCGGTTACAAAGACATACATTGATTTCGGTTTGAAGTAGTTCATTTCGGCCGTAAGTCGCATTATGTGATTTACTCTGCTCAATTGATCGAAAAGCTTGCTTAGAAAGTTTTCCGGGAGTGTTGAAAATTGGCAATTTTGTAGATTTAATACGTTCTTTCCAATTTCTATTTCACACCACCATCTCAGAAAAATAGCGGTTATTGGCGAGAGCGGCACGGTACGCGCTTGCAAATGGAAATTGGAAGAAGCCAATCAAAATAACAAATTTGCCAATTTTAAACACACCCGGAAATCATTCCAGGCAAAACTATCAAATGACCGAGTTATTTGTAAATCTAAATATCATTGTGATTATATCATTATCATTTGAATAGTAATAGCTGCTGTGGTAATACAAATAAGTTTAACACATAGCGTAATTATTAATATATATTATCCAATTTCATGAATTTCTTTTTAATTGTGCTATGTTGACGGATGATTGAGTTTAGGATGGGGCATTCCTAATGGATGAAGAATATATTTGATTGTAATAGTACCGGAGGTGCGTGGTAAATATTTATTATTTAAACTTAGGTTGTTAAACTAGCTTTTAGTTAAATTGATAGTAAAAATAATAACTTAAAGATTTATTTTCTGCTATTGTGTTTTCATTTCGACTTTTGTGTTTCGAACTGAGTGATTACGAGTAGTGGAACCTGATTGATTTCATAATATCTAAACGAATACGATCCAAAAGTTTTGTATAATTTTGTTATCTTGTAAATAACAGGTATCATTAAGTATTTGTAATAAAGATACCTTACCATTATCGATGTTTCATTTTTTAAATATAAAGTAAATGTATGGTGTTGTGTTTGATTGATGAATTTTTCCAAAAAATACAAGTTTCTCAAATTAATTAGAAATCAAAGGCTAAAGGGATGGATGGAAATATATTCCAAATTACACGAACGAACGACATGAAATTATCGTCCATGACCAAAAATATGATTAGAGGTTAAATAATAGTGCGTTAATATTGTGCGAGGTACTTACCAGCTAATGTCCACCAAAATCACATCCACTATTTCACAGTTTTTTGTAGTGAACACCAGTGACCTCGCACAAAATCTGACTTATTGCTATCTGACTGAGAACTAATACTAGGTCTGACCTAGGACAGAAAAGGGCGGATGTGGTTAGATTGATCTAATCATCTAGCCACGACGCAGGTAAAGTTCCTGTATCCGCGACGACCTTGAGGGCGGCAGAGAGCAGCAAACTGAAGAATAAATTGTCGAACTGAATCTTAGGAGAGTTTTATCATTCTATTAGTCTAGATATCTGCTGCTGTAAGCTGCTAGCTGAATACACTAAAATTAAAATAGTTGTAAGGCATAGCAAATGTTAATTGCACGGACTTATGCTTTATCAGTATTTTAAAGGTGATCTTAAAGTTGTAGCTGATAAAAATGGCAAATACTGCTAAATGGTCGATTGCAACCGGCTGATTTGGAAGGCTAGAGAGTATGTTGAGCTGAGGACGTGCTGGGGCTGATGGGATGATGATTACAGGTCAGTATCGATTACTGGGTATAAAATTAATTACTAAAAATAGTCTGTATTGATACAGACCACATAACAGGGCAGGCAAAGTCGCTAGCAGTAGACGATTTAAATAAACCGGGTCCGTTTAGATATATCAGGGCTTAACAGATGGCGCCCCAAGCGAGGGTTCAACTTATAGTGGGCATGAAATGTGAGGTGAGGGGTGAGGGGTATCTACTTGTGTACAAAGGACTGTATTTGGTATGTATATTTATATTGATACATGCCACTCCCTTGGAACTTTCTAGATAGCGCTGTTAGTAGATTGAATCACAGGATTTAATGATATTCCTATGTTTTACGTTTATAATTGGTAAGGTACATGAAGAATATAAAACTACAAATTCATCTACTTGCTCTAATTATGGAAGTTATTGGTGAATGTATATGATTATGAATTAGAGACCGAATATTTTGCTTGGTTAGAGAATCGAACCCTTGAATCCCTTGCTCGCCTTGCAACCAATCGCCCAACAAGACGTACCTATGTGTCTAAGCGTAGTAATTTCAAATTCGGTTTTTGAACTTCAATTGTATAAATATGTAGACTCGTTGGTCGACTACTCGCAAGCGTGACTGTCGAGCTAAGCCTCTCAATTAGGATGGGGTCAAGTAGGGTCTTTTACTTAATTATCGGGTCATATAAATTTTTGCGATTTTAGATTTTCGTAAATCCTCGGTAACAAAACAAAGTTTCAAATTTGTTCATATTTCTATGAAACCATAGCTGCATACAGGTGTATCTCTCATCAAAATATTGATCGTGACCTGCGCAGTGCAATCAGAACATTCTAGACTGTGCACTGGATGTGCAGAAGTTCGTATGCAGAAGGTCCAACTAATGAATTAACTACTAAACAAACTTTTTTTATTTTTATGATTAATTTGATATTTGAATCGATATCGTAGAAGCCTAGTGGCAAATGAAGTAACAGTAGGCACCAAGTACCTATTTTGAAGATGACCTTATACTTTTGTCTTCAGTACAAATTCACATAAATATGTGCATTAAGTCGTTATTCGCGTAGCGTTGCATGCTTAACAAACAGAAAATCGTGGGTTCGATTTCGGACTCGGGTTTTGACACATCATAGGATGGAAAAAGCCTTGAGTTTTTAGTCCTTCCAAACACATGTGGCTCGCAAGACAAACTAGCTAAAAATAACAGATGGACAAGGCGAAAGTAAGGAAGAAGTACCTATTCTTATCTTAGACAATGATGTGTGTGAGTGAGTGTTTGTTTGTTTGTTTGTTATTCTTTCACTTCAAAATGGCTAAAAGGATCGAGGTGAAATTAGGAAGAGGTGTAGATTATGGACTGTAAAAACACATGGCACACTTTTTATCCCACGGGAACGCGGGCGATCCCGTTGGCAGTAGCTAGTTTATAATAAATGTGAGAGTATGTGAGTGGGCTTAATTATCCCCAAAAATAGGAAATTAGACTCTCATGCTACGCCTACCATTAACTGGGACTATTACGCTTTAGTCCAACTTAGTAGTTACTGAATTCAAGAAAGACGTCTTTACACTAGTTAAGGACCAGGGGCGTAGCTAGCGCCGTATCTGCCATTTCAATTATATGGGGGCCTGGACTACAGGGGCCTTCAACGTGTGTAAGCAAAAATATAAAAACTTCTCAATCAGTAATCACAAAATACCTACATGCGTTCAAAGGTTGGCAGAAACCAAGAAAAATAGAGAAATCTATTCCATGTTAGAAACTTTGGAAAAAATGAAGTAATCATTGTCCGATAATTTGCGTTGAGGGGGTCACCTGAAAGGCTTTCCGGTTTTAAGTTAAAACCGATTCTTTCCATAATATTATGTAAAAAAATCTCTTCTGAGAAATTTTTACCTTTCATAAGGGCCACAAAACAAATTTTTATACGGGCCCGGCCAAGATACGCTACGCCACTGTTAAGGACTAAGGAAGCTGGTTTATTAATTGTAAAAATAATATTGTAGTAAATTACAATGTGGTAAGTAGGTACTTACTATCAACGTAATGAACAAAGTCAGTCATTTGTTAGTGTATAGTGAGAGGAAAGTATGAACAAGTGTGTTGGTGGGGCCGTGTATGAACTTGACTGCAGCAGTAAGTGGTAGGATCATGCAGTGGTTGGTCATGTGGTGCCAGGTCTTGCTCCTCGCCGAGGGCATGCACCTGATGCCCCAGTACTACGAGCCCTCAACCGAGGTAAGTTATACATAATTTATTTAAATTAGACTAACATGTTTTCTTCAGCTTCTCTTTTTTCAAAAGTGTGCAATCCGAGGTTTCCGGTGTTTGCAAACTATTTAAATTGTATACATTTCGGATTGAATGTTTTATTCTTTGTTGGTATTATTTTAATGATTATTTGTGCTCCAAATTCATTTTTCAACAGTGTTATGTTACTCTACTATTTTGATCTATGTAGTTGCAAATGAAAACGCGTCTTAGTGTATCGATTTTATACTATTAGCTAACAATCATACAAGAAAAGTGAACGATCAAATAACTAGATATTACTAATGAAGCGAAAAAAATGGAGAGTATGTATTAAGACCTGTTAATGAACATACAATGATCCATATTCAGGATTCACTGTACCGCATAATTGACAAGCTGGTATGTTACAATACTAATTATTGTCGACAGGTAAAATTTACGACCACATTTCATACTTAGCGATGCATTAATCGCCATTATCGAAATATTATTAAACACTTTTTGTACTTGAAATAAAGGAAATGAATGTAACAGTATCTGAAAAACTGTGGAGAAAATGGCCTCGTCTCGTCTCAGTATCTAATCAAATAAAATTTGATAATATTTCTATCAAATCTAAGTTATGATTGTAATGACCAATATCTATAGGTATTGGGAGATTTTATAAGCATTTCCTAATGTTTGTAAACGATCCAATACACATATGTAATTAAGTAGTCTGCTATTATAGTCACATTTTTTTACTCTTGTCGCATAAATTACTATTATGCATGCGAAATGTATATTTGATGTATTGTTTTTAACGCCTATTGCGAGTTAATGAACTTTGAGCGTTTGAAAAGGCCGCTAATGCAGTGTCGTGATATATTTTTTATGCAAAATTGTATCTACATTGTTCCTGTATAGCAATCAGAGCTCCCGTGTATAAACTTTGTTCTTATGCAGTGATAACAAGTGCAACCCTAAGAGAAACATAGATACTACATTTTACAGAACATCATTACAATAAAGGAATCCTTTATTTTCAGGTGAACTGCATCGAATATGCAACTGCAAATCAAAACAGGATTGGTAGAATGTTAAGAGAAGGTAAAGTTGTTATGGTAACGAATGACGATCGTAATTAATGTTTCGATATTATTTTGTTCACGTTTTTATGTATGTTACGTAGGTTGGCATGCCCAGAAACCAACGCCTAGAAAGATTATCCAGAAACGTTCTGTTACGATACCTGTCCAGTTCTCTCTCACCACGGAGCCCATGTCGAGACGAATGGACGATATTTTCACCAATATTATACCAAGAGGCACTCATTTGCTCAAAGAACACGCAAAATTGGTCCAAGATATAAACAGCCTCCGTCAAGTAGTGTTCATATCGCCATTCATCGATGAACCAAAGGATTACGATGACTCCATCTTTCATGAGATTATTGAAACTGCACCAACTTCTACGAACAGACCGTCATCGTTCAAGCCAATTATAAGTACCACAAGACCACCAACAAGTTCGACAAGACCACCAATGAGTTCGACGAAAGGAGGTTCGATTCCAATCATATTACTGGGTGGCGCAAGTCAGCGGCAGGTGGTAAAGAGTCAACCTATTACTTTTCTGAAACCGACCATTAGCTTAGTCGGGACCACCGTTTCTCCTCTGGCCAAACATCCATACCCTTTCGTGAACCCACAACGGAAGCCGGTTAAGATCTGTATGACGTCGATCCCTGCGATGTTTACCACAACAAGACGTCCACCTACTTTTTGGGATAAACTCATAGACTATTTCATACCTGCCCGTACCATAGGAAGGTAGGTGGCGTAGATAAATATAATTTTAGTACTTTTATACATCTTGTTCAATAAGTAGGTAGTGATATTAATTTAATGCTAATTTTTGTCTATACGTTTCACACTAGTACCTACGAACCGACCACAGTATTTATTGTAACATTATTTAAATTAAAAATTGTTGTGTCCGAAGAACCATTTCCTACCGTCACTACAAACCTACCGTTTACTCAGGTACTTGTTTACAGTTCGTGTATCGATCTATGAACATACGCTTAAAATCATTAATCGTCTATGTGCACATGCGTGCGCCGATGGCTCAAGTCGCGTGTTCTGCCTCTTATTATAAATGCCGATTATGTATTGTCTTCTTTTTTACACTTTTACGCGTCGGAATGGAAAAGTTGAACGTCTTATGTATTATGACAAAATAATTATTTTTCATTGTGCCTTATGTCATTACTTAGTTCTTGTTGGGTTCTGGTAGATATCCAGTGAGAACTCTTCATTGAATAAGAGCGACGTTATGTCACGGAATTTTTTGCACTATTGTGTTAATCTTAATGACTTGGGTTACATTTCTATTCCAACGGCTGAAAATGTGAATTGTATATAATACTCATATTATTATTACCTAAGTAAGTTATAATATAATGTATTAAGGCAAGTAAGGTCAGAAAGAAATATACAGTCTGATATTTTTGTTACCAATTAAATTTTATATTTACGATTATTATACCGGTAATAGTTTTATTTATATTTTTCTTCCCATTTATGTTAGCTGTCATTTTAATATTTATTTATAGGTAGTCATTTTAGACGAACTAAATAAGCAGAAGTAGGAAGTCATGTTCAATAAATAATCTATACCTAACCTACACATATATAGATCATGTGTCAGCTATGATTTATATAAATCAGGAAAATAACAGACAAAATTTTTGACTAATAACAACGTAACATCACATCTTTTAGTCCCTGAAATGATAGACAGATAAGGTAACAAATGGAACACTTAAATTTCACTAGTTATGTTATTATGCCCATCCATGTAACAGGGGAAAGCCTATTCAAAGTATCTGGAAAATTGTAAACATAAATGGTATCCATTGCAGGCTATACCTGGTAATGAACCCTTTGTTTAAGCGTCAGTCAGTAGCCAGTGGTATAAAAAATTAAAAACTGTTTAATTCCTTGCACTACGCGTGGACCTTCTGCATATGACACATCGAGTGCACAGTCTAGAATGTTCTGATTGCACTGCGCAGGTCACGATCAATATTTTGATGAGACATACACCTGTATGCAGCTATGGTTTTATGTAATAATATGGGAGGTACGGAGGGCTCAATTAATTGAGTGGCCCCATTCGTATTTGCTGAGTATGGATATATTTTTAAACTGGATATCTATCGACAGGTCTCTGGCTCCAGTGTCATCTACTATCTCTTGATAAACGTCGGCATCAATATACGGTTCTATTGAATACAAGACTCAACACTGCGCATTAAAAAGTAATTTTATTTAACAAAGTACAGATATTGATTTAACAAACATGATTTAGCTTATTGACATTAACAAGCAAAATAATCTATGGGAAAAAGGAAAAAATACATCAGTATACAAAATACAATGTTCCAACAAATAAACAACCTACCAACGAGTAAGAATCAATCAGTACTTAGTATGAAATTAATTTAGTTACAATGCATCAAATACTACCTACTCATGTACTTATATTTGGAATAAACGTAAAACATTTAATTATCTAAATAAATGTTTCATGCGCAAATGATTAGAAAAATAATAATTCAGATTTGATTACAAATCATACAATGATAGGTAAGTTCAAATTCTAAGGAGTGTCATGTGTTATTGTGACCTTCTAACCTACTTATTCGTTTTATTTGCCTTGAACAATGATAATTTTGGCCGATAAAAGTTGTTATTATACCTACCTACGTCTTCATCTCTATAACACACTGGCACATAATCAATAATTAGATTATAATTAAATAGAAATAAGTATTTCTACAACCACACCTTAAAATATAATGTAAGTAAATAATACATTTTCTAATTTTACTTAAAATTAAACAGTTTTTTTATTATTGTGATATTCAGTTCCTTTAACAAAATTAAGAAATGTCTAGTAATATATATATATATAGTACTTAATGGAGTTACCTATTTAACAATTTTTTGTAGGACTAATAATTGAAATCACGTTTTCGTAATGAATTGGGGGGGTTTCTGAATTATGCGTAATGATAATATCGGATCTTATGACATTTAAATATTTTCATATTAAAATTACTATGATTTCACAAAGGTTTTAAGGTTGGTTATTGATTGTAACCACCTGTAGATGGCTACCGATTTTCAACATCTGATCCTTGTTCACAGCTGAGAGAACACAAAAGGGTGATCCTCACGGAACGTGCTTGAAAAACAAGTCACTAAGCTTACACGCTCTAATAAACCTTAAAGAGGTTCAAGGCCATTGAGCCTGAATTCTATTTTTATGGACATTCCCACTAGTTTTAGTATAAGTACCTACCTACAAATGTTGAAATGAACTGTGTTAAGTACTTATGTATCACTATTTTCATCATTCGTAATATCCCAGGTACCTACTTTTTAGGAAATTAAACAACCAATATGATTAATTAATAATATTGATTTTCTATTGAGCCGTAAAAGCGGTTCATTTACTACAGTAATATTATCGTAACAACCTCAATAAGACAAATCATTATACAAATATACGTCATTATTTATGATTAAAATAAATATTTTCATAAAATTCGTTTAAACAATTTTGTTACATCACAATAGATATTCGAGAAGCTTATAAGTACATTATAAAATATGAAATATCTACCATCGCATGCTTGATACATAACAATAATAAAACTAAACATATGTTTAAGTACGAGAAATAAAGTAAAACCCTCGTATGTGGTATAGAAAATCTACCATGAAGATTTCTTTGCAGCTTTTAATAATTCAAAGACACACGTAATCCTTTTTACAATCCTTCGACAATAGAGGAAGAGTGTTTATTCAAAAAATAATATGATTTCGATGATTTTAATGAGGGCAAATCGGCAAGTTCACAGTGAAGAATACATTTAATTCTATAAGGGCTGCTAAGATTAAATAGCCGATGTAAATGAGTCCACAAGTGATGCCGATCTTCCAGTCCAGCTGGAATTTGTTCAGGAACAGGCATCCATATAGTGTGAAGAGTGTGGACAGAAGAGATATAGCACTGTAGGATAAACCACTGGAGTTTATTGATACCTGCAAAATGAAAGAAAACCGAATGAAATAACTCAATAACTTTTATTACAATAAGAAAAAAGGAAAGATAGATGTATGTCGATGAATATACTAAAAGCTCATTTCGTCTCATTTTGTTTTGACATCCAACACCAATCAACCAATCACCATCTAACATTTTGCCTTGCAACTTACGACTACATACAATTTGTGAATTATCATAACCATTTTTCTTGATCTGGTGATGAAACTCAGGTTTCAGTGTAACTTAGTTAAGTATCTAAGGTTTTAAATTATCGCCAGTTCTCAAAGGTCGGCAACGTACTTGCAACTCCTCTGGCGTTGTTCCGAGTGTTGGGCATTGCAATTGGCATTTACCATCAGGTAAGGAGACACTCGTGTGATGTAAGGACTCGTTAAAAATATTACGTAGAGTTCATTGAACTATACGTTAGACTTACGTAATGATGACCTGGAACACTGGGGTAAGCGAGCGACTTTATCAACCAGGGTAAACCCAGGCATAGTAATATGTCGAACGTATTTGATCCGATGGAATTACTCAAGCCCATCGTACCGTGCCCTGGAACAAAATATATGCATTATGAGCAATGAAAATATTCGCTAGACATAAGAGAGTATGTGTATAGTAATATCAATGTTTCATGTAAGTAAAATTCTTTTTATTAAAATTGTGGTATGATATACGAGTACATAATTATGTTAGATACTTCAAATCATCATATTTAACAAAGTTTACGAATAGTGTCCATTCTGAATAGACGAATTGATATTTAAAATAAAAAGTACATTTTGTTAATATTGTAATCACTAGAAAATTATGCAATACAATACAACCCTCTATTTCAAAACACTTATGACTCAAACAGTGCTTCTGTGGGTATGGTACATGCCATACATGTATGCAATCTTCTTATTATTTTGTGCGCATTCAACCATGCGTAACAGCTGGTAACACAAGATCAACACAGAAAAATATATATTTTCTTCATAACATTTTCATAGTTTACCTTGCACTGTTACTAGGACGCTGGAGACAGCTTCTGGAAGACTGGTGCCTGCTGCTAATATCGTCAGTCCTGTGATGCTGTCTGGCACATTGAGGGTATCACCTATAGACATGCGGTTTTATTAGAACAGAACCAAAGTATAAAGTATACAATGAAAGAAACTGTAAAAAAAATGTCATCGGCAAGTCATACGTTCTTGGGGCATTTGTTTAATTATTTAACTCGTCGAGTACCGGTTATATAGACACAATTAAAGAACAATAGGTCGCGGTCACCGGTGACCGCTTGGTGTTTGACAGTTTAAACATTATTCTAAAAACAAAATTACGATTTCTGTAGTTTGAAGATAGATCTTAACTACTTATATGGTGTAGTGGAAAAATTGTCTTGGTTATAATCAGAAAATAATTTCGCTTATAGCGAAGGTACATATGTATGTAGGTGACACAGAATTCATAATTGTATACTAAGAATAATTAGGAGTTACTTTAAAAGCACGGTGATAAAATAAACTCCAATATAGTAATAGCAGTTACATATCAATAAACAAATATTTACAATTGAACTCCAATTTACTTGATATGAATGCATCAATTGGTTTTGTTTTAGACCCGTTCTTTTGTGTAAAGTTGAATAATTATTATAAAAGAAATATATACGAGAACCATAGCGGAAGTCGAGCCGAACTGTTTCTACACATTATAAGTATAACCACTTAACAATGGAAAAGCAGATTACCTAGGACGGTGATCATCCAGGCGACCAGGTAGGAGACACATCCTATCCAGGTGACACACATCGCGAATGTTAATGGGTACAGGTTGGGTCGACGCTGGCAGTCCGGGATGGTCAGCCAAAGTACCAGGTTTATAGGCCAGGAAAAAATCCATAGCACCTTCTTCATGAAGGAGACTTTTTCTCCAGGCCATGACCACATCGAGTAGGTGCTGAGTTCATCTATAAAATTATTGGGAAAGGAGTCTTTAAATGTATTGAAATTAAACAAATAACTTTCACAACTTTACAATATAGACCCTTTTATAATAAAAAACGATTCTTCTTCCATACAGCGTGAGTTATTTTAGATTATGAGCACACTTTCTGGGAATGTTGAATCACAAAATAACAAAACTACTTTCTTTAACATGGCTATTTATGCAAGGTACCAGAAATATTCTGAGTACAGGAATCAGGAATTGACATATTTTACTGCTCACTATGTGTCTACACCATGAAATCTATTTTGTTTTAGTCCCGCGGCAAAACAACTTGACATAAGGAGTACTTTCGATGTATATATAAAAACAAAAAACGACGATATTTTAATTAAAAAAAAATTTGTAGGCACTATTTGCATCTCACGTGCCACTCAGCGAGAAATATCTATTCGAGAATTACATGTTTGGTGTTTTGATTATGCACTGTGAGTCCGTATGCGCTTTCGAAGTTTGCTTTTTGCAATGGTTCACCATTTATGTTTTCTTTTCAACATTTTATTTCTTTGTAAAACTATTGTATTACCAAGCAAAATGGTTCATTTTACTTTGTGACGAAAACGAAGTAGATTTCACGGTGTATAAAAGAATTATTGACTAGAATTATTGACGGGCTCACTGGAAGAAATAAATAATCGAATCTATTCAACATTCTCAATCATGATATATATGGGTCTTGCCCTCATTGACGGGTCCCGTTCGGTAATAGTTATTAAACTACCATCGTAACCTTTTACCAATTCATCATTTAATTTTGATTATACCAATTAAAGATTGTACCTAATTGAGTTCGTGAACTTGTATCCATTAATTCTATTATAATGTTTATCCTAAAACTTTCGCTTTTATACAAAAATCTGTTGTAGTGTTATTTTAATTATTTTCTTGTCACCATTAATGCGACCGTGAGAACATTCCAAATATCGTCGCGAATAATGGTTTGTAGTTTGAGAAAACAGTGAAAATTCCCGCGTATTGAGCGTCATTGTTTCAAAATAGATCGGTAATTAATTGACACACTTGGTTGTTCATTGTGCACTGGGATAATCTAAGCATCTATGGATAATAAAATAGATTTCATTATAATGTCCGTCTGGTAGATTATTTAAAAACATTAGACGTGTATTTTTTATTTTCTTACGGAAACAGATACTTTCGCCGATATATTGATTTGAAATATCGCGGGACGTCACTTTTATGAACTTGTGTTTTATACTCAAAAATGGTGTAGCTAGCTCAAATTCCTTAACTTTGATTCGTTTTATCTCAGTATTGTTTTCTTATACAACAAAATAAAAACTCATCGTCATCGTTCCCAATGCGAATTAATATAATATTATCATCTTCGTAAAATTAAAAGGTACTACGTGGTGGCTACTGAAATTTACATTTAAAAAAATCACCATCGGTAGGCGGCAGCTCAAGGCTGGACTATGTATGAGCCTGTTCTAAATAAGAGGGTTTACAATAATCTCCACGCTTGTAGGTAAGTTTAAGATTGTAACGTTCAGAATTCTCGGCGCTATTACCATTTAAGTAGGTCTTTTCTACTAAGAGAAAAACGTCAGCCCCATTATAGGATACAGAAGTCAGTACATGCTACAATGAAGTAGCTAAACCGTTTACAGATTTAGCTTGCCGTTAAACTTAAACAAAAAATAATAAAATGATTCTATTTATTTCTAGGCTCAAATGACAATGGTGACGCTAAAGCACTTTGATAAAAACCAATATTAGAGTTCTTAAAACTAAATACCTGATACCTCTGAGATTCAATACGTCGACACTCATACAAAATGTGTTGCACGACCACACACAGCACAATTGGGTGATTCGACTTCGCTATTACCATGTATCTGGTTTTTTTTTAAGTGCGGAAAATCGTCGAATGAATGCTCCCGCCTGGGTGAAGCGGGAGGGAGTGTCAGACTCTTACTGACTAAAAAGTACTCCTGCACCTCGAGCCGGAGCCCCGGTAACCCGTTCTCCGCGACTCTGTATCGGCATCAGCCCTATTGGGCCCCATCCGTGGTAGTCTGATGGCTCTTTGAGGCGCGCGCAATGTATCAGGTATATGTTAGTTGTTTTGTTCCCCGGTATCTCAATTAATTAATATCAGGTAATACTCCAATCACAAACAAACGGTTAGTCTTTGTGTTTGAGTAAATTAGAATATTCAACGACTTCAACGTGTTCTTTGAGTATGAATCAATTATAAATTTTCGTACCGTAATATTCGTTAAATTCCGTGTGTTTTCGTTTCGTAATAACTTTATTTACTTCAGTCTAGCTAGACAATTAAGTAAGACTTAGATTGAAATTCTTGTGGTTGATATTTTGATTTATTAACCAATATCAATCAAGTTTCATTGCAACTGTATACGAGTTCTTATGACAGAGCGTTTATAGGCAGGCGAGCGGTCAATTTAGCAAGTGGTAAGCGATAATTTCCGCTGTTTTTAATGAAAACTCGCCAAACTAAGGCCTAGACCGCACTATGGTTAAACCACAGTTTTTTTTATCTATTATTTTTTTGAAAAAACATTGCCCCACATTAGGTTTTTCTCCTGTGTCGTGGTTGCGTTTACAAACATACAAGTTCACATACACAATGAAACCCAGACCCGAAACAATAATTTGTGGATCACACAAAGTGTTGTTCCGTGCGGGAATCGAACCCGCGACACGTTGCACGGCAACCGATTGCCCAGCCACCGCACCAACCAGTCTTTGTAACAGTGGTTTGTAACTGTGTGAGTTCAAATACGAATGAAACAAGCGGCCGCGCTAGTGTTTCCCTACGACTGATTTTAAACCTAAAAGTTACAATATGGGATAGATTTGTTGTTGAAAATGGTGTGCTGTTTTTTTGGTTAATAAATATAGTATATGTATCTAGAACGATTTCGCCATACTGATAAATTACCTGAGTCGGTGGAGTCGTGTCGCTTGGACTGCACTGCTGATTCCACGTCTGTTGTTTGAACACTAAGGCTTATGCGTCGAGCTGATAATAATGTGTTACTCTTTTCTAGAAAAAATGTTATAAAACAATTTTAAGTAAACACTTTTAATTTTTAACGTAGCTCTAAAACAATTTTACAGTATGTTTTTAAAATACATACACAAAAGCATTTCACACGGGCATCAAATCCACAAATATATCGTTAGACGTTAGATGGTTTTTTCAGTGATAATTATCATATCGACTTGACTTGATTTATATATTATAGAAATCCGTTTAAATAGGTTAACCATAAGTCAATGTAAGTACATCATACTCACCGCTATTCAGAAGAGGGGTTATTTCTGTGTACGCCTTGGGTTTTTTGAAAGTGCAGCATCCGCTCCTGAAAAATGTTCCGAGACAGCCATTGAACGCCATTGCTGAAAAACATACCAACAAGTTTTAGCAATCTCATCGCCATCGTCACCAACAGCCCACAGGTAGTTCACAGCTGGAGAATAAGCTTCCTCTATAACGAGGATTAATTTTGTCATACGTTTGACAACCAGGTTGAGACCATTGTTAAAAGGATGTGGAGGAACGCTGCTGCTTATCAACAGCATATAAGTGACCACTGTTGTAGACCAAGTCTCATTTCGTATGGAGAGCGTTAAGCATTAATCACCACGCTGAGTGAATGGCGATGTCGTGGCGGTGGCGATATAACTTGTAGTTAGAAATTATAAGGTTCTCGATGTTTTCGTTCACCGTTTGATAGTGGTGTCTATAAAAGTTTTTAGAACGTACAAATAATTTGAAAGAAGTGACATTGGTACTTGCCGTTGGTAGGTTTTAAATAAACACTCTCTTTCATGAGAAGCGGGCGTCTTAACTGGCCCCATCATCGCTTACCACCAGATAACAGGGGCCTAACGTCAATCCATCAAAAAGAAAAAAAAAAACGAGCCACCACAACTACGCATAACGCTGCTGTCCGATCTCTGTTAGAAAGTATTGTCCCTTAATCCCTTTTACAATGCCCGCGAGAAGAACAGGAGAGGTGAAATGTAATGTACTCCGTCATCGCCAGTAAATTGTTGGCAACCAGTTAATAAAAATATACACAAATTTCCTTAATTACCAGTAAGTGATTTTTTTTTTGATAAAACTCAAGCAATGTTAACATGGCCCACAATAAATTAAATGAAAGAAATTTACCGTCATGAACGTGTCATTCAAGCATAGTACTGTAAATCAAATGTAACATAACAGTCTGTAGTTTTTACCGTAATGTAAATGTATACTTGTCTACCAGTAACCCAGTGAGTAAGTATGCAAATAAACTTTATTGATATCAGATATGATGTTTTTTTTATCAACAAATAAAGTAGTAAGAGATTACGTCGCAGAATCAGACCTTTGGTACCCGATTTTATTCTTAAGGTTTAAAAATTAAATCGGTGGCGAATTAAAACAACATTAACTGCCTCATTGACCGAGTGGTCGCAAGTGCGACTGAGTCAGGGTCTTGAGTTCGATTCCCGGGTCGGGCATAGTACTACTGGGTTTAAAAAAATCTTAGTAGTGCCACGGAGTTTGGAATTGTGCCCGGTATATGACAAAAGGCTCACCTCCTATTACATAGGACTCATAACATAAATAGTGAAAAAGTTACATTGTGCAGTGGCATTAAGTACCGTAATGCGCACTTCTTCCTACCCCTACGGGGATAAAGGGTGATGTTATATATATAAATGTATAAAACAAATTGTCTTTCATGCAATACATTAAGATAAATAATAACAAAGATTTTACAAAATATAGCTATTAATCATAAATAAATGATAGAAAAGTATGCAAAAAAGTTGTCTGCCAATTTAATAAATGTATGTTGCAGCGACATAAGTGTAATATATATTAATCGTGTGCCAATTTACACACTTCTTGAAGTGAATAGCAATAAATTGCAGATATACTGTCATCTAAAGACAGCATGATATTTTACATAAATAATAACAAGGAAAAAATATGTTTAACGCATGTTAAAACACGTCAATTAGGTACATTTCCAATTCATACGTTCATTGTTAACGCAAAACTGTTAAGTATACTTGATTGATTAGTTCATAATGGACTGGTAAACATTCACCCGACACTCGTTAATTCAAACCTTCAATAATTCGAACTTCTCTAAATAATGCATAGTTAGCACGAAGTCCCTAGAAAATCTCTTCATATTTCGAACTAATGAAATACGTTTTTATGCACTTAGTATTTAGAACGCAATAGTCATTGTTACGTAACCTCGAAATGACTTTTTAATTCAAATTTATTGGCGTCAAACATTCGATAATTTGAATTTGCAGAAACAAAAGCGATAGAAAGATCTACAAACTTTCAAATTTTGAACCATTCTATAATTCGAGCAATCAGTAATTCGAAATATTTTAAGAATCTTTTGAGTTTCGAATAAACAAGAGTCGACTGTAATATATAATCGAATAAATGCAATCCACATAATTTACCTAATATGTAGAAAATGTACATGAGCACAAGCAGCAGTGCTTCGTGCCAGTAAATAACGTCGTCGAGTAGCGTGAGGATGAGTGCCACTACCGCCACAGCGTACATCACGCAATCCCGCGACACTGACCACCAATCCAAGTCCACCACCTGCGAAATAACGAGCATTTATCAATATATCAATCTATTCAATTATGGAAGACTAGTCTGTTACAATTTAGTTCCTTTCTAAATAACAATGCGATTAATTTGTACACATCATAATACGAATGTTTATTTGCTAAAATATAGCATTTATAGATGCATGAAAGACGGCTAAATATAAGTTATTTTTGAAATGAGTTGACAAAGTATACTTATTTAATACTTTAGAACATTTTACTTCAATAAACCCAAACACTGTCTTGTCTGTCTCACCTGTCTCACTACCATCATATAAACCGATAAACTTATGTGGCAGATGGTTTATGTAAATCATGTTCTAAATTAATAATTTGGTACATGGTGGCTATCCGTACAGTACATTGTGAAAGAGGCCCTTAATGTGGCATATTATAATGAAGACCCGGTGATACAATTTCTTGTTACAATATTTCTTTCGTAACACAGTTTCCACATTTTATGTAATCTGTGTACATCTGTGGAGATGTTCATTTGTTTCGTATTGCTGTCAGCTCCCACGGTTCAAAGATCTACATACTTTGTGACATCCCAGTACATAATTACGCAGATAGTTAATAACAATATATGTAACATATCGCGTTCGTAAGTAGTTAAATATCGTGTTTAATAAACATAAATAGAACTTAAGAAATGCAGAAGACACAATTTACACATTTTCACAAATAATTAGAGATAATAGAAGACATGACCATTATATTTACGATAATCAATGATGTGTACATATAAAATGATAACAATCAGTTTTACGAGTTAGGCCACCGTATAAAACTATGTTTAAAGAAAGGAATTGTGCCCGGTATATGGCAATAGGCTCACCCCCTATTACCTGGGACTCATAACATAAATAGTGGAAAAGTTAAACTGTTCAGTGGCATTAGTGCGGTAATGTGCACGTCTGCCTACCCTTTCGGGGGTAACGTCAACGCCACCGTATAAAACTATGTTTAAAGAAAGGAATTGTGCCCGGTATATGGCAATAGGCTCACCCCCTATTACATGGGACTCATAACATAAATAGTGAAAAAGTTAAACTGTTCAGTGGCATTAGTGCGGTAATGTGCACGTCTGCCTACCCTTTATGGGGGTAACGTAACGGTCTGTAGTTCCTTTCAATAAATTCTTTTTTTTTTAAGGGGGTAAATCATCGAATGACTGCTCCCGCCTGGGTGAGGCGGAAGGGAGTGTCAGACTCTTACTGACTAAAAACCACCCCGTTCCTTCTCCTGCACGTCGAGCCGGAGCCCCGGTTACCCGTTAGGTTAGGTTAGGTAAAGGCCTACTACGTCAGTACCCTTAGTTCAGTTTACCCTTAAAAATTCTTGATGCCTTTGATTTCTATTGACGTAAAATCTTTATATGTATACTTCTTCTGTGAATGTGTATGTCACTGAACTTCTCTCAAACGACTGGACCGATTTTGATGAAATATTTTGTGTATGTTCAAGGGAATCTGGGAATGGTTTAGATTTACAAATCAGCCCGGTAGATGGCACTGCGGTCGATGTTTAGATTATTTATTCTAAACAGCTGAACTAATTTGAATGAATTTTTGTTTATACATTCCAGTGGATATGCAGGACAACGTCTGTCGGGTCCGCTAGTAACTATATATAATAATATAACTAACTACTACATACTAATAACTACTACAATAAAACTAGTGTTTGATTGTAATATTTTTTCCGGGTCTAGTTTCTAACATTGTAAGCAAGTGAATGTATTCAGTTAGGTACAATGTGTGTGTTCACACAGTTCATATTATGACGCGTACATTTTGCTTAGCTTTACTTCCGAGTTTAGAGCGTGTGTTGTTGCAAAATACATCTTCAAGTCATTAAAATAGGAACAAAAGTCCATAACAGCTGTATGTATGTTTGTAGATAAAAGGAAAAAAAAAAACATTTGGACCCTCGATGAAAATTAAGGTTCCTAATATTTTATTATATTGTGGTACGTATGTATGTTTGATATCATATTTTTATCTTATTAGAATAACTCAAAAGGCTGGGTATGCACTATTAACTTCCTTGATGGCAGGTTGCTTACCATACACCCATCATGATTGATTCATATATGTATACACAGTAATTCGTCTCTCGTTCACTCCCCACTCTATAGCATATAAAAGTGAGTTTCGAACACTCACTTTAACAACACAGGAAAACAAATTATACTCAGTAATTACACTCGATTATGCTAGATAACAATGGCATCATCACGTGTGACTGATAAATGAAGAAATAAATAAAATAAAGACATGATGTGTTTAACTGTAAGTGACACGTCGAAAGTATGGAAACCGTAGAACCCTTTGAATGCAAATATCTGAAGCATATTGTTTCCTTGTGGCAAGACTTCGTTGTTTACCTACCATGGTTTGTTATCAAATAGATAATTGTATTAATTGTCTAACTCACGCGCTCGTGTCACTTAAAGATTAAACAGATAAAATGATAAGACATACCTACCTAGTAGTCTGACGATGACGATTCTATACAACAATGCATTTCATGTGAAATTATATATTTGCGTGTACATAATTATAGTTTATTGGTCTAGTTGTAGAGAATGCTGCTAGTGAGCTAGTGAGTAAAGACAAACTAATATTTTTTTATGAATACACCCAGTCGTGTGGTCGGGAAACGCAATTGTAACTTATTTTATTTTGTGGATAGACATCCAACCATGCCATGTGGACGACATTCCGTAATGCCATTAAAATAATAACAATCGAACTTGGTACTAAATATACATATTTTAACAACAAAGCTTAATAAACGTAGGTATATAATTAAAATTATTCTTGTGTTTTAAAACTCATCTATTTTATCGAAACATGCATAAATGTGTCACACATCATTTCATGGAATAGGTAAAGATAAACAATACTCTTAATAGGACGACTACATTTACCAAAATTAACAAAAATAAAATAATGACGGCCATCTAGAATCTTGTATCATCATTATCTAGAACTTTGTAATACAATACTGAACTTACTTTGCCTGCAATGAGAGCGCAGAATGCTGGTACAGCCAGTACATTGAACACTGCTGATCCCACCACGGTTCCTACTCCAATGTCACCTTCAGTGACAAACGTACCAACACAGTTGATGAAAAGCTCAGGACTTGAGCTCGCTGCAGCCATAAAAGTAGCCCCAGCTACGTCCATACCTATATTTAAACCTAAAAACAAATAAAATAAAATTATAAGAAAAGTTAGGTAAGTTTTCTCAACAACAAAAAATGTCGTAGGCTTTCGTAGCGCTTTCTACGCCGTAGCTGAGGCTGTAGCAACTGGCTACGAAGCCTTTCAAAGTAACTTTAGAAATTATTTTTTTTCTGTTTTGTTGTAGTTTGTTTTGTTGAAATGCCAGTATTTTAAAATTAGGTCATAAAATAATGTGTATATAAACGCAATTAAATTGTCGATGAAAAGCTCACGAACGAAGCCTTTCAAAGTAACTTCAGAATTTAATTTTTTTCTGTTTTGTTGTAGTTTGTTTTGTTGAAATGCCAGTATATTAAAATTAGGTCACAAAAATAATTTGTATATAAACGCAATTACATTGTCGAAGAATTTCATAGCAATAATAATTAATAGCCTAATTGCAATTGCGAATGATCAAGCCAACGTCTGGCATGAAAACGCCTCCGTATCTTTATTACTCAAAATTCAACTTTATTTACAAATATACCTGAAATGCATAGTAATGATATTTAACAATCGGTTCGATAAACGGTATCTCATCGTCAAACATTCCTAAAAGCATGTAAACAAACAAATAAATGAATTTCGCCCTCAAAACTGAACTAGACGTCTAGTCGATCCCCAGTCAATATAGCTAAAGTACTTGGTACATAGTTACATAGGTACTTGTACCTGAGTTCCTAATGGAAAATAAATCCGTCTGGATTCCGGAGGTTCACAGAGTTGTTCCCACAAGGGAGAATTTCGTTCCGACGAAAACTAATTTAACTTGTTACGCCTGTCGCTTCCACTCAAAGGGATTGTCTGATTATCAATGTACAATATTATTCCAGTGAAATCTTAAGATACGAAAATTCATTGAGCATGCAGTAAATAATTAGTTTTAGAGGAAGTGGTCCTTTGATCCAGGTCAAAAGGCAGAAGGTATTTTAGGTGTGTGCAATATAATCATCTTTTCACGTTGGGAAATATGATATTTGAAGATCTGATCGCAAAATTAATTGTGTTTATACTTATAATGTACTCACAAATCTATACTAATATTATAAAGAGGAAAGATTTGTACCTATTTTTGTATGTTTGTAATGAATAGGCGCAAAAAGTACTGGGCCGATTTAAAAAATTCTTTCACCAATAGAATGCTACATTCTTCCAATTTGACATAGGCTACATTTCATTTTGAAAAAAAGTACATAAGTACATAAATTGATTTAATGTATATAAATAAAATCAATTTCCGTGCATTACTGTCGCTAAAACTCGAGAACGGCTGAACCGATTTACCTAATTTTGGTCTTAAAATGTTAGTGAAAGTTCAGGGAAGGTGTAAAAGGTAAGAAAAATAATTTTTAGGCGGTACGAAGTTTGCCGAGTCAACTAGTAATATATAATCAAGATTTCTGCTATTAGTACGACGTTTGAAATTGAGTATATCTGCCGGTGTACCAAAGGGGTAACAACTCAAGTAATAATTTAACTAACGAAATGTCTATTTTGTAGTGGATATTTATAATCTTTGACTTATTCTGGGTATACAACTATACACGTGTGAATATCATGTCTCCTTTTAATTAATTGGCAGTTATTGAGGATAGCAATCACTAATATTTCAATCTTTTGTCTAAATTTGTATTATGTTTTACATTTTTCTCAAATCCTTTCCTATACTTTAGATTACATTGGTATAAAGAAAATAGTCTAAGTTTTATCGAATTATTTCGTGTCTTATCAGATCTATCCAGGCATCAATCGTGGGATGTTCTTACCGATACATTCAAAAACGAATGTATAGAATGTAGATTTATATTAAATTTTGTCCGGGAACAGGGGCGAGAGTAGTCTAGACGGAGTCCCGTCGTATCGATCCGTATTGCTGATTGTATAAACATTTATTATACATTGGTACAGATAACAGCAGGTACGCCTACTCCTTTTTGTCCAATATCTTTATTAGATTTTCAACTTAATTTGTTTTGACATAAAGTCTAAAATCCAATGAAAATAATAGCAGATCGGAGTAGGTTGAAATACTGGCCACTGTACATTGCACGTCCTGCTCTAACTTTAAATTTTTGCTGGCGTGGACAGGGGAACGAGTCCATACAGGATTTTAATGTCTGTTACGAATATTATTTGCTTCCATCTGTTTTATTTAAGAGATTGTTACGATGAAAAGATTTATATTAAATTGAAGGAAAAAGTTTTGATAGTATAGTAGATAGAAGTAAAATGGTTTAGAACATATTTCGTATTCGATGTAACCTTTCCTTGTAGTTGAAGCAATACACATTTAAAATTAGAGTTCTCAAGAACATCACAAAGCAGCTATCAGTAGTTAAACCGGTTTTTATTCAACAATTCTAGATGAATCTATCTAAAACTTTGACAGTTGACAAAGTGCATTCGATGACAGCAGTAAAACCGCGGATGCAATTTAGTCCTATTACGACTATTACCTAATAGCCACAATTTCGTGTCAGAAACAACGATGGCGATGGTAGAACATCCGTCGTACGCACCTTGACCTGAGACGTCAATGAAAAGATTGACACCGACTTGTACCGACGATTTGACATATAATTCGAGTTGGCACGTTAAGGCGGCTCGTTTCACCGGCTGATTAACCTCTTCCCCCCTAATTGATCTGGAAGCTACGTGACAATATGCAGCACGCGAGGAAACATCGAATGGACTGACCTGTGGCGTGTGATACCTACGGCAACATGAACATTGTTAGCTGTTAGACAAGAACTGCATGGGGTTGGGTACTTGCCTTCATTAAAAAAGTAACATACCGGCCGAACGTATAACCTCCTCCTTTTTTGAAGTCGGTTAAAAATAAATTATTTTAACTGTTCAATACAGTGAAATATTAAAATAATCACATTTTCATCAATTGATTTTATGACCAACGTAATTTTAGTATTTTTCCAGCTAATTTTTGAGAAATAAGTATGCTGTTTGACGCTGAGAAAACGTGACGTCACAATACACAATCTCGTACAAAATTCATAGAAGACTGTAGTTTTTGACAGTTCCAGAAAAGTATTGAACTTGACTAGTTGGTAAATACTCAATTGTGGAAGTAGGTGCATCGGCTCATTGATGAGACGTTTAATAGGGCAGGTGTATACGCAAGAGGGTGAAGGAAGCTTATGAATTATTAAAGGTTTATGATATTCCTAACGACTGACTTACTATTTTATGGAATAGGGTCAACCGAGGAGCCAGATCGCCTGATGGTAAGCTATCAACACCGCCCGTAAACATTCACAATACGCGACGCCTTAAGCAAGTAATAATATTACTATACATCTATAGAACTATTTTAGATTATACATAGCTTTGTTTTTTTATCAATCCTAAATTTTTTCCAGATTTCCCCTTTTCCAAGGCCTACTTCTACGTAGTCTAGCGTCTTAATTTTTAATGACGATGAATATGAATTACGCTAACTATTATTTGACAAATCGGATAAATGGGCAAAGGTACATATTATATAAAATTTTATGACAAATTTTCATCAACAGTCATACCTACATCGACCGAAATGAAGCAGGATTTCATCTGTACATATAATAAAATCGTAGAAAGTCAAAATTGTACACTGAATATTTTTTTAAAGAATACTTCGAGCGTGATCTACAATCGATACCGATACCAAATATATGGTTTATAGAATGTTTGCTGTTTGTCTGTATGTATGTCCGGGATGATCTCAAAAAGTACTGCATGTACTTCAAATTTTGGATGTTTATTACTGACAGGTCAAGTCAACATATAGGCTACATATTAACGCTATCACCTACGGGGTCCGCGCAGTAAATCACTATTTCACGTGAACGAAGTCGTGGGCAGAACTAGTGGTCAATAAATTGAATGCAAGTCACAAACGTAATGGGGATGATGACAGGGTATAAGAATTAAAAATATAATTAGTCCGTAAGTTAGGTAATGAAAAAATATTAGACACGTATTTTTTTATTTTGTCGTATAATAAAACAATACTTAGATAAAACGAATCAAAGTTTAGGAGTGGGGGCTAAAACGTCATTCCTTAGTATAAAATGTACTGAGAAGTGACGTCACGCGAAATTTCAAATCAATATATCTTCGAAACTATTCGTTTCTGTGAGAAAATAAAAAATACGTGTCTAATGTTTTTAAATAATCTATCAGACGGACATTAAAATAAAAATTAGTCGTCTACCCTATTGCCGCCACACCGAATATTGAAAGTTTCGACAAAAGAACAGTTATGTTAACAGTGTTATTAACATATTCAATTTAACTTTAAGACTATGTTTATAATTGAAACTTGTATGCATTACGAGTATTGTTAGCATGCATATATCATAAACTAATTGTAATTTACACTAGAACATGTACACTCACGTTCGCATATCATCTCGATTGCCGGCACGAAGTACTGCTCACACACCGTCCCCAGCAGAAAGAAGCAGTATATAGCTAATATACAGTGTATTGCTATGTAACCCTGTAATATACAATGTATAATGTAACTACACATTAATTTTGAACTACAATATACGTATAATACAACAGCAAAACAATTGTGTCAGTTCTAAATAGCAAACAAAAATAGTGTGATAAGGTATCAGCAATAGAGTACAAATTCGAATAAGATCTGTTCATCAGTGGCATAATAATTTTGTCCTAAAGTTAATATTCTACGCGGGCAGAAGCTACTTAAAATAAGTATTAATAATTCTCTTACTGATGATTTTGTAAGTGAAGGAAACTTTAAACGTTATATTCCAATGTCAATTGTTAAGGAGATTATTATTATTTTTGAGCATAATACGAGTATGTCAATAATTTGTTAACATATAGTATTTATATTTTCCATTTATTCATGTAAAGTTCGAGATCGAAGTAGATAGTGAATATTATAGTCCACGTCTAATTTTATTAATTAATTATTCTTTCCTTAATTTCTCTATGTTTGGATATTTAAAAAGTTTAATACAACTTTAAAAATTGTGACATTTTTATACTATGTAACATATCTTTACAACTTAGTTACAATCATAATGAACTATATAGCAGTGAAAGCATAATTTTTAAAATAATATAAAATTAAACATTTCGCTAAAACATTAGCAGTAAGAATGTGTGATTCAAGGAATAAATTCGCTCGCTGTCTGACTTTATTAAAACGTATTTGCATAAAAGCAGAATTATAAATTCACAGATTCATCCTTACATGTTGCCGTTGATACCGGCTGAGACCGTCGGAGGGAAACTCCAAAATTGCTGCGGGAGTGCAGTTCCTCTCCTCCCTCTCAACGACGCTCAGCAACCTACGTTGAGAAACAGCTCCATCAAAACCTGAATACCACAAATGAATTTTATAGAACACTTATCAACACAGAATTCACTAACACCCTGCTTCGTATGTTACCTGAATCAAACGTAGATTTTAACATTTCTTCCTCTGAACCAGTATTACTAAACATCAAATAAACTAAAGGTATCCCCAAAACTAATAGCACTCTGATTACAGTAGCAATCCTGTAGCACTTATACCGTCTAGTCCTTATTAACATGTTTGCCATTTATATAATCAATCAACTGAAGGGTATTATAAAAAAACTTGGAAGTCAGCGGGCGGTAATTGGTGGATTTAAGGCCGATGTGATGGAAACGTTTAGTTATGCGTACTTAGATTTGGAATAATTTAAAGTATATTGTTATCAATAAACATAGACGTGCAGTTGCACCAGTAGTCGGGAAGTTACTGCTCACTGTGGTTTCTTACGGCCCTTGATGAAAATAAAATCATTTATCAATAACTATTATTATTAGTGATATTGTACCGTGTACACATTCGTATCACTGTTATCGAAGGTAATGTCAATAAAATAGGTTCTTTTGATGACTGTAGCTAATCTTCAGGGAGATTATTTTAAATTTCTTTACTCACATGTGGAAATGATTATTAGATAACTTTTTATATGTACATAGATAGTGCTGCAAATAGAATTACAATGTTAATATTTGAGGAGACGGCAGCGGCACTACATAGTACATTCGTTGTAATGTTACAATGTAACAGACAAGGTCCAATCGAAGGGTATACACAGGTACACAAAGTGCTGTTTCACACATCAATAGTTAATAATTTATGAAACAAACATTTATTGTTACTTATCTAATAATAGGAATTCCGTGTTGATACATAAGGACATAGCTGACGTTGTGTGGAATTCAACAAACAGTTTTTTTTTAAATAATTGGACATACATACAAGTGTATACTATGTATTTATATAAACATTTAAAAGATAGGTACCCATTTTAAATGTAACATCTGCATTAAACAGTTATAAGTCATACGTATGTGGTGTATGTAAGACCATACAATTTCCAAGAGTTTCAAATAAAATATTTGTTTATGAAACCAGTTCACACCTGATTTTATTTGCTAATAGTGCAGTGTTCCGTAGATTAAAATTCAACTGGCTTCTAGAAAGGTACCGACGTTTATCAACAGATTTTCAACTATAAATACACGGAAATAAGGTTGAGAATACTATAAAATAAAATTAAAAATATATGTGCTGGATACTTTGGAGTAGCTTCATGTATCTGCTACTAATGCTCTGTAAATATGACTATTTCTCTATGTAAATACTAGCTTCTGCCCGCGACTTCGTACGCGTAATCCCATTTTTTCCCGTCCCCGTTCGTGATTTTCGGTAAAAAGTAAAAAAAAAAATGTTGGTTAAAAAGTGTCCTATGTCGGTCTCCTGGCTCTACTACCACCCCCTACCAATTTTCAGCCAAATCTATTCTGCCGTTCTTGAGTTATAAGCGGTGTAACTAACACGACTTTATTTTATATATTGTAATAAATATAATCGGTAAAGCACGAGTCGGGCTCGCAAATGAAGGGTTCCGTACTATTATCAATATAATTATTTTTATTTATTTATTTAGCCTTTATTGTACACCATAAACATATACAGAGAAAAAAATGTGTACAATGGGCGGTCCTATCGCAGACAGAATGCGATTTCTTACAGATAACCTTTAGATGGAGCCAGTAATCAGGAGTTGATAAAAAATATTAATTGAGACTTGACTGCTTACTCAGGTAACTGTTTCATGAGGTAACTCACTCAACTAGTTTCAAGTTAGACTAGGGGCTCATATTTAGTTGAATCGTATATTGACTTGGCTGCGCGGAGTTCGCATCGTCGTGTGTCGTGCAATGCTGCTTTTGAGTATGAGTTGAATATGAATATTATCAAGCAGACTGTCGGGTAAGGGGTCTCAGGTTCGATTCCCGGGTCGCACAAAATATTACTGTGTTTTTTAAAATAAAATTCTCAGTGGTAGCACGGAGTCTGGAATTGTGCCCGTTACATGGCAATAGGCTCATCCCCTCTATTACATGGGACTCATAACATAAATAGTGAAAAGTGGGTGTTACATTGTACAGTGGCATTAGGTACCGTAATGTGCATTTCTGCCTACCCTTTCTGGGATAAAATGCGTGATATTATTTAAGTTATGTCAAGCAAAAATCACGTTGCCCTTTATTGAGGCCTTTTAAAACTGTGTTATATTTGGTACAAAAGTAAACGAATCCGAACCTTATAGTCTTACATATTAGAAACTGTAACTGAATTCCATTTCAAGATATTGTGAATTGTTTTGATGCTTAGAATTTAGATACTTTATATCAGTGAGAATGCAATAAGCAATATATCAAAAGGAGATCTAGAAATCTTGAACATCATAAAATCTATTTATTAATCCATATAAGTGGAAAACTTGGCTTACTTCAAGTGACTTTCCAACACACTAGAGATTACCAAGTACCTACTTTCATACGATAGACAAATCAGATAACAATCTACGGAAAGTTATAACCACAGAGACGGGTAACTGCGAATCTAAAATAGACATAATTAGTACATTCAGTAACATTGTACGAAAGATAAACATATTCTAACTAACAATAACAAAGTAATGTGTCCTAGATACTCGTATTTTCTAGATGCATACGTTGATAAATAGAATAATCTCTTCCAAGGCTGAAGGGGTGTTGTTAACAAACAATAGGACGGAGACCTACTCGTTGTGTCTCGAAAATATTCCATTAAAATCATAATCCGGGGATTAAATGGCCACTCGAGGTAATAAGTAACTTTCCACTGTTTGTGTTCGTACAGAAACATCGTGTAGTACAAGCAGAGCCTATCAATAACAAATATTATCGATAATTTGATAGAATACTCGCGAGACCGGTGTCAGGTAGCCACTGTTTGTTTATAATATGAAGCTACTACTATTAGGCACTCACCGATAACGCCCACTACTTAAATTAATTCCTTTTTACCTAAGAGAATTGCTTTTTTTTTTAAATAAAAATTCGTGTTTTTCCAGCTTAAGTTAACATGGTAGTAACGATTTCTTTTGTTGTTTGCTTTGACTTAACTATTGCTTTGTATTAAATAAAGTATTCAAGATATTCAGTCATAATTTTTATAGATATCCTTGTAAAACTAAGCTAAAATGTTTGACTTGGAATAGCGAAGAAAAGTGTCACTTTATACATACATAAGTTTGGAAGATATTAATAATATAGGTAACATTATGACTTAAATGTCTAGCGAAACGTTTAAATTATGTACTATTTATTTTCAACCACAGAATCAACATCAACAACCTATAAATGCTGACTGCTGAGCAAAGCCTCTTCTCACACGGAGAAGGTTTGAGCATTAATCACCACGCTTGCTCAATGCGGGTTGGCGATTTCAAACTTATAATTAGAAATTATAAGCCCAGGTTTCCTAATGATGTTTTCCTTTACCGTTTGACGGTGTCTTAGTAATCTCAGAAAGTACATGTAACTCGGAAAAAGTCGCGTTGGTAGTTTAGTTTAGGTAGTTTTTGAACCCGCACCCTCATGCATGAGAAGCGGGCGTCTTAAGCAACCGGGCCACAACCACACAATACTAGATGCGCATACTTACCGTTGATAGCTTCATTCAGCATTTTTTAGTTCTGTTCATTGTTTTTCTTATGTTGCCGTCCCTCTACTGGACTCAATCAAAAGTTCGATTACATTTGCAACACCATTACGTGATGCTAATAATAACATTATTTTTAGCTGTAAATCTGCAACAACGTTATTCTCTGTTTTGATTTGAAACTGTAACAATGTTATGTAACTCTATTTCACGCTGTATTTCCCCATGGATTGGACAGAGTGTATCACGGTTTTAGATATATTATGTGCCTTACTTACATATGATTGTTGATGGCGTGAGTTGTGAACGGCGACGGCCAGGTTTGATGATGATTTACGGCCGACACAAATAAAATTATCAATGGATTAAGATTCGGTTATAAGTTTCGAGTGTTCTCTAATCTCTACTTAAACAGAACAATTGAAATGATGAAATGATGATATCAAAACGAACAAAATCAAAGAAAACATTATAGGGTTATGCATAGACTTTTATCAAAATAAACGAAGTTTGCAGTAGTGTAACGTATGATAGAGGAAAATGCTTCTTGACAACGTGACTGGCTGGGCACGTTTTGTTCATTCACGTAACTTGGGATAACGACAAAGAGATTAAAAAGGGAGTGGAGAACAATAAGCGTAGCAAGAGGACCAGTTCAACTTCACAAAGTTCATTTGAACGATTTAGAGTTCTTAGTTAGGATAGGTTAGTTAGTATAAGCATTAACGATTGATATATTTATACTTTCATAATTATATTGATATTTTATACATATCTGCCTCGTTCGCCGAGTGGTCGCAAGTACGACTGCCGGGCAAGGGGTCTCGGGTTCGACTCCCGGGTCGGGCAAAGTATTACTGGGTTTTTAAAAAAAATCTCAGTAGTAGCACGGAGTCTGGAATTGTGCCCGATAAATGGCAATAGGCTCACCCCCAATTACATGGCACTCATAACATAAACAGTGAAAAGTGAGTGTTACATTGTACAGTGACATACTGTGCACCTCTGTCTATACTTTCGGGCATAAAAGGCGTGATGTTATGATGATGATGATTTTATACATATTTTATTTGCCACATAGCTTCTACAGCGTCCGTCTGAATAGCATAAATTACCATTTTCACGACAAACCGAAATGATCAGTAGGCTAGTGTCTTCAATCTCCCAAATATTAGTTCAAAAATCATGGTAGCACTATTGAGATATTTTCTTAATCGAACGGTCGTCAAATAGTCAGTCAGACAGTACATGTGACGATATATGTTTATACTAGACTCAAACAGAGGCTGCTGGTGAAAGATGGATATTTTCATACATACCCTGTATTACACACATTACGTCATTGTAATAATGTGATATACAGTGTGTCAAGAGAAACTTTTGCCTATAGCTTCGGAGTGAACCCGTGGTGGCTATTTGTTTAATTAAAATTGATCAAAACTACATGCCCTAAGTATAATGGTCTAATAACCGTAGAAAAGAGGTCTGGCGCACTGTCAGTGTGTCTGCCTACATGTTCAGGAAATAGTAAATTAATGGGATTTTATATTAAAATTCAAATAAAAATCTAATCCGAACACTAAGAGCTAGCACTCACTGCCGGCACGGTACGGCGTGGCATGGCAATGGATTTAATCGCTAATTAAATTATTTTGAATCCTATTTCAATGAGCATAGAATCCATATTACTTTACTTTACCACGATGCTGCGGCGTGCCATGCCGGCAGTGAGCGCTGGCTTTAACGTGTTGCACTACCTGAATATGTATATTATTATCTCATTAATAATGTCTATTATACTATTTATGTTATTCGTCACAAGAAAGTCAATAAAATTTTACCTTTTTGGAATTATCTTGAACCGCAAACATTCAATTATTGACACAAAGAAGACTGATGTCGCACTCATTGCATAGGCGCATGAACATGAACACACACTCGATATTATTATGCTCCTTTAGATAATTTTTACTTTCCCTCTAAAACATTCGAAACTGATCCCGTGTATCACGACTACGTACATCTGTGGATGGGTAGCACTACCAGCGCTAGCATGTAAATTGTTGTACAGCGTTGATCTATTTTTTAACGATCTTGGTTTCCTTTACACCTACATAGGTGCAATATTGTCTTGTGAGTCACATCCATGATACTTGCTTTACTACAAATGTTCGTGCTCAAATCTTTTAATTAAGTCTAATTGTAAAAGTCGCGTGCCGACCGCGCCAAGTCGGGAAGGGCTTGTAAATTGACTTTTGACCCCACGGATTATTAAAATCAGAGCTCAATGTGCCCGAGCACTTCCTAAACGCTGTCGGTGTACAGTTTCTTTGTTCTAAATAAATGTGTCCCGATTAAGTCATTGCTCCGCAAAAAATACTTTACAATGTTTATACCTAATGCGGTTCATTGGGAATCACTAACTATGTACTTATTAGATGTCCTTCGTATTGACCTCTCGTAATACAAGTAACAAAGTTGGAATTCAAACGAAAAAAAAGTTATTACAAGAGAGACTAGAGTGCATAGGCAACCAGATTTTGGCATAACATGATTCATTAAAAACAACATATGTAGGTGAGCGTGTGTAAGAGTAGTGATCGCGTGGAGACGACGCCGGGGCACGATGCTCGCGCTGGGAGTCACTCCCGCACTGCGCCCGAGCGCCGGCCGACGTACGTGTATTGTATGGAAATAAATAATTGGCCCCCGTATTCTTCTTTTGACGAGCTCTCCGGCGGGTCCATTATGTCCGTTTGAGCGTGAGCGGCGGCATTCGGACGCCAGTGGCGACGTCCTCGGTCGCCTGCGTCGCGCTCTACACGAAACTACTCCACTATGAATACCTCCGATCGAGGTACGAGTTCCATGTCTTACTTTTATCGGGGTCTGGATCGAGGGGTTCCAAGTATTTCCAGCATCCTGGAGATTCATCCAACAGGCCAGGAATTCCGGTGAAGTGCGCGTACCAACACAGCAAGGTTATGTAGAAGGAGGTCGGAAGTGCGTCCAATTCTCGTTTAGCGGCTAGGTCACTCATGAAGTGAATCAAATGGCGAAGAAGTCCAACTATTCAAGTGTTGAGTGGATAGTGTCGGTGGAAGCTGCGTCAGTAAGCCGGGCAGGCGGAGCCGGCCCCGTGTGTTGCAGTAAGTATGGAAGACTGAGCGGTCCTGCCTTGGCCACTTCACCACCAGGTACGAGCATTCCTTTTCTTGTCCACTTTGGATTCTCAATAACTTACAAATACTACTACTCGGTTGTTTAAAGCGTTTATGCGTAGGCGTACACTGTAAATAAAAACAAACTGTTGTTACAGAGTACAAAGATCAGTGAAACCGAATTTACAGGTGCATATTTAAATGAATGTGATGGTAAAACAAGATATTGTTATAAATAGGACTATTGCTTCTAAACATTTAACGGAAGTCATTGACGAAATTGTCGAAACACGGGCGTGGCTCGATGCTCACCCGATGGCTATTAGTCTTTCTGTAAACGAATTAGTGTTGATTATAGCGCAACAACTCGGCAGTACCTAGCAACCGCACCTTGTTTTACGAGTTGTCAGCGTCCATTGTAACGGCTTCATTAAATGAGGACTGACCTGCCTCACTAACCATAAATCATTACAAACAAATAAGTACTCCAAGAGTCTTAAAAAGTTTGCATTATCCAAACCCACAAATTACACCAATTTTGTAACAGCACTGATTCAAGGACATGAGTGTCTTATACAAGTTTGTATCATTTTACGGTTTGAAATCAGGATACGATGGCCATTGCAGGAATAATCAAGAGTGGGCGGTAATTAATTGGTACTGATCGATATCTATTTTTAGAAGATGTTCGTTTTAGAGCTTGTTCTTAGGATGATGGTAATTGCCACAGAACTTACCCACTTGTCACAATATAGGCACTAATAGAGCAACTCTTAAAGAGGCTTGTTTATCGTGATGATGAATGATACAAAACGAACTATTCTATCTTGTCGTATGATTTGATTAGGTAAATTTGATATTATAGCTATTTGCCGCAGTTAGGCCATCGTTCTTAAAGTTAGAAGGGGGAGGCAGAGCTCCGACTCGGCGCCTCATCCGGTCGCTCCTCGCGCAAATTGTCAATTGGCCGTCGTCCACTCAGGGCTGTCAGCTTGCAAGGTTGAGTTCTAGCTGTCTTCACGTGATCTTTTTCTTGCAACTTCAAAACCAATTGGATTATTTCTGGTTACTTCCATTACTGCCATAAATTAAGACATTCTGCATTCACATCCAAAAATCTTAGCAACATAGAATAGATGGCTTGGCCAAAAATGAAGGTTATTGCATAGGTATGTGCAGTTCTTTTTTCTGGACCAGATAAGGAATTTAATATCTAAAAATTAACTTAAAAATATTTGCATTTGAAAAGATATTATTGTATCCCTTACATTGTTGAGCAATAGAAAGAGCAGTGGATCGAAAGACGACTTATGCGTCGCTAATGCGGACTTCCTGCCATCTTTGATCTGTCAATTTCCTTCATAGTGCACTGGATGTATGCGAGTGTCTAAACTATAATAACGACTGGTAACATGCACAATTTGGCACAGAGAAACACGCCACTCACAGGCACACAACAAGCAAACGACACGTATTTTCTAAAATCAGTTAATTCGGTTAAACAAGTTAGTGCAGCAGTAATTTGAGACAATTTGCTCACGATTGGCTTGTTGACTTTGCTATTTGAAGGAGCCGTTTTTAGAGCAGCACAGGATGTGCGTTTGTTAATCAAGCACGCCATAGCACGCCGCTGGCACACCGGCCGGGACATGGCCGTGCCGTCTCAATGGTAACTACTCTGGTGATGACTATTGAATTGGTTCTAGGAAGACTGGCCACTTTAGCGAAATTCTAATGATTTTGGTGACCTACTTTGTAAGTAGCACGCAAACTCTTCTGAGTTTGTTGTTGTAAAGTTTCGTTCTTCAAAAACTTACTGTAACAGGAAAAGACGAAATGAAGATCTACTAATTAAATAATAATTCATGTTTTCAATTTAACAAATGTATCATTCGCCATTCCTTTCGACTTGGAGTTGTCAAAATGAAAACTTTAAAGATTTATAAAAGTAACGACAATCAATGCTATCATACTACTCAATCTAAAGAGGAAGCACTTTGGCGAACGCACTCGATGTACCGACCAGGGACTTAAGTATACAAGGCATTATTTAAATGATATAGAATTTTTTTATTAATTATTGTCGCCAATTCTCCTAATACTTTTTTTACCTTACATGAAACTTACTAACACCATCAACTCAGAAAATACAATTTATGAGAAACTAACTTCGTCTTAGAATAAATCTAATAGAAGGAAGCCAAGAGGTTTTTAAATTATCTCCGTAACCACGTCAGAGGCCATCACTCTGTTTGTTAGCGCGGGGAAAATATTACATTATGCTTATTAACATAAGATTTAATTTAGGAAGGACTCAACTAAAATTCAGTTTATAAAGATATGCGTCGAAACTCTACGAAGATTGACTTTGGTGCAGGTTATTGCGTGAAAGTAATGTTGGTCATTTAATGCAGTACAATACCTTTAACGACATGACGACATGACCAAGTTTATAGTGAAATATTATAACTGAATGTCCCTAACATATTGCAACGAGCTCTGGTATCGTCGATGTTCCATCAAAATATGGGTGGAAGACTGCAATCGCATTTGAACGGGATATCTATGGTGCGAAGTCGGGAATATACAAAATACACTAATATAATCTTAATAATATTCGCTTATATCGAAAAAGGAAGGTCGAAGAAATAATCAAGCTTGATATTTTAACTTTTTATACCTTGATTGTGAGTTGTGGATGTTGAATGATCTTTCATTTTGAAATATGAATGATGATTTTTTGACATAGGTACTTTTAAAAATCCAGGTCCACCACCAGGTCCTTTTTAATGAAAAGTCTTTTTCGTTAAAATGTACCTGGATACTATTAACATTGAAGAATTTTCTATAGAATTGTTCATTAGATGGATTGTTTGCTGATATATTTTGACAGCACTCATGACCTGAGAAACTCGACCTTACAAATTGCTTCCTATACCTAGGGAAAGATGCGTATTTTAACAGGTGCTAGTATTTCAATCGGAGGTAGACGAACTGTAATTGTTTCAGTAATATAAAATCAATCATTGGTGACGCAGGGGATTATGACGAAATCCTTAGTCTTTCTCATTCCAGCTGTCTGATCGTGAAGTCGTCTGACTGGGCTGCAAACAAAATCACTTCAATGGGTTCGTACTTATTTTAATTACTCATTTGTAACAGTCCACTTGGGGAACTAACTAACACAACAACAGAATCAACATGAGCAGTAAAAGGTATGAAATTGTTTGATTTCCTATTTTCGCCGTGTTATTGATTTTAATTATTTATAGAATGATTCGAGGTAAGTCCGGACGTTGACCTGATCGGGCGACGCTAGAAGAAATGTAATTGGCTTGATTTTCATTGCATAGCTCCAACTTGCTTAAATGGAATGATTAAAAAAAGAGAAGTTTGTATTAATCACAAAAATAGGATGTTTGTAAATTTAATTGACGATTGATGCTTTAATATAATATGAAAGTTTCGATTGTTTTTTATCTCTTTTATATTTGTATTGAAAAACAAGCGAGGAAAGACAAGCGTACCTATGTGTGTGGCTGTATCACTTATTGAATTTACTTGATTACATATTGGTTCCCATTAGTTTCAGAGGTGTACCACCGCAACTGCACGCCGCCGGCCATCGATGACTTCCCGGCGGGTCTCTTCACGGAGCAGCAGCGGCAGCATGGAGCTATCGTACTCCATGCCTTTATATCCATCTACCTGTTCTTGGCTCTCGCCGTCGTCTGCGATAAGTTCTTCGTGCCGGCTGTTGAGAGAATATGCCACGGTGGGTATTTTGTGGGACTGTGTATTGAAAGACGGTGCGTACAATGTGATTGTGACGGAACCGTGGTCATTTCGAATGAGAAAATTGTGTTGTGGAAAACAGTATTTTAAGTAAATTATGCACAAACTATGCAAACGTCTAACAAACAACGAACAGTATAATATGATTTATCAATTTTTTGATAATATTATAATGTTTGAATGCCAATGCATTAGGCAACACCCAATTAGTTTAAGATAAAGCGTTATTAATTGATTTTTTACAGCACTGAACATGACCAATGACGTAGCTGGCGCCACATTCATGGCTGCAGCCACATCAGCTCCAGAACTCTTTGTAAACGTTATTGGGACGTTCATCACGGAGGGTGACATCGGAGTTGGTACAATCGTCGGCTCAGCAGTCTTTAATATTCTCGCCGTAGCTGCGTGCTGCGGTATAGGCGCAGGAATGGTAAGCTCCTAACATATTATGTCAATTTTTTTTTAATGAACCCGTTTTTTATTTTACCATAATTTCCAGGTTGTACCTCTAGACTGGTGGCCATTAACAAGGGATTGCCTGGCCTACGGAATCACAGTATCTATACTAATTTGTATAATGCACGATGAGTATGTGCAGTGGTACGAGGCGTTCCTGCTTGTCATGCTGTATGGCGTCTACATTTGCATCATGTACTACGATAAATCTATTCAGAACTTCGCTAAAGGTTGGTACTTTTTCACCGATTATTTATAAAAAATGATTCATGCGTAATTTTATCACAGAAAGGTGTTGTTATACAGGTAACTGGAACTGTGTGTCAGACATGTTGAAGAAAAATGAAAAGCACGATAATGCGGTCACTGCCGATAATGGTATGTACTTCCTTCTATTTCAATATCCTCACTCAACATTATTAGTCCTCTTACAGCAGCAATAAGATATTTTCTGTGCTCTTGTTTAAATTTCCAGAACTTAAAGATGCTAAAGAAACTCCACCCGTAAACAAAAATGATCTATCATTAGAAAGTCACCAACACAATGGGAATATAAAAAGTGCATTATCTCTTTGCCCAGATAAAAATGAAAAAAATACTGAAAATGACTCTTCACAATCTGTAAGCTTACCTGCCGCTGACGGTGATGGTGACAAAGCTAAGAATATCTGTATTGATATGGAAAATAAGGACAATGATGTGGAAGTTGAAAATTCAGAGGAAAATGAAACTGTTGTAAACGTCGATGAAAATAACAAAGAAGGAGAAGACAAATACGTGCACTCACTTTGGAAGTGGCCTACTGGACGGAGCTGGCTTACTAAGGTACGATACGTTCATACGTCACACTTGTGGATTGTAGGCTCCCGAACACATTTACAACATAATACCTCATTTTGTTACAGAGTACTTGGGTAGTGACATGGCCTATCCACTTGGTCTTCTTGTTTACTATCCCAGACTGTGAGAAACCTCGATTCAAGAATTGGTTCCCCCTGACATTCATCATGTGCATTGTCTGGATAGGATCATTGTCATACATTGTTGCTTGGATGATCACTATTATTGGTAAGAGACAGTTGAAGTAACAAAATGGGATTTCATTAAGAAAATTTACCTATGGTGTTAATAAATGTGTTATTTTGCAGGGGATACGTTAATGATACCAGATTCAGTGATGGGTATAACTTTTCTTGCCGCTGGTACATCAGTGCCAGAAGCTGTTTCCAGTGTCATAGTAGCAAAACAAGGTGCAGTGAAATCTATTTTTTTACATATTTTTTAAACGTTACGACTGTTTTAGGGTTAGTTTGGAAGAAACTAACATTCGTTCTGATAAGTACTCGTATAATATCCACTAAAGTATATTTTATTTGTACACAGGACATGGTTCCATGGGCATCAGCAATTCGATCGGATCAAACACGTTTGACATCCTTCTATGCCTTGGGCTACCGTGGCTCATCAAAGCCTCACTGACCCCAGCCGAGGCGGGTCACTACTGGGTTAGAATTCTAATATTTTAGAAATTTTCTTGTGATTAAAGTTGTTATTCGCTTGTGACTATAATATGATAAATAACATCTTTTGTTTGTATTATCTTATGCTGTTAACTCATTTGCACATTGCGAATGAAGCTCTATGAAAAATGCTTTAGCACTGCGAAATTGCGTATTATAATTTGCTTAGCGACTAAATATTTTGTTGTGATTAGTCTCCGGACGGCTGAGATAAATGTATTTAAAATGTTATCAGGTGAAGATCAATTCGATGGGCTTGGAGTACTCTGCCATATCGTTGCTGTCGACGCTGCTGCTGTTATACTTGACGTTTTGGTTCAATAAGTTCAAGCTGGACGCGGCGGTGGGCCGCGCCTGCCTCGCCATGTACGCTATGTTCCTGGTGCTCGCCACGCTAATCGAACTGAACGTATTCTTCCCTGTCAACGTGCGCACGTGCAAGAGAAGTGAACTAAAGTCTTAGGCTAGTCTAGTGTTTTGGACGTAATCACAAGACGAAGTGTTAAATAGTAGTCGTGGGGTCTCTTGCATCTGTTTCATGCTCATGTGTGCTGAAACCTTTACGTGTACTTTATATAAGCATTCGGTTACATTTTTTAGAAAATTTCTCCGACTATGTCTAAATTACACAATTTCTATGATGAAGACAGCCTATACAGATAGCATAAGCGTTTTTGCCATTTTTTGTTTGAATTTTTTATTTAATGTTATTTATGTAATTTAGAAGATATGAGACGCGTGTTTGCGCAAGGTGGAATTTATCTTGATACATTGTAGTTTCCGTTGCAGTACGATATTGATTGATTAAATAAATGATAGGTAGTATTGAAGTATACCTCCAACAAGTGTCAAGAGCATTAGTATCCACTTGACTAGCTGCCGTTGTCCAAACAGTATTATTAAACAATTATTTTGTTATGTGTCACTCGTTTATTGGAAATGCAGGGCAAAATGGAGATATACATTAATTTTAGTGAATCTGCTGCCATTTTTATTCTACTAGGATTGCTTTAAAGCTATTGTTTTAGTGATGGATTAATTTATTAGTTTAGATTTAACCTATCCAGGTACAGATGGATAGGTCGAACAGAGTATGTTAATATATTCCTTTATATTTTATAATTCAGTTTGTTTGGGAAGTATTGTTTCATTTTCAAGCACATCATGTCGTATGTTGCCCTAATTTTTGTTAAAATTATTTTACTTTAAGAGTAACATGGTATATTGAGTGTTTGGAACGAAGCACACGTACAGACAACGTTCGCTCTCTGGTAGTAATCTCGATACAGATAAGTTGATGTAAATACATAATATACGATGTAATGTTACTGTCTTAATCTAATTAAATATATCTATAGATTTTTACTTCTTTTATTGTTTCTATTTACGGGGGTGGAAACCACAACAGGAAGCCTGATAGAGCACCATGAATACTTTAAAGTGACAGAATGAAAACACCAAATTGCGAGCTTTGAAAGACATGTTCATGTATTTTTAAGCATGTCCGAGTAACGTTCTTGTGGCCCATGATTGAAGACCTTTAAATATCACAGGTCATATAAATGCTTAAATAATTAATTGACGAAGTCAACAGCGTATCAGTGTTACTGCGCAGCGCGGCTATATTGGTACGTGCAGTCGGTACCTGATCAATATTCCCGGACACACTTGCATAAATGTAATGTATAAAAACTACTCTACCTATAGCACTACATATTTATCATGGGCTGAACTTAGCGTCCAAAAATAACACCAAAACAAAATTGAGTATTCATCCAATTTATTATACTTTTTAATTACTAATAACAATAAAATTAACATTGTAACTGTAACATCATAACACAGAGAGTAATGATCAGAAACTGTCATTTACGTTGTTGTTGTTGTTTTTTCGTACAAATTCAGGAGTGTCGCCCATTTTCTGAAATAAAGTATGAATATGAATATCTCATTTATCATCATTAAGCTTCTGTATGTTAATGTGCATACTTAATAACTCTGATGCTAAAGACTGAATCTAATTAGTTAATAAGAAAGACAAAGGAGACTATAACGCATATTTTAAACTTGAATAGGCTTTATCGCTTAGCGATCCTGCTGTTGAAGAATCCTTCAAGTCTATATAATTACTTAAAGCTTTAATTATCAAAATAAGTAAAATATTGGTTATTTTGTTTATAGCACTACAATAATACAACATTAACTCATACAAGATCAAAATGACGTAATTTGAAATGAAACTTCTGGAAAGTGTACTTTCATCCAATTAACTATACCTCTAGATGCAGTCTAATCTCTGCATATGCTGTGACCTGAATAACTTGATTATTCCTAGTACAGAAAAATAAATTGAGACAACTTACGTCATAAGAAGAATGGGCCCTCAATTGCTCGAGTTCTCGCGCGTGGACCTCTATGTCGTGCTGCGTGAGTCGCGGCCGACGGCATTGCGGATGTTGGGCAGGCAGCCACCGATGCACAATAGGCGTCAGCAGGTCCCGATGCACCTGACCATTGACCCAGATAAGGATAATTGGCAATATGATTGGCAATCTGTTGGCTCACACGCCTTGACCACCAATTTGGCTAATCGCCTGTCAAGGGACGGATGGCAATCTTGAACGTTAGATCTTTATAGGCACCTCGACACGTCCAACGGAACATGCAATAGAAGTATCGTACTTTGTATGTGAAGTTGGTAGGTCATGTTTATTAGAAGTCGTTGGTTCTTTATTGGCTTCATATTGAATGAATAGAGCATTTATGGAGGTAGGTACTCTGGATCTACTGGGAGCTAGGATGCGTCTCAATCTGTAAAAACTAGGTTGAGGTTTCAAATTAGATGAGTGGAGGTACCTTGATACATTGTACATTACGCACTTGTGATTGCTTTGCAACGTGCAATAGGTCATTGCAAGGTGATACCTATAGAATGATCCATACCTACATCGATCCTGTATGTGTTGTTTACATTTTTTGGATCATACAAAGCTTTTCATAAACAAAAGTAACATAATATGACGTAGTTAGTTATCTTTAGTGAAAATGCGTGTGTTGTTAAGTGACGTTGATAGAATGGTTCGTTTCAAAACGTTTAGACCACTTACCATAGCAGGATCGTTGGGCTCGGTGAAATATGAGACGACGGAGCCGACGATGATGCAGACTATCATACCGACCAGCGTGTAGTACAGATAACTCAGCCGGTACAGGAAGAATGTACCTGATCTGTTGGGAAATAACCTGAGTTTATAGGGAGTTATCATGTGCTTTGCTTTAAAAAATATTGTAATCTAGGAGTCAATGTTCATGGAAATGATAGCTAAAACTTATTTTCACACAAATCAATTTGTAGAAAACATTTCAAGGCACACTCTATAGGTGTATTGATAACTTACCTGTCGAACTCAACCGCGTGAATAGGTGTAGATGGAGTGGAGAAGGTATGATTCCCTGGGCATCCAGCAACTGATACAGGTTTGGGTGTAACGATGATATCACCTCTCATCATTGCTGCCTGCGTACCCAATGAGATCCAACCTACCAGCATTGTGGAAGTCAGGCCTCCTGTTAACGCACCCTGTGAAAAGGTTGAATTATTACATACATACATAAGACTACGTGTTATTTAATTCCGTAGACAATAAGGCGCTCATGTATACAAAGTAAATATACTAAGGCACTCATGATTACAAAGTATAACCCACTCTTTACCAATTATGTTACGATTATGCGTCTAGTCTTTCAAAATAAGGGTGACCTTTTTTGTCAAGTGCGAACCTCCTGTTAGAAAGGATCTGCAGTAGATAAAACTATGAAAACACAGGAACATCGCTGTTCGACGTCGAGGGACATGAATCCTTGGATCCCGTAACGAAATAAACTTGGAAGGATTAGAGGAAAAGAGAAAACTAAATAGTTTCCACTTTCCTCGATGAATTTAGGGGTCAGCTTGTGAAAAAGATAGGGCCAGTCATTTAACGAATAGTTTAAAATCCCTCCTGCAGCTGTAGCCAAATGCCATTTAGCGCTTGTCTACTTGTAGAATAGAAAACTAAATTATATGGAATTGACGTAAATTTTGACACTTGTCAATGTCATCTCCATACATTTTGATTTCTACTCTCTCTGTAGACAAGCGCTAAAGTGGCGTTTGGCTAAAGACCCTGTTTTTATAATCAATCTATTTTAAGGTTAGATATATATTCATAGATATATATACAAAACATGTTCATAGATAAAATGGAATAGATACAATTTTGGACATACTCATAATCGAAATTGGTTGTTAGTAGTAGTAGTACGGCACTCTATAATTCCAATATAAGAGTGAGTTAGCATTATTTGTACGAGTATAATGTAAGTAGTGTAACATAGACTACCCCTCTGTTAAGGTATAAGTAATTAAGCAACGTGTTATCAGAACTACTAGAATAAGCCAACGGTATTAACTGCCAAAAGTGTTTACAGATACTCTAAATATTAAAACTAAAATATATAAACCATGATGAACAATAAACTAGGTACAGGTTAATTCTTCTTTATTTGCTGCTCTTCTTTATTACTATACCTGTCTTGTACCTTAAATATTGATAATGTATCTTTATCCTCTTTAGCGTAAGGTGTCACAGTCCGCCACGTAGTCATATACTACGACTTTCATCCAATGGTCGCATCCATCTGAGAATTTTCAAGTGTGAGAGAGCCATACCACGAATGGGCCGGCTCGACTGAAGTGATACTACGACCTCACAGAAAACCGATATGAAACAACATGTGTTTCCTCGTGTGAGTGAGGTTACCTGAGGCCGAATTAATCCCCCCCCCCCTTTCCCAAACTCCCCAATCCCTGAATCCCCAACAATCGTCCAATTCCCAATCCCCAAAAGACCGGTAATGTTTTTGTAACGGTTCTGGTGTTCCAGGTGCCCATAGGCGACGCCGATTGTTTACCATCAGGTGACCCGACGTGACTGCTGGTTCGCCGGCTTGTTCCATAAAAATAAAGTAATAACAAAACTAAACAATGTTACCGTAGAATTCACCCAAGGGAGGAATAGTCCCATTGAAAACAGGCCCAACAGACTTCCAGCAGTGATGCCTGCCAAGCTCTTTCCAGCTTGGATTAGGGCACCCATATGTTCTACTAAGAACACCAACGCTACACACGCGAATCCTGTGAAAATAAAATATGTTAACACTAGCTTTTGGCCGCGAATTATTACTTCTGGCAGAATTTGGGGTTTTATATTAGTCTTTTTCAACGTATATTTTATGACTATAGCAAATGTCATGAGAATCGATTCAGTACCTAAGTCATCATCCTTACATCCTTTATGAATTTCATGAATTATTCCGTGGTAAGAAAATTCCACAGAGATCTTACCCGTACAGGGATTTAAGGAAAAAAAATGTTATGTCTTTTATCCAGTCTCAAACTACCTTTGTACCAAATTTCACCCAAATTGATTCAGTGGTTTAACAAATAGAGAGATAGACTGTATAATTGAATTGATTTTAAGATGGCCATGATTAAAAAAAAGAAAAGTAATTACCCGGACCATTTTATTGCAGAACAATATGCAAGAGAAAGTCTCAGCTATTTTATGAGAGTAGGTACTTCAAATTATTAAATAACAAATCGGGGAATACATTGTCCAAACACAACCGTGTGTTTACTTGTTCATGATTTATTCATAAGATATCGAACATAGCAGTTTTACGGTTATTGGCTGTTGAATGACATATGTACATGTTTATTAAATACTGCTTGCTTAAACACCTAATCAAGCAGGTAAATGGACTAAGAGTAAGATTAAGGACGTTGAGAATAAAAGGCGGACACAATCTCTTGAAAAAACGTCTAGGGCAACTGGCTACTACCTCTATACAATTACACGTAGAACACACACACGTTGACAAGAAGGACATCTGTCATTTTCTTAAGTTTGGTAACGTGGTAACCCATTACACACGCACACATAAAAATCACGAAATTATGGTGCTTCAATAATTTGTAAATGACAACATGTCCGCCTTTATTTCAACGTCCTTGGCTCATTACTTTGTGAAAAACATTGAAGACTTTCCCGCGGGTTCGTTTACGGTACCAATACAAATGATACTGTATGTATTAGGTAACATTTTGTCTACTTCGGAATTAAGATAACCCTGCTATGATTTCCGAACATTGCCATCTATAATCCATGTACAGCTAACAGTTAAGATTTTATAGAAAAGCATCGATATAGTATAATTAAGCCCATTTTTTCAGGTGAAATGAACAAACTGCTTGCCATAGATTTTAGTAATATTAGTTGATAGTGTTAAATAGTAATAAATATCCAGCCATCACGTCAAGTACAGTGCGAGTTCGCGCTTCATAAGTTGACGTTTTTAGTGACGCATTTAGTTTCTTTTTTTATTTCTTTAAATTAACTGATTTTAGGTTCAGATTTTTGTTACTTAAGCTATTTAATTCTGTTGTTCCAATTCCGGACACATAGTCCTACTGGGATATAATGGGAGAGCCATGCTTCGGCACGAATGGGCCGGCTCGGCTGGAGTGATACCACGGCCTCACAGAAAACCGACGTGAAGCAACGCTTGCGTTGTGTTTCGTCGTGTGAGTGAGGTTACCGGAGGCCCAATTACCCTCTCCTTCCCCAATCTCCCCAATCCCTGAATCCCCAACGATCCTCAAACTCCTAATCCCCAAAAGGCCGGTAACGCACTTGTAACGCCTCTGGTGTTCCAGGTGTCTATGGGCGACGCCGATTGCTTACGATCAGGTGATCCGTCTGCTCGTTTACCGGGTTATGCCATAAAAAAAATACTCAACTGAAAAATTATTTGAATAAGAGGTTGTATGTAATAAAACAAAAAAGAAACAATAACTGACGAGGAAATATCTACTAATAATATTATTATTGAGAAGAAGCAGTGAGATAGTTGTTTTTATGGTGCAAAGGAACACGTACAAACCGAATTACATTTTTTTTACGATTACCAATCAAATATTGACAAGTACACAATGTAACTTGCTTGCAATACTTGTTTTTAAACTTAATTTAATGTTTGACTAGTCTTCGTTTTTTCCTACGGATTTTCCTATCGTGACTATCGACTTGGACAATCTAAATTACTGGTACATGACGTGAAATTAGTGTTTGTGATACGGTCGTTACGTGTGCAATGTAATTTTCTCGTCCTTATTAGTTTCTAGTGATCTAGTTTGAGTATCAAGGGTGCATTACTTTATTTTCAATTCATTTTTGTGAGTGTCCTTTTTGCCGTATGATTGACTATGTTATGACAAATACGATTTTGTATGGGAATTTAATTTAAAAAATAACTAAATTTTTTCTACATTTCACTTTAAATAATGTCGTATCGAAACACTTTTCTAAATTACTTTTTTCAAATAAATATTCTCATAAAGATTTCCTTCACAGAAGTAACTTTCATGACAGTTTGCGATCAGAGAATATTTATTTACTGAGTATAATAAATGCTAAACTATAATAGTAAAATTCCATTCGTGACAAAATTCAATTAACGCTTCGGTTTTTAAAATCAATATCGTTGTAATGCAGAGCTCGGTAGTTAAAGGTCAGATTGGAAAACAAAGTGCATCCGGAGCTAATCTTCTATTTTTGCCCTCAGCGTGACTTTGAAAGGACAGGATAGACTAATTGAACGGGTAGGAGACAATTGCTCCGACTCTGATGGAGGTTTTTGAAGCTACGACAATAGACAGCAGTTATGTTAAACTCTTTGTTTCTTTTAAATTGAATTATAAATGAATCTTGAAAATCTGGTCTTCACAGGGTTTCGGTGGGCTACTTTTGCACTGGTTATAAAAACGGTGAAATATGTTTTTTATACTTTCACATGTACGACGGTTTACAGGAGAATGTGGTACGAGGATAAAAAAGCCGCTTTGGAAATCAGTTGCGAACAAAGGAACGAAAAAAAACACTATGAAAACCAGTTATGAAATTCCGGTTTCCTACACGACTGAAGTGATTGTCGCACCCTCATGTCTACATTTGAGACGGAACACCTGGCCTGTTTTCGGTCAGCAACAGTCTGGCAGTCCTCTTGGTCATAAGCCACGGAAAATTTATAAAATTATAACTATGGTTGCTTAGCGCTGCTAGCTGAAAAATATGACGCATAAACAGTAACTTGTAACTGGTAGGACTTTATATGTATTCCTCTGATGAATGTTTTGATACAATGAAAGTTATGAACAAAAGCCTCGACATTTCAAAACTCTGAAGAAGTGAAGCCGGAATAAATCAATAGTAAGAAAAGAGCTTTGTTAACAGTTTAACATTTACGTAAAGTACTCGGTAACTGTGACGTACTCTGGAGCCTAGTTGACTGCTCCACTTTAAAGTTGGAAAAACTAACAAAGGAGGTACATTATTATTATGTTTTTTATAAGTTCAGGTGGGTTTTCTTTGAATTCCTCACAAAGGGGGAACCTTTACATTGACGTCAATTAGTAAGGGGACAAAATCGTCGTTATATATACGTATAGTGTTTTATTGAAATCTTATAAGTGCTTCAAATGACATGAACTGAATAAATAAACTAAATAATAACTACTACCTTCGTAATTAAACAAGCGTAATGATACATCGAGTCACCGTAGTATGGTTTGGAAGTTAGTTACGGAATTGGAAGCGTTGCGCGGAGCGAATGTCATTGCCCTATCGATTTTATTGCTGTCTGTAGTTCATATTAATACCTATATTATTAAAGTCCCTTGAACACTCACACACACACACTCAGGTTCGGGATTATTCGGGAATGTTCGCCGTGAGCTATTGAGTACCTGTACCTTCATAGTCCAACTATGTGTGATTGAATATGTTTTACTATATATGTTGTACTTTAATGCCTTTTTGAAGAATTGACCTTTAGAATTGACCTTTTTTTAATTGTAAAAGTATTTTAAGTACAGCCAAAACTCTCAACTAAATATTAGTTGAGAAATACAAGATGAAATCTTGGTGACTGAATATTGTGGCAATGGGTTTGGAAAACATAGCACTACCTACTATTTTATAAGAAAGAGGTGGCAGAAGTATATTTAAACTGTCAAACACCAAGCGGTCACCGGTGACCGCGACCTATTGTTCTTTAATTGTGTCTATAAAACCGGTGTTCGACGAGTTAATTTAACAAAATAATTATTAAATAATCTCAAACAGCTTTGCGTCTCTGAAATCGCGAAACTAAAAATCGAGTAAAATTTTTCCGGAGGATTTTCATTTCATTTTCTATGATGCTGCAACAAAATAACGGTCATTGTTGCTTGTATTACCCTAGTTTTAAGAGTTGCGTGTCTGCGGAGATAGTAAGTAGTTGGTGCAATCTCTAGTGCCCATCAGTAATCTTCTTGAAAGTAGGTCGGCAGGGATCGTATTATTACCCGACTTACAAGGAGAATTATGAATGTACGATTGTACGATATAACCTATGTCGGATTTTTAAAGATCTTTGGATTTTTATTACTGGGATTTTTAAATATTACTGGGTTTTAAAAAAATTCTCAGTTGTAGCACGGAGTCTGGAATTGAGCCCGGTATATGGTACAACCCCCTATACACGGGACACAGGTACACCCCCTATTACATGGGACTATAACATAAATAGTAAAAAGTGGGTGTTAGATTGCACAGTGGCTTAAGTGCCGTAGATAATGTTCACCTCTGCCTACCCCTTCGGGTATAAAAGGCGTGATGTTACGTATGCCTCGGATTTTTGCGGGTTTTTTCTAGGGTACCTATGCAAAATACACAAATAAAATTTGCCTAGCGAGCATTTTACGTAACGCTATGATAATCATACTTTAAGTAATCTTTAAGTAAAGTTTTAGTCACGCCATAACAATGTGTACTATACTATCTACGAAATAAAAACCCTAAATAAATAACAAAGCAAGTAAGTTGTGATCTAATCAGTCGAAAATGGTGAACTAGTCTGACATCGATACTAATTTAAAAAAAAACCGAAGTAATTGACTCACTAATTCTATTATTTAAACAAAAAATTCAATTCGTAGATAATAAATGTCTAACAACATCATTATTGAATGAGTTAATGTTATTAGCCAGTATACAATAGTGTGTACAGTAAATAACAAATGAACAAATGCAATAACGTGTAGAGATAGGTACAGGGAAATGAAAAACAATGTGCGTGGGTGAAAATGTAATAACCACTGTCTAGTTTGTAGGTAATTCGAATGCCATTCATCAACTTTAGTACTTAACTTTAAACATCTAACCGGAATCGGAAACTTCCTTGTAATTCATAATGGCAATGAATTAATGCCCGTGTCAAGACGTATGAAGAAATTATCGTACCACATATAATTAAAATGAATAATGAAATCGTTGGCAGTTTGCCTGACTATAGTTAAAATAACCGCTGTGTTTTTCCTATGGCCGTGACCCGGGTTACCCTTGTTGGATCACCGTACCCTGATAGGCCTCGACACATCGCATTATTTGTTCCCTAAGCAAAGCCGCTTCTCGTGAGAAGCCTCGGGATATCGAGAACTTAACTTTGTTGCTTTAACCCACGAATTCGCACATGTTTTTCTCGTTCTAAAAGACATTTTGGGAAACCGCTTTTGGTTTTTCTTGTATTCCTTAATTAACTTACATGCTAATTTTCAGATTACTACTACAATCGATTTTATCTACGCTACACAGCTATAGAAATAGCTATAGAAATAGCTATAGCTATAGAAATAATTCGACATTTCTTAGGTACATTTTTATAATAAAAACTAGCTACTTCCGCGCGGTTTCACACGCTCTGCTCAGCTCCTATTGGTCATAGCGTGATTGTTTTAGTTTTAGCCTATAGCCATCCTCGATAACTGCGCTATCCAACTCAAAAATAATTATTCAAATCAGACTTGTAGTTACGGAGATTAGCGCGTTCAAACAAACAAACAAAAAAACAAACTCTTCCGCTTTATGTAATAGTATAATATTGTAATAATATTCTTCAATGTTCCGAGTTTACACAGATTTTCACCACTTGGCCGGAACGTCAAGCAAAATACATAATGTGAAGAGAATTCGTGTTAATTACCGTTAAAAATGCAAGCGAAAGTTTAATTAAAGTATGCACGTTGTCTGTCTGTCACTCAGACGGCAGTAACGGAAGAGTTTTACATATAGATAGGTACGTGTTTTAATACTGATATTTTGATAATACCTCTATAATGCGCTTTAATTGTCTCAGGAACAACTTCCACTTTTCTCCAGTTGTATTATATTTCCGGACATTGTATTATATTATTTTTAAGAATAAACCTAGATATAAAACGATGGAAAGTGTGTTCATACTACATCTCACAGAAAAGTACGTAGATAGACTTGGTTCTGCTATCGGCGGCGTGGAAATTCATTGATAATTTAATGTAGTCATGCCTCCGCTTTATTTACTATGAAATATTATTTCGATTTTCTAACGCTTTCGACACGATTTTCTTAAATTGAAATTGTAGCTCCGCTTTAGGAAACGGTTACCTAATTTCAGACACTATTTATAGTAATATGCTTTCGGTAATACATTTCAGTGATCTTAGATAGATTTCACAAACAGATTTTATACTCACGAATCAGACAAATAGTGAATACGCACCGATTACCACGACAATAATCTTCATAATAAAACTAGCAGCTCTCTCCGAAATAGGTTTATTGTAGGCCGGCCGGATGAGATCTTCGAAAATCACGCCGCACATCGAGTTCAATCCGGTCGACATAGAACTAAAATGTAACAAACAACAAATAAGAAATAGGCGGATAACAAAAAAATACTGTTCAAAATAAATGTAGATTTTCGAAATAAAGGAATTACTTAAAAATGTTCTTTTTCCCCATGGTATAAGTTTACCCCACGCATTACCCGAATCCAGTATAAGTTAATACTTATGTATAATGTCCAATAATATTGATGGGTGATGCTTGTGTTATCTTGTTGTCACGACCACGAAGGTATGTATGAAATATATAAATATTTTGTTTATTACTAGCAGAATGTCCTTTCAATCAATTTGAGTCATAGAAGTAGACTTATGTTCTTATTTATTTACTTAAGTTCCCCTACAACCTAGACACGTGTAATTTTATACAGAATATCATTTAATCAATAAAACACATGATTATAGTAACATAACAACGGCGTTTCTCACCGGAACTATACCTCAGAGCTGCACTAAAAACTCCACTCATGAAGATGCCAGGTAACGCTGGAATAGCGCCAGTTATTGTCATCACAAAATAGGGTAGTAGCTGGTCACTCTTCCTGATGGACCCAGTGGTCAGAGGGTCACAGTCTGCAAAGGTCGCGTAGATGACCAGTCCAGTGTAGCAACACAGTGATACTATGATGAATATTCCCGCCGCCATTATGAATATTGTGCTAGAAACAATTTAAAATAGTGTGAAATAGGTAAATTTTAAGGTTCGAAATGATTTAATTATCTCTTTCTTAATAGTTTGTACAATATGTCTGGTACGTGTGTTAAAGTCCCTGTCGTAAGAACCGGATTCTGACCTTCCCTTTATTAATTTATTGTAATGTTCGGTGACTGATAAAATACTTACATTCGAGCTCGTTTCAATGAAGACAAAGCGAGACATCTCTGTACCATAGCTTGGTTGACTGAACACGAAGCCAACCAACTAAAGTAATTCCCAAACACAGTCGACCAGAATGTATGACGAATTGTTGGGTCCACGTCCATGCTGGAATCGAGTCAATCATTAACAAATTAATTCAAAGATAAATAAGAGTCTCAAGTAATCTACTCACTTAAAAAACTCAAGACGATCTCCCTTTTCGTTTATAGATATCACATTCGATATGCCTCCCAACCGCCAAGTTCCGTAAGCAAGCACAAATATTACGCCAAAATACATAAGAACCGTTTGTAAAGTGTCTGTCCATACTACAGCTTTAAGCCCTCCCTGTAAAAGAAAATATAGTGGTCGCCTATTAAAAGTATTACATAAGTAATATCCCTACGTTTAATACAACAGGCACAGAGGTGTCTACGTGCATAGCTGACCTCGTTGCCAAGCGGTTCTAGAACATAGTCAATTATTTGTTACTAGCGGGGGATAAAATAGGGTCACTATGACCTACACTACAATCAATGTACTTACTAGAGTCGTATAGAATATACAGACGACGCACACGATCGGGGTGATTAAATGTAAATTAATACCAGTCACTGAAAGAAAGGATATACGTCAATAATATAAATTGCACGGAAGGTAACATGCTCGTAAGATGTCTATGAAACATAATACCTTGACTGAATGCCAGTGCAGGCACGTAAATGACGATAGGTATATAGAGCATCATTTTGATAATAAATATTATTGAACCCAACAGTCGCACCTTTTGATTAAATCTCAATCGTAAATACTGAAAATATCAATAAAAGTGTAGTGTACAAACGATCACATGATAAAATGATAGTGTTATGTTTTCTGAGAAATAAACATGTTCACTAAGTACACAAGTTTTCTCTGATAGTACAATTACAGCACAAACATGTTAAAACTAAATAAAGAAGATACCTCATAAGTTGAAGTGATCTGCAAATTATAAAATACAGGCAGGTAAACAATTGCAATAGTGAGTGACACTGCCCATTCCGAGAGCACTACCATCCACAGCTGTGTTCCGTACGTGTACATTTCAGCTGGCAGGCCCAGCAAAGAGATACCCGAAATATAACTAGAAATAACAACAACATTTGTTAACGCCGCACTTTATGAATTACATTCGCAAGGTTACTTGTAGACATGCGCAAGGCGGGTAGCAAAAATATTAAGTACCTGGCTATCAGCGACATGGATATGGGGAACATCCCCATGGTTTTCCCTCCCATGAGATACTCAGACGTAGTATTCTGCTTTTTCGAGGCAAAGAACGCGAAGTACACCCCTATGAGGGCGGAGCAGAGAAGCATCCCCCCGAAGACGAGGTAGTCCAGCCAGTCGAAATATATTAGCGTCATGATTTGGTTTGTACCTATCTGGAGCACTGTGTGTGATCGCGCGACCGTTCACTATGACACTTAAACTCCATCTCGGCATATAATAGGCATTTACCGAGCGGAACTTGCAGCTGGAACGGTTCTATATTTATCCTTGGAAGGATCTCGGACTGACCCATTGGAGGGATGAGGTTGGTTAATTGACCAGTTACCGGTGTAGTCGCATCTTGTGTTATCCACGTACGAATTGCCCACACGGTATGTTAATAGCCGGCTACGTCACTGTCTTATAAAATTGACTGCACTGGAAGCAAACTTCTGATTCACGCTGACATTATTTCAATAAGTATTTAAGTAGGGTCAATAAGACAGGCAGATACAAGATGTAAGAAGTGGTTAGTTCAGACTTCAGTGGGTATGCATGTATTTGTCTTAAGTATTAGGAAGGTTTTGATTTCCAGTTTACGTACCTAACTGAAAATAGGATAGGGTATTACGTTTATGTCCCAATGTCTACTATAAACATCATTGAACTGATTTTGAAATAAAAATGTATATGCATATTTTTCTTATGCATCATGCATATTATGTATTACGTGTAAAACAAGACGTCTTAATAAGGAACGTAGGTATCAATGGCAACGTAGGTAGCTGTGTGCACAGTTCCCTATTTTTTAGCCTTCCTGCTTGGGTGCCCTTGACCTGTGTTTCCTAATTGAATTGGGGTCGCTCGGGTTAACTTGAATTTGTTGAAAGTTTACATTAGAGCACCTGATCCATACCTAATTCGTAATGAGTGTTTCCATTTTCAAGGTACTTTTATTATAATTTTCAGTAGCAGTTCTAAGCGTAAGTTTGTACAGAACACTGTGACTCTACTTTTTTTATTTTTTTATTGGGACAAGCCCGCCACAACCCCCCAAAACCGCTGCAACCCTGTAAGCCAGAATCTACAGTAGATACAACCATGCAAAACACCGGAACACTGAAGTCCGGCGCATCCCAGGGACATGAGTAACTGTCTTGGTTCCCGCAACGATGTGAATCAGAAAATATTATAAGAGGAGAACAAGAAAAAACTACGGTTTCCACTTCCTATGTGTCTGTGACTCTATTATGAGATTCGCAAGGTATCTTATTAGTCAGAAGTAGAAATGCATCTGCAATATGGCATATGACTGAAAATAACTTACTGTGTGTACCTGAAACTGAAAACTGAAAGGGCTTTTCCAATTTAGACGTTTCGCAACGGCCTGTAAACATGCTGTAGCAATCGTGTCCCCTTGAACAATCAGCTCAGTAAATACAATAACATCACGCCTTTTATCCCCCAAGGGGTAAGCAGAGGTGTACATTACGGCGCTTAATGCCACTGCATTAAGCGGCGGAGATTGAAAACACTAGCTTACTGATCATTTCGGTTTGTCGTGAAAATGGTAATTTATGCTATTCAGACGGACGCTGCAGAAGCTATGTGGCAAATAAAATATGTATAAAATCATCATCATCATAACATCACGCCTTTTATGCCCGAAAGTGTAACACTCACTTTTCACTATTTATGTTATTAGTCCCATGTAATAGGGGGTGAACCTATTGCCATATATCGGACACAATTCCAGACTCCGTGCTACTACTGAGAATTTATAAAAACCCAGTAATACTTTGCCCGACCCGGGAATCGAACCCGAGACCCATTGCCCGGCAGGCGCACATGCAACCACTAGGCCAACGAGGCAGTCTTCTGTCTGCCTCTCAGTAAATACATTACCACTAGAATTATCCCCGTCCCTGTAATAATCTACATTTTTATAAAAGAAATAGTTTTACATTCAAATGATTCGTTTTGGTAATCCAAACAAAAGACTGCTTTCACGTACCGTACTTGCGTCAGCGTGGTCACTACTCCGACATAAAATATCTACATTGAAAGTAGAATTAAGAAGACAGTCGTACAAATCACCAACCTGCTTTGTCCCTCCCACACCTTTAAGTTTATTTTGCAGAAAATTTTTTGTTTGATTTAAGCCACCCACGCTTATCTTTTGCGCCCTTTGACCTTATTGGCCTGATTATATTTCTTACTCAGCGCAATCTTTTGTCAAAGACTTTGTTGGTTGAGTACGCCTCTAAGCTAAAATATAAGTAGTTCAGAAGTTGGAAGTTGAATTAAGTTGGGCTATATTTCTAGAATCCAAAAAAACACAACAGTGATGGAACCTTTGAGATAAGAAGCGTCTACTAATATCTTTCCTTTGTCGAAACTGTGGAAAATGGCGAAAATTGAAGGAGGCCTACAACAAGGCTACAAAAATACTCGCTTTTATTTATACAATTTTAAATAATGTCGTATAAAGATGGGTTAATCACTGGTTAGTTTTAGTAGGGACCTCAATTTTGAAGCTAACTAATGTAAAAACCCATTGCTTATCTCAATTAGTTATAATTATTGAACCCGATTATGTCCAAGTCCCAACCAGCCACGATGAGACGGGCAGTACCACCTTCAAGATTTTCAGTCAACCAGCTGTGAACTCTAAGCTACTAGCTAAGCTTGAGAATTATGGCAAACTCCTCCCCCAAGTAGAGAGACTTTTTTCAACAGTGTACGCATTTTAGCTGGTAATAAATCAAATATTGTCATTTCATGTCCTTGGTAATAGGGCGAGTCTTTCACCAAACATTAAGCAAAATTTCGCTCACCGTTCTATTGCTCAGTATTTTTGATACTTACTCATTAATAACTTACCCAGCCAGGGAATTGAATCCTAGATCTCGGTAGTAGCGACCACTCCACCAACAACTGCTTCACAGTTTGATTTTCATGTGATAAAAAGAAATACCTCTACATCCTTCTGGACCATTTCCCTTATAGCTGACGTGAAGAAATATGTTTTCAGAAAAACTATTATGTGTAAATTTTATACCAGGTATCTAACCGCTTTGACCAATTTTGGTTTAGCTTTTTTGTAAGGTGTATCTCAAGGATTTGAACAAAAGGCGAACACAGTCTTTTGAAACAACAACTGTGGCACCTGGTTACTATAGAATTACACGCAGAACATACACACATTGACACGAATGACATCTGTTATTTTCTTAAGTCTAGTAACGTGGTCATCCATTACACACGCACACGGGGTAAATGTGTGCGTAAGTAATGGCCCCGATATTTTGATGCTTCAATCATTTCTAAGTGATATTATGGCCGCCTTTTTTCAACGTCCTTATGGTATCTTACCTAAGATTAAAAAAATCTGTTAGAGGTTCAAATTTTTACAGACCTTTTTAATATATGAATAGCCTTTATAGATTTTATTTCTTCTATTTTGTGTCTTGGACAACCTTGACCTTTGATGCAGTAACATAAATATCGTGTATAGGCTCAACAAATATAATATAGACGGTTGTCATACTTTTACGAGGTTTATTCTGGGGTCCATAACTACATAACTCCATGAAGTCAATAATTTATTTTATCTGTATGTTGTGTAGTATGTTGACTTACTTTCTTTAGTGTTTTGTTTTGAGAAAATACTTATTATAACACTATTTTTTTTAGTATAACCCTTGGTAAACGTTGACTTATGCAGTTCTGTCAAAGTATATACAACAAGACTGTAATTTTGTGAATAAATAAAATAGTAATAGCAAAAATACTATTCTTTGTATGATTTGTCTATGCATTAAATATTGTTCTCATGAAAATCTGTAAGATTGTAGATGTGTTTGTGTTTAGTGTTAATAATAGGAAAAGGGATCATAGAAATAAAATACCAGATTACGTACATTGAGATTTTATTGGATTAAATGGTGATTACAAGTTGCTGGCTTAAACATTTTAAATAATTATATAATTCAAAAGTAGCTGAGCTCTGGATGTTGACGTGAGCTTTTAATATATAGTTGTAATTTGTAATATGAACATGATATATATGAACATCGATCCAAGTGACTACTGACCTATCAAACTACATACATTGGTAACATAGACTATACACACCTACGACGTGTTATGGAGTATACGAACTCTTCTTTATATAACATATACATTTGATTATATTGATTATACATTAGACAGATATATCTACAACACTCAGAGATTAGTAATAGGTACATTCAGTAACGTTCGAGCTCAGATGTTATAATACACAATTATTTCCACCTACTTATTCTTCTAGATTATAATATAATTTAAATAAAGTGGCGTGCATTGTACATCAACGGTCAATATTTGTAGGCGCTTCCAAAAAACAGTACTATTGCTTTTAAATAAAAATATGTATGAGAGAATAGTGTATCGAAAATCTTCATTAACATTTTTTTTAATTTTGAATTTATGTACTGTCAGTTCAAAGAGGATAAAGGTTATATTTTGGTTTGTTATAATTTTTATTATTATTAATTAATAGACAGGCTAAATTATGGGATGTTTAAAAAACCTTTGCTTTTGGATATAGAATGACATCAATATGAATGATTAAAGGAAAGTGAAAATATTTACGTGCAGAATTTGTTATCGACCGTCGATATTTGACAAGATGTTTTGTCTCATTAGTCCGTTCCACGAGTACTTAATTATAATTAGTATAATAAATATTAAAGTTACGGTTACATACGCTACTTATTGAATAAACATTATAACTACTTGGCAACCATTCATTTATACAGTGTCATGGTTCCCTATTACATCTAAACTAATTTTCGGTCAAAATATACTTTTTTCTAATGTACAATTATAATGCCCAATTTTGGAAACATTATCTGCTGACATAAATATAATATTAAAAAGCAAACAACTTTTTAATATTGTATTCATGAGACTATACTAGGTATTATAATATTAATGATTACATACGGAATACATTACCTATCTTATAATAACTTATTTCTAATACTAAGCAGAGATGTCAGTACAAACGAAAAATTAGAGTTGTGATCCATCATAATTTTACATTATTACAGATCTGATCTTCAAATGTAATTAGGATGACATCTGCATGATGTACTTTCATCTGATT